TAAACAATAAAATACATGTAACTTATTTTTGATGAAATATGTTCTCATTGACCTAACATTCGCGTGCTCAAAATCTGTTTAATGAACATTTTGTGATCGGCTGAATTAAAAAATATTCCCTCAATGATATTTCAGAATTTTTGTTAGACAAAGACATGCATAATATATGTGTCACATTAAACTAAGTTTAGAGCCATGATAAAATATAATTGAAATATTAACACTTCACACCAAGCAGTGTCATTTTTTTACGATGGAATTTTACAATTTACAGTATGCTGAAAATGTTTCAGATCGATCTGTTTGGTACTTTACTTTTTCCACTAAATAAATGAAAATGAAAAAAAAATGAAAGGAAATACTTGACAACTACTGAAGTCAAGACAATCGCAACTCCTTTAATGTAATAAATATTACCGGCATCCCTTCCCCTGGCGTGAACTTGATAAATTTAGAGGCAATTGAACGATAAACTGATCATTTAGATACACTTATCTTCATAGGAGTAGTTAAATAAAACACTGGAGTGGATACCGCCGCCGTAAATCTGGTTATATCCGTACCTTTCATATATTTGACTTCTATGGTGGCATATTTCTGCCACCAGATAACCATATAACTAACTAGTTAGTTAAGAGGTTAACTAGTTACGTAACTAGTTAACCTCTCAATTAACTAGTTAGTTTTCAGGTTAACTAGTTACGTAACTAGTTAACCTCTTAATTAACTAGTTAGGTATCAGGTTAACTAGTTACGTAACTAATTAACCTCTTAGTTAACTAGCTAGTTATCAGGTTAACTAGTTACGTAACTAGTTAATCTCTTAATTAACTAGTTAGGTATCAGGTTAACTAGTTACATAACTAGTTAACCTCTTAATTAACTAGTAAGTTATCAGGTTATCTGGTGGCAGAAATATGCCACAATAGACTTCAGACCAAAAAGCGCTATAAGTTAAAAAATAATATGCATATATTGTACCGCTGCTGTGTCCATTCATTGATTTGATTTTAAATTTTAACGTTGAACTTTTAATTTTACCTTGGTTGGTTACATACGAACATGTTTAAGCAGTAATGTCTTTGCAGATAAATAACTGATTTGATCGAATAAATGAACACATTTTCTGTGAAATAATACAAGCTACCACAATCACCAATATAATCGCTATAAATCCCAACTGAAAAGATGATGTTTCACAAGCATGTCCTTCACCCCTTCCTTTAGGGGACGGGCTGTGGGTTCTGTCTTCTTGGGCAGCTCCCAGTCTATTGAAAGATTGTAGGCAAATTGGGAAATCAACCTGAAAGCAAACCAGTCACCAGTCTAAAAGCAATGATTATAAACATTCATGCAAAATTTAACTAGCTGAAATGCTGACAGGAGTGTTTGTTATAACGTTTAATAGAGGAAAATACAACCTTAAAACTGTGATTAATTATACACCTTATATATTTTCACATTCATAATTATTTGCGATTATCTCACCGGCTTTTCGCATTTTATTTAACTGCACGTTAGAGTAAATGTGTTTGTGCCATACCATTGCCATGAAGTATGAAACTTACTACTACTGAAGATTTTGTAAACCTGTAATACAAATTTTATAGATTGTGGCATATTTAAGTATTACCTCAGAAACAGAGATATATTTATATATTTACAGACCTAAATAAACATTAAAAATAATGGTTGTTTTGTGTCCTTGGTTTACCGACGTACTTAATGTCCTTGTGTTACGAAAGCGTTAAATCGCCCTTATGGTCATCCGATGTCCTTTTTAAACGCCACTCGTTAATTTTGAATGACCATACAAGATAAGAAATATCATACCAAGTTCAAGTTCAAGTGAAGGCCAAGTCAATATGAATTACCACACTAAGCATAAATGAACTTAATGTTATAGGAGCTAGCTAATTTACCAGGACCTTCACCGTTTTATAAAAGAAGGAAATCACGTCTAACTACGTTCTTAAATAACGGTAACAGATATAATTCCTGAAATATTTCTTCACAGTTAGACGTATCTATAAAATCCGTACACTTGAAAGAATCGACAAATATATCTGCAAATCTTCAACTAAGTATCTGCTGACATGAGGTATGTTACAATAATTACAGAGGACAATTTCCGCACATCGCTTATGATATCAAATAAATGCAAAAAGTATCATAAATAACATCAACAAATGTGTTAATGGTTAACCACGGAGAATTGATCTTCGTTAGTACGGAATTATGTTAAAACCGGTTTTAAAGACAATTACTTGCTGCTAAGTAGTCGAAACATAGACATATCTCTGGTAATATGAAATATTTATTAACCAAATGGGGTTAATCTTTAACATGTATGACTGTAATGTATATATCAATAAAATATCAGAATCTTACATGTGATTACTAAGTGAAGCAATACTGATGGAAAATTAATGTATATAACAAAATGCATATATGGGCTTCCGACGACAATTTGAAAACATATGCCAATAATACAACGTGAGACATAATACAAATGTAGAATAGTTACTGAATACTATTAATTCGTTCATAATTTTATCTATAAATATGTATATATACAAATGTAATACATTTTGTATCATAATATAGCTCCATTTGCAACAAGATGTAGAAGTTAGAGGTGTGTATTTTGTGTAAGTTTAATATAATAGTTTAACAAGGATGTTATGAGTAAAAAATATACATGTTATAAAGAAATTGACAGGTTCTATTGCCATATATAAATGGTTATATTCCAAACAACCGTTTATATACGGCCATATAACCTGTCAGAAAATTTATAATACAGAAAACTTCATTTTTAGAGAAAAAAATAATTAAGATTTCTTCATTATCCTGTTTATCCAATGGAAAGCGACGTATTATAAAATCCTCTATAGACTGAAATAAACTACTAGTTATGGTTTACATTCTCTTGTTTACAAGATTAAAATATACATGTACTTATTAGGGTTGAGTAGCGGATCAAAGTGATATTTAACTTGTAGACTATTACAGACATTTTCTTATTAAACAAAGAACTCGATACAGTGTTTGTAACGTCGCTTTTCACTGGATCATCGTGAAGTTTGTATAGTTTTATACATGTATACACGCTGCTGTCGATTTATAAAAAAATCTTACTTTTTTTTCTCTAAATAATTAGGCTTGCTGTAGTATAAATTCGTTATAAATATTCATGACAGGTTATATGACCGTATATAAACGGTTATTTCAATATAACCCTCGCCTATCAGCTCGGGTTATATTTCCAAACAACCATTTATAAAGGGCCATATAATCTGTCAAAAATCTTTATAACTAATAATGTAAATGACGTCATGTCTGTGTAAAAACGTGATAATAAAACATTGTAATTCAAGCCTTGACAAACAGATTTTCATTTTAGCATATTTTTCAAAAATCTAAATCAGTAAACTTGTTTCTTTTTTTTAAATAACGACTTGTATCAAGTAATTTTCAAAGTTTGTTAGTGATTATAAATCCCAGCTGAAGAGATGGTGTTTTATAAGCATGTCCTGAACACCTTCTTTAAGTAGGTCCTTGCCCTTAGGGTGTGGCGTCTTCTTGGGTAGCTCCCTGTTGAGGGACATGTTAAATGAGAACTGAGTCAGCAGTCTGAAACGTATAACACAATATTTACACAACACAATTACTATACATTTACACAACACAATTCATTTGCACAACACAATAACTATATATTTACACAACACAATAACTATATATTTACACAACACAATAACTATACATTTACACTACATGTATCTAGTATATAAATGTGTCTATAGGATCTTGATGCCCTACTTTATTTGCCCTTCAGAGTGCTGTATTAGAAGCCCAAGTTTTACATTTAACATACTAAAGGCCAAGTTTTACATCAAGTGTAACAATGGCCTTGACCTTTATGATCTCAAAAATCAATATGGGTCATCCTCTGGTCGTGGGCAATGTCCTAACCAAGTAGCATAAACGACAGCCTATTTCTTCTCAAGTTATTGATTGGACACATATTTTAATTTAATGTCACTTATAACCTTGACCTTTTAACACAATCAATTTAAAATCAATAGGGGTCATCGACTGGCCATGTTCATTACCCTTCCCTTTTACAGAGCTTAATTTGGACGTACATATGTACGGACGATCTCATTACAGTATGGTCCCCACTTTTTAAATAACGGCAAAATGTTCACATTGCATTTAATATGAACCATTAGTAAATTGATTCATTATTTTTCTTTCAATCATTCAAGTCTTGAACTGCCTTTTCATCAATTTTTTCTATTAACTAATCAGCCAGTCAGGTAACATGATGTATAGCCAAAACGGACAACGGATATGCATCATGGGACAATACTACATGTGAACACAGACTGGGAATGTAATATGAAAGCAGAGATCAATAAGGGAGAGTGGCATTCATTCCAACAGTACCTAACCTCACATCATTCCAACAGTACCTAACCTCACATCATTCCAACAGTACCTAACCTCACATCATTCCAACAGTACCTAACCTCACATCATTCCAACAGTACCTAACCTCACATCATTCCGCAGTACAACGAACAAAAAGGCTACAATGATATCAATTGAAACAAAAAAATGGCCCTTATACCTCGAAATTCCAGCTTAACCAATAAAATAAAAATGTCCTTGGTATTGTAAATGCATTGTAAAAAAACAAATTCTGCCCACATCTACAAGAATGTTTTCCCCACTAACCTCCACATAGTTAAATACAAATATGACATTTAAGATCTTTTATTGTGTACATATACTTCTATGTTTCTGAACTGGTTAAAAACAAGATCTGTGGAGTAAACAATGTATTTCTGCAGGTCAACTATTAAGTTATTTTCAGGATATATTAACTGTAAAGAGGAGAGAGCACACAAGCTATAGGATACAAAACACAATAATAAAAACAACTTTGTGGTACACAAAATTCAAATAAATGAAAAGAAAACAACATAAAATAAGATTTAATGCATGCTTTATTTTTTTAAGACATAACAATATAAAATTAATAATTCTCTAACAAAAGTAAATAACAGAATCTTTGGGAAAAAATAAAGAAAAGTAGTAAAGGAAGTATTGTAAAGAACTGATACACTTAAACTTGTACATGTATAAAATAACTACAAATGTAGTATCTACCATTATCTGAGACAGCTGGTTAAATATATTCCAGAACTACAAATAGTCCATTCTTTACCAAACTTTATCATTGAATACAATTGTTTACTTAGTTATTTGGCATAACATTTTTTTTAGATCTAAAGTGGTGTATTCAAGCTGTTTGACCCATAAAACAATAGAGATCCACTTCTGATACCAGGGTATTAATTCTATGTTAGGTAATCAAAGTCTTGCTTTAACCATTTATAGTTGAATGATTGCTATTTTTGGTCCATAAATTAACATAGTACAAGAAAGAAACAATAGAAGTACACACAGAATTAATATTTATATAAAATACATGTAAAACAAATATAGCTGCAAATGCCAATAAGGTCATTTATGGAAATAAATATATGGAGGTACATATTTAAGCACATTTAAGACAAACTGCGTAAATGTTTAGGATTTGCCTGACCCTATTGCACTTTATTTAAGTGGCAAAAATTATACATGTAAATACGAACAAAAATAAAATTGAAAAGAAAACAAGAGGGCCATGATGGCCCTGAGGTCGCTCACCTGTACATAGGCCCCCGGAGCAGGGCCAGTTTAAAGCCCGGGGTTTTTATTTGAACAAACTTTGTAGACAACCATTAGAAGATGTTTCATGCTAAACATCTAAGGTCTAGCTCGTTGGGATTTTTAAAAGAAGATTTTTTTAAGTTTTTTCTTTACACATATAGTTAAAAACAATGACACACCTGGGGCAGGGCCAGTTTTGACCCCAGGGCTTTTATTTGAACAATCTTTGTAGACACTTACTAGAAAATGTTTCATCAATGTCCCACGGGGCGGGGCCAATTTTGACTCCAGGGCATTTATTTGAACAAACTTTGAAGACACTCACTAGAAGATGCTTCGTGCTTAATATCTAAACTCTTGCTATTTGAGTTTTTTCAAAAAAGATTTTTCAATTTTTGCTATAGTTTTACACATATAGGGAAAATGAATGACCTCCGTGGTGGGGCTAATTTTGACCCCAGGGCTTTTATTTGAAAAAACTTTGTAGACAATCACTAGAAGATGTTTCATGCTTAATATCTAAACTCTAGCTATTTGTTTTTTTTCCAAAGAAGATTTTTTAAGTTTTTCCTATACACATATAAGGAAATTTGGAAAATCAATGACCCCCAGGGCCGGGCTTTTATTTGAACAAACTTGGTAGACACCCATTAGAAGATGTTTCATGCTAAATATCTTAGCTCTAGCTCTTTGGGTTCTTTAAAAGAAGAAGATTTTTAAGTTTTTACTATATGTATATAGGGAAAATCAATGACCCCCTGGGACGGGGCCAATTTTGACCCCAGGGCTTTTATTTTAACAAACTTGGTAGACATCCATTAGAAGATGTTTCATGCTAAATATCTTAGCTCTAGCTCTTTTGGTTCTTTAAAAGAAGATTTTTTAAGTTTTTACTATATGCATATAGGGAAAATTAATGACCCCCTGGGACGGGGCCAATTTTGACCCCAGGGCTTTTATTTGAACAAACTTGGTAGACACCCATTAGAAGATGTTTCATGCTAAATATCTCAGCTCTAGCTCTTTGGGTTCTTTAAAAGAAGATTTTTTAAGTTTTTACTATATGCATATAGGGAAAATCAATGACCCCCTGGGGCGGGGCCAATTTTGACCCAAGGGCTTTTATTTGAACAAACTTGGTAGACACTCACCAGAAGATGTTTCATGCCAAAAATCTAAGCTCTAGCTCTTTGGCTTTTTTAGAAGAAGATACTTTAAGTTTTTTCTTTTGGTTGCCATGACAACCAGAGTTCTGCATGGAATTAAATTCTTTGAACAATTTTCAAAGGTGACCACCAAAGGAACATTCCTGTGAAGTTTGGATGAAATTGGCTTAGTGGTTTATGAGGAGATGTCATTTAAAGTAAAAGTTTACGGACGCAGGCCGGACGCCGGACAAAAAGCGATCACAAAAGCTCACCCTGTCACTTTGTGACAGGTGAGCTAAAAAGCACAACACCTTCCCATTAGGTAAATATAAACAGATAAAAATGGAACTAAAAAAGTCTATTACGTAATAAATCATGATTTGTTTACTAGGATGTAAGAGTACAATATAAGCATGCTATCACCAGGTAAAGTGTGTCAGTGTGTATATATAAATCAGGTTACTACAGGTTATTATATACTGCCTCACAAAGATTTACTACACCTACCCAAATATAAACAAGCTTTATGTAAGCAAACATTTTGTCCTCTATTCTGTCTAAACCAAACACCTTCATAGTCAATGTTTATACATTCTCAATTTCTATATAAACCTGAATTAAACCATGCAAAATAACTATTCAAAGTTTTTTCATTGTACTTTTATCCATCAATGCAGAAACTTTCATTTTATATCAATGGCAAAAAAATCTTTGATCAAATTTTAAAATTGTAAGAGACTACAGATAAATATTAACAGGAATTTGTTTATAATATATGTTCTTCATATTATTACTACTATGAAATACAGAATCACTTCAAAAAAGTAATGTTGTAAATTCTAAGTTATAGGTTAAAGTTTATAAGTACGTATTTACAAAATTAAATTTGTCTAGTGTGGCACAGTCGCGCGACCATATAAGAATCTTACACCGGCTGCCGGTACAGACCGGAATATCTAGCTCGAGGGTGACTGTTTACGGCGGTAACGAGGCTCTGCCGAGTTTCCGCTAAACAGTTACCCGAGAGCTAGATATTCCCGTTTGTACCGGCAGCCGGTGTTTGATTCTTTTTCTTGCATATTGCATATCAATTATTTTCAGAACAAAAATTACGAAAACTGATATTCTCAATGCGCACTTTTTTTTTATAGTAGCGTATGAACGTACAACTTCATTCATAACGGTTAAGTGACCTCATCCTGAGAACGCAATTAATTCATAAAAGGCGCGCAGAAATGACGTCATTTTAAGCACGCGACTTTTCTTACATGGGGGGTGTAAGACAGGTTTTTCTAGCACCGGTGTAAACGGTAGATAATCCTGTCTGATATGCAAGAAATTTAATTTTGTAAATATGTACTAATAAATTTTAACCGGCTTAGTGTTTTAAATTATTTTTATAAAAGTCGATTTACTAGACTGATTAACAGTTTGCAAATTTACCAAAGTCAATGTGTTACAATTCATTTGAAATACTGCAATCCTATTTGACAATTTTTTTTCTTCAAACACTAACCTACATTAAAGAATCAAAAAAACATATTCAAGACAGACTATCATGAAAAATTCCATGAATTATGTCCGGCATTTGACTGACCAGCAGTCGAACAGAATAAAATACATCCCCATTTACATATGAACACAACCTGCCTTCCAAAACACTGTCAATTAACAACAAAGTGTATATTCATTCTTAAAGTAAAACATATAATAAACAACCTTATGAACACAACTCTATCTATATTTTTTGGTACTTGTATATTATGCTAATTTTCTCAGTTTATTACTGTGGACAGAACTGTAGTGTAAATATGGTAACATTTTCTTCAATTGCTTAAACTATTTAAATGACATGATTAAATAATTATCTAATGATGATGATTTATATTTGGAAATTTAAGTTTAAAGCTTCATGTACATGTAAATTCACGTACAATAAATTGCATTATTATTAGAGAAGTATGACAAAAATGTGCACACTTTATTTGTAACATAAAATTTATTATTGAACGGTTAAAGGTTCAGGTTCAGGTGAGAACCACAATGTTAATAATAGCTCATAATTGTAATGGCTATTCAAAATAATGAAATGAATAAAAACTTAAGTTGGTCGAAAGCAAGAAATGGCAAATAATTTCTACCTGTAAAATAAACCAAACTTTCTGGATATCTTAAATAGCTGATGATTGACAAATGTAAGCAAAACAATTTAATTCAAAATTCAAAATCTTAAATAACTGATGATTCATAAAAATCCAAAAAATTTAATTAGCAGACCACAACAAGCAATTATCATAGTATTGCAAGCAATCCATAAGTCCCCTACCGGTTAGAACCCAAGCAACATTCTGATGGGCCATTTGCCATTCAATTTTACCAGTGAATGAATGACATGAATAAACTTAAATCTTTTAAGTTCTAAGTTTGTCTATATCACAGTAATGTGTTAAGTTTCCATGCTTAGTAAGGAAATTATGTTTATACAACCTTGTCATATTATAATGATGTGGGATTTTAAAGTAAATCCTATAAGGAATGAAGAAGTTGGAGTGAAAATACCAGTTTCTCGAAAAAAATCTATGTTCAAGGGGGACATTATTCTGGAAATAGTCTTGCTAGAGTATTTTACCTTCTCAAAAATGTCGAGTGATAATAAGAAACATATATATGAAGTTTGAAGTAGATACATTAGGAAATAAAGAAGTTATTTAAAAAAGACAACATTTTTTCCCCTAAAAAATCTAAGTTCAAGGGAGGTAATACTGATATTTTTTGTGCTAGAGTTATAAACCTTGTCACATATGATGTGGTTGATGACCAGAAACTTATATTTAAAGTTTGAAGTAAACACCTTAAGAAATAAAGAACATATAGTGAAAAAGCTGAAAAAATTAAATCAGAAATCTTGAAATTCAGGCTATTTGTTGCCATAGCAACCAGAATTTTCAACATAGGAAGAAAAGAAAAAAATGTGCATAATCTCCAGACTGCCATCTACCCATATTTCAAGTTTCATAAAAATATTTTCAGTACTTTTTGAGTTATCAATTGATCCAGTTTATGTGTTAAATTTGCCATATTTTCAGACTATTTGTTGCCATAGCAACCAGAATTTTCGACATAGGAAGAAAAAAAAAGACTTGCATAATCTCCATACTGCCATCTATCCATATATCAAGTTTCATAAAAATATTTTCAGTACTTTTTACGTTATCGCGGGATCCAGTTTTGTGGACGGACAGACTGACAGACAGACAGACGGACGGACAGACAGACGGACGGAGGGTAAACCTAAAGTCCCCTCCGGTTAAACTGGTAGGGGACTAATAAATGACTGATATAGCCTAATTAGTCAACACTCTATTAACTTAAACCAGCTAATAATTTGTATGAGCAATGAATCTTAAATGGCTGACAAAAGATATACTATGTTCATCCTTGAGTAAAATATTTTAATCAAAGAAATTTATTGAAATGTATGAAATTCTTATGAATATGGCTAATTTTAACAAAAGAATGAATAAATTATGTATGTGAAGCTGTGTTCCCCATTGCAGGTCAAGTAAAGTTGGTCTTTCCTTAAAAAAAATTCGTATTTCAAACTTGAGCATAGTATATCTTTCACATGTTTGGCCATTTGTGTAAAATGGCTTTTGATCAGAACAAGTCAAAAATCTGAAATAGTTGAGCATTTAAAATGTGTGAGATTTTACATTTCCCATGAGAAGAGATGATGAGTTATCAGAATATCTTTCACTGATTCTGTTATAGCTTTTCCAGGATTTTTCTTTTTAGCAAGTTCATATCTGAAATCTAAGTTGAAACCATACTCTGCTAATAACCTGAAACATAAATGTACAACATCAAACTAAACAATAAAATAAACACAATAGATAGGGTACATCTAGCTGGTATATACCATGCAAGTAGTTTTACCATCACAACAGGAATAGGGATTACTGTGAAATTATCTACATTGATTCAGTGTTGATTTTGCCTCTGAGATTATGAAAAGTATTAGATTAGAGTCCTGCTTATGTAACAGACTCCAATAAAGGGCCTCTTCCCAATTGAATTTTTCTTAAGAATCAAGTAGTTTTCCCAAAAATCTGAACTTAAACAAGCTTTTTTACTTCCCAAATTAGCAATTTTAGGGATAATGTTTCCCAAAATCAGGAGGCTAAGGCTTCTTCCCAATTAAGTGAGAAAAATCACTGGATTTATTTTCAGTATACACATGTATCAATCTATAAAATTCTTTTGTTTTTTTTTTTCACCAAAAATCTAAGTTTAAAGTACTCTTTTTTTAATAAAGTGCTTAAATCTTTTTCTGAATCAATGTATAGAATAAAACAAAATAAAAGTAGGTGTACATAAAAAACTTAAAATCACAAAAACATAGTTTTCTACTACCGGTATACAAGTTGTTTACATCTCAAACATAAACAGTTTTATTCGAGACTGTAAACAACAAATAAAATAAATGTGTCATGGCTATGAAATATGATACTAAAATAAATTTGAAAAGAAAAAAATAAGCCCACAAAAATACACTGTGCATACAGTACACAACAAACTTAAACTCTATTGTACAACATTTACACTTCATTTACAACAACAACAACTTGGTGATCATACCTGAGTTCACATTTTATCTGGACCCAACCAGGGCTTCGCATAAAGGACCATGGGTGGTACCACTTCTCTATAACATCTGTACAGGAACATAATGTCTCCAACCACAGGTGTAAAACTTGTTCACTGTTAATTACAAAACAATCTATAGATTAAGAGGTACTGGTATGTTCTGTCATTTTTTCCCCAAACATTACTAAAATTTCTTACTTAAACACAAATCTCTTCCAATTGAGACAGTGTTTATGTTATGGACAAATGAACAAATATTTTGTTACCAAGATTATAAAATTTCAATATTGAACAACTTGTAGCTATAAATTTTAAAGTACATTAAGATTTCAAAATTCAAAAATGTCCTTTAACTTGTGTGATAAGTATATCATGGGTAGATATCAAAATCTCACATGAACAATTAATAAAACATGTTACATTAATAAGATCAGACATGCAATGGGAAGTACTGCTAAAAACTAACCACTTAAACATGCTTTAAAGACCTTGAAAATACCGAGAAAAAGGCCATGACTTACTTTAGTCCACAACAAATCAGCGATCTTAACTTGACATCCATCTGAGCGTGGACAGCATCATGTGATATATTTACAGCTTGCACAGCCTTAAATAACACAATATATAATCTACATGTAGTGCAATATAACAAAAATCTATTGTTTAATTATATAGTGATATAATTAGCAATAATACAACTCTGTAGAGAAGTTGTATACTGTATAGCAATGTTTCAATGACTATTGTTTCTTTCTTATTAGTTATTGCCTCACCAATTCTTGTAAAATATTCAATGTTCACATGTTTTATGCATATGAGCAGGATTACTTCCAAACAAAACTTGAGTTCTTGACTTTAAGTTAATTTTATGCAACAAGGAAATTTTAATTTTTAGAGCAAAAAGTCAGAATTCGCTTGATTTTACTACCCCTTTACACCACAAGTAAATGTAGTCAACACAAGGTTATGGTAGATTCCTTTAATTGTAACTCAAGCTTCAAGTAGAAAATGGAAGAATTAGAATCATATATACTTCTTAATACACTCCATTCTCCAGAAATTTGAATCTATGGCAAGCATCAATTATAAAGACATGTAGCAGACTGTTTCATATGATTTACCTGAATACTTGGTAGATAAAAATACTTCTGTAAAAATAACAGGGAGCTGAAAACTTATTGAAATTTTATTTACCCTGTACAAAATTTCTTCTGGGGTAAGCACCTTTCCATCTTCATCTAACCTGTAAAATAAACAAATCAATCAATGCCAAAAACATTCTAATCTAGAATACGTAAAATGAAATACACATGTTTTGTTGCATGTGCAAATTAATGAAACATGAATTAAGTTTAAAATTTGTATATAATAGTTCAGGTGGGGCGGGGGCTGGGGGGGGGGGGGGGTTGGCTTGAAGTATCTTTACCATGAAGGGTGAATTACTTGCAGAGCTTACATGACAGAGAAACATGTTAACTTTCATTTTTATCATTGTCCCAGGCATGATTTCGACAATTAACACATTTAACCAATGATAAATATATCCTATTAATTTATGATTTTTTAAATAATATAGTCACGTAAATTCAAGTATAATCATACAGTTGGACTATAACATGACTGATTTTTAAGATTTCTATCATGTGCTTAATTAACTGACATCTATGTTTCAAAACTTCCTTTACCAGGGCTCACACTGGCTCAAATGAAATAATAGCCAATATTTTCAACTTAAAAAAATAATAGCCAAAAGTTTAGCGGACTATTCACCATTTAGCGATTAACAACATAAGCAGTTGATTAAATAAACATTACATATAAAACTTTTTCAGTTTTATAAGGATTCTCAAATAAACTGACACATTTGTGTATATTGATAACTACCTTTTTTAAAATAGAACCACAACTTTAATTGTTATTATAGAACAGAATAAAAACATTATAATTCGTATAATTACTGTACAACAAAAATATTAAAGATTCATTATAACTTTACATAATGCTGTTATCAGACAACTTTTTTTGTTTGTTCTAATCAAATTTTGTCAGCTTATCATAACCACTGTCAATTTCAACATTTCACATCTATGTCATATTCTGATATTAGCTATAGAAATAACACAAGTTTGCAAACTCATTTACAGAATGCAGCCTTTTTTCTGCGTAATTTACTGAAAAATATCATCATCACCAATGTTATACAAATTTTCTGCCATAGTAGTAAAGATTTTTAAACAGAACATAGCTTATTTCACCTTTAAATAAATATCAAAATTATCGGTGTCGCGAAAATATGTGACAATCGGATTTTTCCTGTTTTCTGAAGAAATATCCACAATTTTGGTTGTTGTGCAAATAGTTGTTTGGAAGTTTATACTTTTTAAATATTTTACCATTGTTTTCCACTGGCGATTTAGTTAAGTAGCTTAAAACAAAAAAAAATATCAAAATTTGCAATTACTGCAAATCACGGTAAATTTTGGGTAAGTCAATATCCAGTTTATCAATTTTAAAACGATTTTTGTGGCTAATTGACGGATATTTGATTATTATAAATGCTGGACAATATCTTTAAAGTACTTATACAATTATACATCTCGCATGTATTTTATCACCTCGGGCAATATAGTTAGCAGCACGTGACCGGTAAAAAGTTGACACTCAATTAAATGCACCCCGCTGGTGTTAATTGGGTCTACTGCATTCATTATCGATTTTTACACCTTATATAAACACTGTTGGAAGTAAAAAATAATCGCCAGATTTTGTAGCCAAAATGCAAAAATAATCGCCAATCTTATAAAATAATCGCAAATGGCGACTATGGCGACCGACAGCGTGAGCCCTGCTTTACAATATAGTCATGACTTCCTGATGTCTCTGTACTATTTAAGCAAAGTCGATATTGGTCATAATCAAACTTAGCTAACTGTAAAATTAATGATGGATTTGGTCGGATTTTTAACTTCACTCTTTGTAGGTGCTCTCTGTTTTGTTCCAGCACTATCCAGTCCAATGGATGGTGCTAAAGTAAGGAATTTGGAGAGAAGAGTTCGTGTTCTAGAGAGCAAATACTATCTACAAGCTGAGGAAATATCTATTCTCAGAGAAGATTACTACAAAGTAACCAGTGGTACCAATAATGTTCCTGCACTAGAAGAAAAATCTGACAAACCTGTTACATCAATTTCAAAGAATTTGGCAAACCAGACTATGGATAAAACAGAGCAGCTTATTAGAGCATTTCAACAGGAAAAACAGGAAAGACTATCAATGCAGGTGAGACTAGAAGAATTAGAACAGAAATGTGAAGAAAAACAAGTATCTGGTATGAGGTACCCCACTCGAAGTGTTCTTAGTGCTGAAAATGACAAAACATTACACTCGAATGAAGTACCATATGGTTATGCAGAGCTTAAACGGGAAGTTGACTATCTGAAAACTAAAGTTAGATATCAAAACACTCCAAAGATTGCATTCTCAGCTAGCATCAACTCATCAACGACATTGGCTGGTTTGTTTGATACAATCATCTTTGATAATGTTATCGTAAATGATGGTCAGGCATATTCAAGCAAGACTGGACAATTTGTGGCACCTGTCACTGGCACTTATGTATTTCATCTGAAAATTTTCCAGGTTCCCACCAATACTACAACATTAGTGAATCTTACACACAACAAGGAAAAGGTAGTATGTGTAGTCTTTGGACCCGAAGTTTCACCAAAAGACAGCAGTAATATTGTGTTACATTTAAAGGCTGGAGATATTGTAGAAAACATAACTGATTTACATATATTTATCCTCTTATCCAAATGGTGTAACTTCTCTGGGTTTCTTCTGTATGCAGACTAATAAACACAAATGTACAAGAGGGAGACAACTTGACTATAGATGTAATCTTACTACTGCAATATTGTTATATCCTGACAATGCTTGAAATCTAAACTATTTTATAGTTGTTACATTTGGAAAATAAGTGAGGCAGGTATGGAACAACTATAAAAATGGTTTTGCTTTACTGTTTGACAGTATGTGTGAAATTTACTTTAAGTCAAATAAATATTTATGGACCATTTCTTGGGACAGTAACAAAAAGATTATTTTGTATTCAACATTACAAACAAACAATAAACTCTACCCTAAATAACAAAGATTTATTTTAAAAGTGCTCATGGCATGGTTTATTTTTATAAAAAAATTGAATGTCTAGACTGAGATATCACTTTTGTCAACTAATTCATACATTAGTAACTGTTATTATTGTTAATATTTATTCATGTAAAAAGTACAAAGATACAAAATGAAAACATTCTCCAGACATATATTATTTCAATAAAGAGTTTGCAAGTGTTTCTGTAGCCATGTTATTTTTTTTATTTACAAACATTATTTGCAGATTTTTTTTCTATATCTGTTAACCAAAAGTATTAAATTTATATAATTTATCAGATAGCAAGCATTTATGTGGCAGTTCGCTAAATCAACTGTATTTATCAGAATAAAGTTGATAAAATCACATAAACAAGTGATGCACATTATAATTGTTCTTTTTCCTTTGGTAAATGCCTTAAAATCTTCAATATGGTTACCTCTCAACTTAAAAGTTGCAACTGTAGAATGAAATTTAATCTACATCAAACAAGAAAATCTTACCGGAATGTTTTGCAAAGTACAAGTCTGGAATAAACTGACTGAAAATCTTTCTCAACTTCATGAGAGGCAGCCTGGAAAAATCAAAATATATTTATAACTCAATGAGAATGCTAGCTGAGCTGGAGAAAATGTTTCTAAATATCTCAACATTTTGTGGCTTAAATTCTAGGAAATTTTAGTCTTTTGGAGGTCAGCCTATCAGTTCTGGTAAACAAACTACACATTTCTTGTACTCTATGTAGTTGGAGGTTGACTACTGCACCAAACCAGCACATAGAAACAAGGGCTACGTTTCAAGGAGAGTCCTAAGTTAATCCTAAATCCTAGGACTTATGACCAACTTTAGGAGAAAAAGTTTTTGCACTTAATACCGTTTCAAGTAACTGTCCTATCTTTTGTCTTAAACTTAAGACTTATGACCAATTCGCTTTCCTGAATACAATGGCATGCGCATAATTCCGGATTGGATTTACTATGTATTTGATTAAAGCAAGTATAAAAAGTAATGTATTGCCCTCTTATCATCTTGAGTGAAAATATATACCATATTTCACGAAAAACGATAAAATAACTGTTTTATCTAATTTTATAGTAAAACAAGAGCTGTCGGTAGGACAGCATGCTCGACTATTCTAAGTGCTTGATAGTAAAAGAGCCTTGATAATGTTAAATTTTTTAAGTTCACAAAAGGGCAATTTTTTTTTTTATAAATTCATGTTATAGGCCTTAGAGAGAGTCTAATTATACAGTATTGGCTTGACTATTCGGAAGGTAATGTCACAAGGGTGTTTTATTGAGTGTAATAATACTAATTACCTATGAATACATAAATTTGACAGAAAAGGTACAAAGGCTTGTTATTAAAATGTTTTATCAAGTAAATCACTGCTTTATTATTATGAATGCATAAAAGTGTCCCAAAAAAGGCACAAACCCTTCAGCAGTTATTGAGATAACAGCTTACAAGCAAAACTTTACCATGAATTTCTAAGTTGAAAAAGGGGGAGAAAAATCAGCCTAAATGCAAGACAGAATTATGGATCTTTGTCAGTGACCTACAATTATGACCCTAAATGCATATGTGAAGTTTTAAATAAATATCTTTAATAGTTATTGAGATATGTAAAACTTGCATGTAAACATTAACCAAGAGACTAAGTAGAAAAGGGGATATGAATCAGCCTTAATGCAAGATAGAGTTATGGAACTTGGTCAGTGACATACAATTATGACCCTCCAATTATGACCCTAAGTGCATGTGTAAAGTTTCAAGTAAATATCTTTGAAGACCTTTAACCTTTAACCAAAATTTCAAAGGGGCAAATAATTCTGCAAATATTGCAGGCAAAGTTATGCAATTTTGCAAACTGATGTACATTGTTACTATAAAAAGTATTTTAAATTTCAATTGAATATCTCAAGCAATAATTGAGATATTTGACTTTACAAAAAAACTTTAACCAAAATTTCTAAGTTCCAAAGGGGCATAAAATTTCTAAGTTCCAAAGGGGCATAATTCTGTCAATATTGTAGGCAGAGTTATCCAAATTGTCAATCTGATGTACCTTGTTACTATAAATAAGTATTGTAAGTTTCAATTGAATATCTCAAGCAATAATTGAGATATTTGACTTTACAAAAAACTTTAACCAAAATTTCTAAGTTAAAAAGGGGCATAATTCTGTCAATATTGTAGGCAGAGTTATCCAACTTGTCAATCTGATGTACCTTGTTACTATAAATAAGTATTGTAAGTTTCAATTGAATATCTCAAGCAATAATTGAGATATTTGACTTTACAAAAAACTTTAACCAAAATTTCTAAGTTAAAAAGGGGCATAATTCTGTCAATATTGTAGGCAGAGTTATCCAACTTGTCAATCTGATGTACCTTGTTACTATAAATAAGTATTGTAAGTTTCAATTGAATATCTCAAGCAATAATTGAGATATTTGACTTTACAAAAAACTTTAACCAAAATTTCTAAGTTAAAAAGGGGCATAATTCTGTCAATATTGTAGGCAGAGTTATCCAACTTGTCAATCTGATGTACCTTGTTACTATAAATAAGTATAGTAAGTTTCATTTGAATATCTCAAGTAATAATTGAGATATTTGACTTTACAAAAAACTTTAACCAACGCAGACGCCGATGCAGACGCTGATGCCGACGCGACTACAATAGCTCTCATATTCTTCGAATAGTCGAGCTAAAAATGGTTACGAACCCCCTTGCTTACTACGCATCTGCAATTGTACAGCGCAAAGTAATAATTATTATTAATTATAGATGCGTCTTGTTTTTGCACGCGATATTTGGCGCTACATTGTGACGTCATGTAAACAACTCTTTAAACGTCTGTACAGCGTTAATGACTGAATTAAAGATATTGGTGTTCGGATTTATTTTCTTAGTTAGACCATTATCTATCATTCTAGATAGTTTTCAAAACGAAATTCAACAAAAAGTTGTTTGATTTTGGAGTGGTTTTGGCTTAGGACAATCTTAAGATACCTTTAAAACACCCCTAGACTAAGTTCCAAAGGGGCATAAAATTTCTAAGTTCCAAAGGGGCATAATTCTGTCAATATTGTAGGCAGAGTTATCCAACTTGTCAATCTGATGTACCTTGTTACTATAAATAAGTATTGTAAGTTTCAATTGAATATCTCAAGCAATAATTGAGATATTTGACTTTACAAAAAACTTTAACCAAAATTTCTAAGTTAAAAAGGGGCATAATTCTGTCAATATTGTAGGCAGAGTTATCCAACTTGTCAATCTGATGTACCTTGTTACTATAAATAAGTATTGTAAGTTTCAATTGAATATCTCAAGCAATAATTGAGATATTTGACTTTACAAAAAACTTTAACCAAAATTTCTAAGTTAAAAAGGGGCATAATTCTGTCAATATTGTAGGCAGAGTTATCCAACTTGTCAATCTGATGTACCTTGTTACTATAAATAAGTATAGTAAGTTTCATTTGAATATCTCAAGTAATAATTGAGATATTTGACTTTACAAAAAACTTTAACCAACGCAGACGCCGACGCGGACGCTGATGCCGACGCGACTACAATAGCTCTCATATTCTTCGAATAGTCGAGCTAAAAATGGTTACGAACCCCCTTGCTTACTACGCATCTGCAATTGTACAGCGCAAAGTAATAATTATTATTAATTATAGATGCGTCTTGTTTTTGCACGCGATATTTGGCGCTACATTGTGAAGTCATGTAAACAACTCTTTAAACGTCTGTACAGCGTTAATGACTGAATTAAAGATATTGGTGTTCGGATTTATTTTCTTAGTTAGACCATTATCTATCATTCTAGATAGTTTTCAAAACGAAATTCAACAAAAAGTTGTTTGATTTTGGAGTGGTTTTGGCTTAGGACAATCTTAAGATACCTTTAAAACACCCCTAGACTTAGGACTGTTTTTGGTCATAAGTATAGGAGTCATAAGTTAGGACCTTTTTTAAGACTTTCTTTGAAACGCAAAATTGTCACAATTTTTATCTTAAGACAAACTTAAGACTTAGGACTCTCCATGAAACGCAGCCAAGGTCTAACTATGTAGCATTTACTAGAGTAAAAAATTAGAGTGTTTACTTGCTAAACTCGCCGTAAAATACAGAGGTAGGGTGTTCTGTCTGTACTAATAGTGTACACACACCGGCATACGCACTAAATAGCTAGAATAACACATTATCTGGTTGCTAAAATATTGGTTGCTGCCTACCATATTATCTGGTTGCTACATACTGGCTGTTTTTTGTTGACTGCTATTCACTGGTTTCAAAAATTGTCTCTAAATGTTGCTAGTAATTAATGGAAAATTACTGATAGGCCTCACTTCCACAGACTAAAATTTTTACATGTTGCAACCAAAATCATTCCATCCTATTACCAAACTATTGGATTAAATTCAATAAATGTAAACCTGAGTTTTGTTTTATTTCAATGTATGCTTAGTATATTGGGTGTTATCTATTTTCTTAAAATAAAGAGCTAGTACCAACTGTATACAGCCAAACAAGCCTATACTATAGTGCCAACTGTATACAACCAAACAAGCCTATACAATAGTGCCAACTGTATACAGCCAAACAAACCTATACAATAATGCCAACTGTATACAACCAAACAAGCCTATACAATAGTGCCAACTGTATACAGCCAAACAAGCCTATACAATAGTGCCAACTGTATACAGCCAAACAAACCTATACTATAATGCCAACTGTATACAACCAAACAAGCCTATACAATAGTGCCAACTGTATACAGCCAAACAAACCTATACAATAATGCCAACTGTATACCGCCAAACAAACCTATACAATAATGCCAACTGTATATAACCAAACAAGCCTATACAATAGTGCCAACTGTTATACAGCCAAACAAACCTATACAATAGTGCCAACTGTATACAACCAAACAAGTCTATACAATAGTGCCAACTGTATACAGCCAAACAAGCCTATACAATAATGCCAACTGTATACCGCCAAACAAGCCTATACAATAATGCCAACTGTATACAACCAAACAAGCCTATACAATAGTGCCAACTGTATACAGCCAAACCAACCTATACAATAATGCCAACTGTATACAGCCAAACAAGCCTATACAATAGTGCCAACTGTATACAGCCAAACAAACCTATACAATAATGCCAACTGTATACCGCCAAACAAACTTATACAATAATGCCAACTGTATACAGCCAAACAAACCTATACAATAATGCCAACTGTATACCGCCAAACAAACCTTTACAATAATGCCAACTGTATACAGCCAAACAAACCTATACAATAATGCCAAGAGACGAAAGGAAGCAAAATATAAAAACATATTCAAATAACTGTACTAACATTGTCACTTGTAAAAACTGTGACAAGAGAAAGAACTTACCTCTTCAATGAACAACCAAGGATGACATATACTACCCAGCAGTGAATGTCTCTTCAGCCCATGTTCAAATATTGCTTTCAATGCGGGACACAGTCTGAAAATTATACAAAAGTTATTACCAGTCTGAGCTTGGTAATTTACCCTGTTTGGCAATGTAAATGGTCTATAAATGATTTCATACCTGTATTAATAAAGGAGTTTTAATACAAACATAACTCAGCTTATAAAGGTTAAGTTTATTCCTTAGTTACAGCTCAGTTCTTCAACAAATACTTGTTTTCTTTCTATAGATTATAATATAATAAACCATCTGAGTACAATAGTCAGTCTGCTTCAATATCTGAACATTTATATATCTAACTTGATATTTTCTTCACAATACATTTCAAATATAAATATCTTCTTATGAATATTTGCCACAGCATATCCAACATTATTATAATAAATTGATATTAATACTGAATAATGTATCCCATTCCATTGAAATATTAAGGAAATAATGAAGATGACAGATATTTTAAAATTATGCATTTTGAAAGCAATAGACCCTGGAAAATTTAATAAAAACAAGAAAAAAATAATGCAACCAATTGAACATTTCAAATTAGTCAAGTATAAAGGGTGATATTTCAAATTATTAAACTGAGAAAGTGAAACAGGCAAAGTCACAGAGATATAATAATATAAACTATCAGTAAATTATACTTACGTTCCCCGGACCAGATCTGTTATAGCCTCTGATACACCATCATCACCAGCTAGAGAATAACTTTTACTTCTTTCATCAAGTAATTCTACAAATTTTGCAGGGAACCAGCCTCGCAATCCATTCAACTCTCCTACCCAACAATGCTCATCCTTCATTGATATAATCTACAAACAATACATAAACTGATTAATGTTTATACATAGAAACTAATTGTTTTATTGTAGTGTTAAGTTTATCAAAGTTACTAAAACAATCAATGATAAAACCTCTGTAGTACCAAATATGAATTTATCTAGAACCTTGATAAATCTATCTGAGAAGAAATTCACATTGCCATAATACCTTTAGTGACAATAAAAGAGTATTTGATATAAAAGTTTCATGTTCAGCATCTATTTTTAACGTTTCACCGCAGGGACAACAGGAATTAACAAAGTGTCCCTGGTTATTGTACGACTGTTAACAAACTTTCAACTTCTTCAATTTATAAATCATCGACAGGGGAAATCAACATTTTAGACTTTTAATATTCGTGAATTAATTATCTGTTATATTCATGTTGTAAATACTTAACAAACATTTATGTTCTCTAAAATCTTTAAGTGACATTTAATTCCTTGTGCAAGTTTCTGATTACACAGTTATAAACCTAGCACACTCTTTAACAAGCAAACAGAGACCTTAAGGTACAATTATCATAATCTAATTGCAGGGAAAGAATAAAGCTCACAGTAATTATGTCATTTTTTCTAAAGCCCAGTTCATCATCATCATGTCTTTCAAAGTCCAGCAAGGCTTTTGCTCTCCTTCTTCTATTTCTGGCTACATTCACATAATTCTCCAGATCTTTAGCGTGACTCTCCATTGAATAATCTGCTGACAGATTCTGAAATGTAAGGAAGTAAATATAATTGTTAAACACACATCAAACATACAGTTGGGAATGTTTACTGTCATATGTTATGACATATGTTTTAAAATCATAAAATTACAATTTATAATTAATTTAAATATATTTTGTTTGTAAACCACATACATTTATCTATAACCATTTTTTTCTCTACTTATGAAAGGCCAGAAATTAGCATTTTCCCAAAGCATTATTTCAGCCATAATTAGATGATATAAAGAAGTTGTTGCATAAAAAATACTTTTATAGGCACCCTAGAAACCAAAATAATTGTTGAAGAAATAACTCCAGTTGGATAGTATGAAACTAGGTCATATAAGACAGAGTTTGTTGAGTTTCAAAAAAAGACGCTTAAACAGTACTGACTGTACTGAAAACAATTACAAATGTAATTGAAAAATTATTAAAAACCATGTTTTTATATAAATCTGCGAGATATAATCTCAAAACATCTACATGTATGTCTACTTTAATTGTATCCAAAGTGAAATAAAACAGCTACCATGTTTTTTTTCAAGAAAAAAATGCTAAATCAAAACTTGAAACCATGAAAATAAACATTGATGAAAACTACTTCACACTGCAGATTTAGATAAATAAATATGACAAAAAACGTTTTGCATTCTTAAAAGATTGCTAAAGAAATATACCCTGCCAATCACTTATTGAAACATAGTTATAATGCCCATATGTTTACCACTTTAACATTTTTTGGATCCAGGGACTGAAAGTGTCTAGCTACTTGTAGTATAGCTTCACGTAAATCTACAAGAAGTTCTGTCTGTCGTATATTCTTAGCTTTACCAAACTCATCATCAGTGTCTCCCCAAAGTAACAATGACATCAACGATTTTGATCGACGCAGGTGTCTTTTGTTTAATTGCTAAAACAAAATACACAAACAAATCAATTGAACTCATTGCATTATGTTGAATTATTAAAAGTCAGTTGCTCAGAAAAAGTGTCAAGCAATATTTTGTATTCATGCTTCCATAACATTACAAAACAGGATATCTGAAAAGAGAGTCAAGGGAGATAAAAAGTCACACTTTGTGATTTATAAATAAACAAAATAATAAAACTTATCAAAATATAGGAAACATACAAATTACAATATCATTTAATCCAGCATGTAACCAATTCCAGTGCTGTAACTACATATTATATACTATATAAGACAACCATGAAACCTAATGGTGTCAGTCACACTGCATTCTTAGACAGATCACTACAAACTTCTCACTTTGTGTAGTAATAATAGAAATCAGAGTCCGTTGTTTCATTTTTTTTCTTCATGTTTACTTTAGATGTACCAACAATGCAATTTTATTCTATAAATCACAGACTGATGTTATGTTAGAACATTGCAAAGAGAAATGTTATCTACAAAGTGTGTACACAAATTCTAATTATCTCTTTACATAAAACAAACTTACCTGTTTGGGTAAGTTTTTGGCTGATTCTGGATTGACAATTGCCCCCTGGTCAGCCATGATGTAAGCTAGATGTTTACGTCTGTGTGTATCCACAACAATATCTGTCAGTGAGCCACATACTCTATATGCTAGCTGTAATTATAGTGTAGCATATACAAAAAAAACTGTGACGTCCATGTAATACAGATTTTTCCAAATTGTGATTTATTTTAAAAACTAATCCCCGGGTTTACCACACAAAATGTTAAATACAATTTATAAATTTATCCTGGTCTTTTTTTTTTTTATTTTTACTATATTTCTTCTTTTGTTTTTATATTAGAAAAAATATAGCATATTACAATGTGTTTTTTTACAAACATGTATATGTTTTTTCCATTTAAAATTAATTTTTGAAAAGAAAAAAGGAGGAACAATCACTAAAATCTTTATGAACAGTATAAAAATGGGAATTTTTTCCAAAATTTTAACATTTTTTGAGTTTAACATTGTTTAATCCCAAAAAAAAGTGCTAAATAAACGTCTAAATGTAGTTAATTTTAAGCAACATTGAAAATTTTGAATCCCTGCTAAGTTTTTATGAAGTTTAACCCTATTAATGATTTTTATATGTGTAATTTTGTTTCGATCCCCTTAATAAAAATTAGTCAGTAGTTTATTATATGGGCAAGTAAGAGTTGTGTTCTTACCTCTATGAGTTCATCTACATCCTGTACATCACCAGGTACGTCAGACAGGGCATTAAATATCTGAGCTGAATTATCTAGTGTCTTCAACTCTATCTCCTGTTTATATCAGACACAATTTACCATTTACCATTAATACATATATGTATTTCAAGTCATTCACAAGCAGGTGCTTTCACAACAGTAAAATATTTCAAAATCAATATAAACTGTAATGTCTCTTAAAGAACTAATATTATGTTGTCCTATGCAAGCTGTTTTGGTTAACATTTGAATTTTTTTTGCCTAAAAATAGTTCTTCGATTTGAAATTATCAAATGAACCAGTAATTCTTAAAGGTATGTCAAGAAATTGTGTACATCATTTTTGATTTAAATGAAAACATTTAAAATGTTCTATTAAAATGCATGTACTACAAAAATATATCATTAAAATCACATGTAGAACCAATTGACTGATTCAAATAAAGTCTTACAATGCATATCATGAACAACAACAAAATGCAATGCATAAAATTTTGCATTAACTTGTTTTTAAATAACATGAAGTGAGAGGGAGATAAATGTTAGTGATGTTAGTACCTTCATTTTAAGCATGCCCATGGTCATCTGAAACAGTGTTGTAGTTCCATCATAAAAGAAGAGATCCCAGAGACGTAGTAATACCTTCATATGTACCACACTAGCAAACAGTGTCAGGAACCAATGTAGGCTATTTTTGATAATTTGAAATCATGCCGAATATCACTACAACATGCAAATTATATATTTTTAAATTTTTTTAATAAGTCTTCATCTCTAAAATTGGAGATGATGCAATAATGTTGTGTGACCTTTAATCTGTGCATTATAAATATAAGGGGTTTACTGGATTTTTATTTTTAATTGATGATATTTTAACAGTATAATTTGTAAACACTAAGCATGTTTATAAGGATAACCACACTAACACTCTAAACATGCATCTCTTTCTAGAAGTGGTTTGTTCCATCATTAATAATTGTTAATCATACAGAAGCAGTTGTTTGTTTGTTTGAAAACATAAAAAAACTCTATCAGAAACTTTAAAAATTCCCTGGGAATGCCTTTTTTTCTATACTTTTATATTCTAATCCATCTATTTCTATTATATCGCAGTAACGCAGGGAATGTGAAATAATGCTGAATTGTGCAATAGTATTTAAGGCAACAAAATATAAGGCTGAAACAAGTTAAACAGCACAAACCACAGTTTACTTCATAATTCCTATCGGGGGGGGGGGATTCATAAAACAAGAGGGCCATGATGTCCCTGAGGTCGCTCACCTGTTATAGGCCCCCCCCCCCCACCCCCCAATCGTTGCACGGGCCAAATTTAACCCAAGGGCTTTTATTTGCACAAACTTGTGTAGACACCCATCAGAAGAATGTTTCATGCTAAACATCTAAGCTCTAGCTCAATTGGGCTTTTTACTATACACATTATAGTTAAAAACAATGACACCCCTGGGGCCGGGCGAGAGTTTTGACCCCAGGGTTTTTATGTTGAACAAACTTTGTTAGACACTTACTAGAAGAAATGTTTCATGCTTAATATCTTAACTCTAGCTATTTGGGTTTTTTCAAAGAAGATTTTTTAAGTTTTTGCTATACACATATAAGGAAAATCAATGACCCCCGGGGCAGTGCAATTTGACCCTGGGCTTTTATTTGAACAAACTTGGTAGACACCTATTAGATAACATGTTTGATGCTCAATGTTTCTTAGCCATAGCTCTTTTGAGTTCTTTTAAAAGAAGATTTTTTTTTAGTTTTTACTATATGCTAAATATATAGGGAAAATCAATGACCCCCCGGGGCGGGGCAATTTTGACTCCCACCCAGGGCATTTATTTGAACAAACTTGGTAAGACACTTATTAGAACATTTTCATGCTAATATCTTAGCTCTAACTCTTTCGGTTCTTTAAAAGAAGATTTTTTTAAGTTTTTTACTATATGCATATAGGGAAAATCAATGAACCCCCTGGGGCGGGCCAATTTTGACCCCAGGGCTTTTATTTGAACAAACTTGGTAGACACCTATTAGAACATGTTTGATGCGTTCAATTTCTTAGCCATAGCTCTTTGAGTTCTTTAAAAGAAGATTTTTTAAGTTTTTACTACCTGCATATAGGGAAAAATCAATGACCCCCCAGGCGGGGCCAATTTTGACCCCAGGGCTTTTATTTGAACAAACTTGGTAGACACTCACTAGAAGATGTTTCATGCCAAATATCTAAGCTCTAGTCTTATGGTTTTTTAAAAGAAGATATTTAAAGTTTTTTCTTTCGGTTGCCATGGCAAACAGAGTTCTGCAATGGAATTAAATTCTTTGAACAATTTTTAAAGGTGACCACCAAAGGAACATTCCTGTGAAGTTTGAGATGAAATTGGCTTAGTGGTTTATGAGGAGATCCATTTAAAGTAAAAGTTTACGGACGGTCCGGACGCCAGAGCGGATGAACGGACGCCGGACGAAAAGCGATCACAAAAGCTCACCCTGTCACTTTGTGACAGGTGAGCTAAAAACCCACAACCAATATTCATTATACTTTTACAACTAATCAAAGTAACTAAAGGGGACTTAATTATTTTGCAGCACAGGTGCTTTTCTATGATAAAATACTTAGCATAAAGGAATACGACATAAATAATTAAAGGAGCTTCACTGAGGTTAAAACGAAAAAAACTTAAAATTTGAAATCTTACATAGATCAATTGAAGCACTGATAATGAAAATATGCAGGAACAATAAAATACATTCTCATAATTAAATTGAATGTTGATTTTGTGTGATTCTTAACAAGGCTTTACACCACTTTTCATTTTTTTTGGTCATTTTACACAACAAAAAATCTTATGATATAATAATAGGGTGTGGGAATGTTCTGAAATTTTTTGTCTACAACTTATTGGACCTGACCTGTATCAAATGGTGCACAAATCTCAAAAAAAAAAAATTGTGTCCTGTATTGTCAAAACAAACAGTCTGTAAAGTCCCTTTAATAAATCAAACTTTTTTATTATTCACACATGTTTTACATCACTTCCATACATTTTACTGTTTGTTCCAGTTATATGATCAATCTCACCCAATTTCACTCTCAATGATCTTACCTATATCATGTTCTTTTAATACAAGATCTGTGTCAGGTAGGTAACTGGTAATGAGCTGTCTCAAAACCCTCTGATCTGCCTGTAAAATAAAACTAAGTTGTTTCAATTTTATGAGATAAATTTTAAACAGTTCACATAATAATAATGAATATAGATATAACGTGAATTGGTCTACAATGGAAAAACTTTCCATGAGTATTTCAATGTTGATCAAATCAATATAAATGTTATGTTTGGATATTATCATAAAATATTGTTTGAAATATAAATTTGATAAAGTTCTAAGTGATTTATCATGAACATATATATGGTGAAAAATAATATTTTATGCTAGAACATTTTATTATCTGCTATATAAATATATGTAATCTCAGATCATGTATCTCACACAACACCAACGTATAATTCCTCAAGGTTTGTGGTTATGTCCGATTCTAAATACTATCAATGTAATTATTCATGATATTTCAAATCTTTCATTATAGATCAATTCACTTTAAAGGAAAAGTTGCATGTACATTTTTTGTTGATTTAAACGAAGTGTTGAAAGTTTTGTTCAGTGTAATTTGAATAAATTTGTTAACTTATATTAAAGCACACATAATTAAGCAGCACAAGGCAAATAAGTGCTCTCTCAGTCTCTATGCTGTATTTTCCCTATAGTTATCTGGTTTTTCTTGTTACGGCAGAAGTAAGATATTCATAAAAATTTATTCCTAAAATAGTTTGACCTGAATATATCTACGGATTTTAGCTATTCAACATGATTATCCATGTAGCTTTATTTCACAATAATACAATAATCATTATCAACATACAGACTTCAGACCAGAAATCTGATATGTTTGTATTGCAATAAAACTTTACTGGAGCTGTTATTTGTATATAAAATTGATTAATCCATAAAAACCATAAATATCAGTGCCCCATGAAAACCATAAATATCAGTGCCCCATGAATCTATGAATTTTACAATACTTCTTTCCTATTGCTTTATCTAGTATCAACTTTTGGAGGCCTTAAAGGGTCAAAAGCCATTTTCTAGCTTTACTGGAAGAGAAAGATTCCTAAATAACCTTCAAATATTATTTTAGACACAGATTCAAACTTGGTTAGACCCAATTACCTTCTGTACAAGAGTAGAATATCTTTCTACCCTGACAGAATCAACTTCCCTACCCTGACAGAATCAACTTCACTACCGTGACAGAATCAACTTCCCTAACAGAAATAAAATCCTGTGAGAGTCAATTGAGGCTTGAGGAGTATACAGGTATACTTCTGTTGGTTTAACATTCATTCTTTTATTTGATGTTTACTTGACAAAGATACTGGCTATATTTTATATATTATTATGTACGTTAAGTATATCGCAGTAAGCATTAAAATACAAACCTGAATACCAAGTAATGTACTAGAATAGTATGAAGCAGGTAAAAGGTCCTCTATTATGGCACACATCATCCAGAACGTATCTTCTTCTTCCATGAATAACAATAATGATGCAGCAATCTGGTAGAATACAAACAATATATTGTCACTTAAAACCAGGGAATATTTACACTTTTAATATTTTGCTTCATGTTAAAATTGTTCACTGTAAGATCAAATATCTTATATAAACACGCAAAATAAATATTTTAACAATATACATCAAGTCTTCACATAACAGGTGCAAAAACAATTTTAAATTTAAAGACTCTATTTACTAACAATTGGAAAACAGAAATTAGTTTAGAAAATTTTAATTGTTCATTTGTAGTAAAAACTTCAGCCTATACTGTTTTTGCAATAAATTAAAAAAACAAAAAAACAACAACAACAACCCCCCCCCCCCCCCAAAAAAAAAAAAAAAAAACAAAAAAAAACAACTAATTTTGAAAGAGACTAGAAACCAAACATTAAAGGGACTCCACTGAGGTTTTTTGACATGATGGGATTGAAATTTTTTTCCAGATAAATGAACCATTTGAAGTAGGTTTAGACCACTAATCTTTGTGCAAAATTTCAGATCATTCACGCACTTCGTTTTTCCAGAATAATTATTCAAATTGTAAAAAATGACATAAAATGAAAGATGTTTTAACGCTTTTCACTCAAAACGGGCTAAGAAAAGCATAAAAATACTATTTTCAATTTATTTCAAAGTATATTTCTTAACTATCTTTGCATATATTTCTGTTTAAAGTGCCCCCAGCTCATGTATGTAAGAAATTCAAATGTTATGTTTTTAGGCTTTTAAACCTCAGTGGAGTCCCTTTAATGAGAACAGCAAGACAAGATTTAGTTAAGTATAACTATAACATACCACTCCTGTACCCTGACAGTATCCAATATCTGGAAATAACCATGCAAGACCACGTAGAATCCTCCTTAATCTTGGTATACCAGTACTATGTATATTACAGTAACATGCATTACTTGGCATTGTACGTAACAAATCCTGTAAAACAAGAAATATACAATCAAATATGCAAACCTAAGGTGGTAATTTCAATATATAAATTTTGAAACAGATAAACCAATGGTTGAATGTGTATGTACATCTTTCTACCCTGACAGAATCAACTTCCCTAACAAGAATAAAAACCTGTGAGAGTAAATAGAGGTTGAGGAGTATACAGGAAGACTTCTGTTGGTTTAGCATTAACAGGTACTGGCTAAATTTGATATATTCATTATGTATGTTAAATATATCTCAGTAAGCATTAAAATACATAAGATTACACACAATCTAATTTTCCATTAGGAGAAAAACATTCCTCTTACTAGGTTCTAAATACAAACTCACTATCAATACTTGTTAACCATCTTACAGTTTTATAACCTTAAACTTTTGAAAAATTGTAAGATAAAACATCTTAAAACACTAGATTTATTTTCACAAATTCACAATTCTCATTCTAGTTATCACCTAAAACTTACTAGCAGATTAATGGCTATTAGCTAATGTGAAACTGAGTAACTTATGTCACCTTCTTTGGTGATTCTTCACTATCATGGTTTCATTATTTACACTAACATTAACAGGTTATACTGCACAAAAATATCTTCAGGATATAAATCATGTTTCAAACAACAACAACAAAGGAACACATTATCATCTGTTACATCAAATAATTTTGACAACTGTTATGTTTATGGTATCAAGATTACACTGTTACCTTTTCAATTTGTTTTGAGGTCATAAGGTGATCATTAGAGCTAGCTTTGACAATATCCTTGTATGTAAGGTCAGATTTCTTCTTTTTATCAAGAGCACCAGACAGCCTGATCCACATCTGAGGTCTAAGGGAATGAGGGATACCTGCCCTTACCATCTGACGTAGCTTTTCTGTTCGTTGAAAACGACTGTCAACCTGTAATACATTACAGACATGTATTTCAGTCAAGCATCTACAGTATGGTATTTACTATATAATGATATTTACCAGAAGAAACCTGTTATAACAGATGTAATACAATGGAATGTCAATGTTATTATATGTCAACTAAACAGCTTTTGACAAAATAAATAATCATCAAAAAGTAAAAACACAGAGGTCCTTCAAATAATATACTGTATATGTGGATATTTTTGCGTCACAAAAATTTTGCGAATGTCAAAAAGTGGAATTTTTGCGTGCAGAAATATTTGCGAAAATATGATTTCTTACTTATGATTTAAATTTGTGATACCTTTTATTAAGCAGGTACATGTTTAGAAAATGTCGTTATTGTAATCCTTCTATTCAGTAATTAAACACCTTTATAATTTATATAATTTTTTGAAATATACAATATATCAATTTGCAAAAATCACAAATATTTCCACTATACAATAATTTTATTATTAACCACTTATACAGTAATTGTCAAATGATAAAATAATGTTTTAACAATAAGATAAGCTGTAGAAAACTAACTTGGTTATTTACTGTTTTTATAACTATAATTATTCATAAACTTTATATTGTGTCTGACATTATATAAAATCTTAAGACATATTTTTTATTTTACATTTGTATAAAAATTGTACAATATTATATTCACTCGCAACTAAAAGAAATAATAAGAGCTGTCAGTAGAATGGCATGCACAACAATTTTTAGGTGCTTGAGAGTAAAACAAGTGTCTTGATATTGTAAGAATCAACAATGGGGAACATTTCATACATGACAAAATTTGACATTGTCATATAATCATAATCCTTAAGACATGTGTGAAGCTTCAAGTGAATACCTTCAGTAATTGTGAAAATTAGACTTCAACATAACACTTGAACCAGGAATTTTGTGTATGTTCACAAAGGGCCAAAATTCAGTCACAATCCATGCTAGCTTTATTGGCTTTTAAAAGTGACTTCTCATTTGTATCACAAACACTAAAAGTTTCAAATAAATAAAATTAGTAGTTTTGTAGTTCAATGTTGCATGCTAAACTTAAATCAGGAATTTAGTACTTCAGTCACAATCCATAGGTCTTTGGTAGTGACTTCTAATGATAATTCTGAAGACGGTTGTAAAGTTTCAAGTGAATACCTTCAATAGACAATACCTCCAATAGGTATAATGAAATAAGATGTTGCACAGGATTACCTTAAGGAAGTGCTATTATTATGCCAGGGTGAGAAAAGCAATGCACTAGTCTTTTAAGAGTTGAGCTTAAAAAAACAAGAGCTGTGGATAGGAGAGCATGCTTGACTTTTCTCAGTGCTTGATAGTAAAATAAGAGCCTTGATAATGTAAGAATTAACATAGAGGAAAATTTCATTTAATGTACATGACATAGCTCTACATGACATAGCTATGAGTCTTGGATATGCCAAAGAATTTTGTTAAGTTCACAAAGGGCCTTATCTGATAATTTCAATCAAAATCCATGCCAGAGTTAACAATCTTGAAAAGTGACCAGAATTTTAATTCAAAAAGGACGAATCAAGTTTCAAGTGAATTAAATCAGTATTTTCATGAAAGATTTATGTTGTAAGCAAACCTTCAATGAAGAATTTTCTAAATTTACAAAGAGCCATAATTCAGCCAAAGTCTGTGTCAAAGTTAAGGATTCTTGAATAGTGAACTCCAATTATGATATCAAAGCCTGTATTTAGTTTCATGTAAATTACCTTCAACAGTTTCAAAGTTCAAAGGATCATAATTCTGTCAAAATCCATGCTTGAGTTATGGGCCTTAAATAGTGACCTATTATGCTCTCAAATAAGTGAGTGAAGTTACAAGCAAATATTACAGTGGCTGATGAGATGCAAAACTTTAACAAAAGTGTTACACTGACGCCAACACCAGGGGTAGAAGGATAGCTCTACTATTCTTTGAATAGTCAAGCTAAAAAGTGCACTTAAACTGTCAAAAACTTGTAGCACAAAATTTAAGAAAATTTCTTTCTGGTGTAAACATTCATTTCAGTGAGACCAATATGAGCATAGTGTATAGTAAGAATGTGTAACCTTGTCCCATGTTAAATCCTCAACCTCCTCATTATGTGTAAACTCAAGATAGGCAATCCATTTTAACCTGTGCTGGGGGTCTTCAATAAATGGTGTGCTCAATAACTTACTAGAGTTCTCCTCTGGTCCATCTAAAATATTTAAAATATCACAGGCTCATTGTTATACAAAATTGTGATTTTAATACTTTATTGCTTTATACAAATATACAATTTTAGAACAGTTTGTGTTATTTAAAATAATTATCGATATGTTTCATTATTTGAAAAATGAATACATGTACAATGGAAGTATTAAAGCTGCATTTTCATTATTAAGAAATAGCTACATTTTGTTACTTAAATGTATTTCATAATCATATCAACTCCCATTCTTATTTTGGTGTCCAGACAACCTAAAATGAGTTTTATAAGCCTAAAACTCATTGTGGCAAAATTGGAAGTATAATTTCTATTTGCATGAGAAACTCCACTTATGGGCAATCCCTTTAAGTAGTAGTCCAAATTAACTTTTTTTTAAGTTCACTACTGTGATGTAGTGCATACACAAACTTATTACAGTCTTCATTTGCATGTTAAAATTTGTATTGTAACTGTTATGTTTTCTTTTTAAAATCATAATTGATTAACAATATGAGATTTACAACCAAACTATTAACAAGGCTAACAAACTGTAGAATGCTTGGTTTTTAAGCCGATAGAAAAATGTTTTTACATATTTATAAAATGCAGCTTAAAATTAGAAGAAAAAAATAGTCTAAGAAACCTAGGCATGCTTTCATTTGAGAGACAGCTTTAAATCTCAAAATGTTTTTTCTTTTGTTCATAAAAGCCAGTCTATTTTGGTATTTAATCCATTAGCTTAAGCATGTCTATATCTTACTACCATAACAACTGCTGAAAGGGATTTTATGTTCAAACAGTCTGATATATCTATTCACGATGTCCAGACAAGATTAAATCCTGAAAACAAGATTAAAGTATGAAATGCGAGTAATATAAAATGTCATTCAGAGTGGATGATTAATTTAATACAAATCAACAGACCTTCTTCCTCGACTTTAAACCCAAATTCATCATATCGATAATCTAACTGTCCATTGGAATCTTCTGGCTGAAATACAAAAATTATTTCATAATCAGTTACATTTAAGACATTTTTGGTGTATTCCCTCTCTTGACATTTTTATTTACAAAAATAATATTTGGCCATCAACACTTAAAAAGTCGTTCCTACCATACTACTAACCTTAAATCAATACCAATTGTTTGGTTGTTGTTTTCTGTGTAATATAAGGTAAGCCAAGCATTAGGTTTATAAATTATGAAAACAGCTGTCTCCCTATATCACTGGAGACATATCAAAGAAAATAATTAATCTAATGTCTATTATAGAAGAGGATGTGGACAATAAACTAAAGAAATTGCCAATGAATTAATTTTGTTAAGTATTGACATTTGTTTTCTCTGTAACATATAGACAAGTATCCTTTTTCAAAGCACTAAATGGGAGACTACTTTTCTGTTTTGTTACTAACTTAATAAATAAATGTTAACTGTCATGACATTTTTATGTAAAAAAAAATAACTCACTGGGTTTCCCAATTTAATCATTATATCCTGTGGCCACATTGATGGTGTGAGTGCCGAGAAAGGTCCTCCAGGAGTGGGGCTGAAGTCTGAACAGCCTTTGTATGGATGTGTTGCTGATACACTAACAGATTCTGTACATCCATCACCAATATCATCCTCATCTTCTGATAATGTCTCCACTGTAAATAAACATTCATCTTCTCAATTTCTGAATATTTGATGGCAAGTGTAAATAAAAACTTTCCAATGTCAAACTATTATATAAAGACATTTTACACATCCTCATTCCTGGCAGACTACCACATACATTTCGAAATCACTTACTTGAATTAACAATAGATGTTTCCAAAATCAAAGAAAAAAAGTTTGTTACACAAATTAAAACAGGAAATGTGATTATAATAGGTACATGTTTAGGCCTTTTATCAGTATTTTGTTAAGACAAAGAATCACTGAAAAGTCAGTGTAGGAGGTGCTACCCTCTTCGACATACATGTATTATTTTTTTCCCATTTTTTTAGGTTTGTTTACACAAATTCACATATTCTCCCTGAAATAGTGAACAGTTCTGGACTATGACAGATTTAAAGAATATCTATCTAAATAAAAGCATAACACTGAAAGAACAATTTTATTTTACTTTATTATCCTTTCATCTAAAACTCTACAGCTCATTAAACTTCCTGCATGGTCACTGCAGCAGACAAAAGGTGAGTGACTCGAAAGTCCAGTGTATAAACAGTTGCATTCTAGCTGTTTAACAGGCACAGGTGGCAAATTAATCTTATTAATAAAACAATTACCATAAAAAATGTTGACAAAATTTTGAGTTTGTGTATTTGGTTTCAAACCTTTATAATTTTAGAAATACTTTTAATCTATAAATCATTCATTAAATCATATGAAGTTAACCATAAACTGCAGTGGTTATACCAACACTCTGCATAGATCAATGATCAGTGCAAACATAATGATTTGTTACAGAACTTAAACCTGGGACCCTCTGAATACCCTTCTGCAGCTCTACTGACTGAGCTATCCTGCCACTTACACATATTCTCCCCTAAGAATGAACAGTTCTGAACCGTGACATACTCCCCCATTTTATTGAAATTTGTCCTAGAATTTCTCAGGGTTACAAAGCAATGTAAATTAAACTCTGAGCTATATACAGTCACAGTCCCAAAGTGCGATGAATTTCACAGGGTGAGAAAAATGTGCAGCGTGACCATGGCTCGAACCCAGGACCCTAAAATACCCTCTCTGTGGCTCTACCAACTAAGCTATCTGGCTTCTTACACATATTCTCCCCTAAATAGTGAACAGTTCTGAAAGCTCATTTAACTACCTTCATGGTCACCGCAGCAGACAAATGATGAGTAACTCAAAAGTCCAGCATACAAACAATAGCATTCTAGCTGTTTAACAGTCACAGGAGGTGTATTTAGGTTATTAATTAAACAATTGATTTTTAAAAATGTTGACATAATTTTGAGTTTGTGTTTTTGGTTTCAATATCTTTATAAATATAACAAATACTTTTAATCTACAAATCATCCATTTAAATTATGGCCTACAGTGCCTTGAGCATTGATTAAGTTAGACCTTAGCCATACTGATTTATATAAGTCAATCAAAGGCAGGGTCTGGCCGGTAAAATACATAAAATTTCATATACCTATCATTGAAATTTTCAGTGTCAGTTCTAATTGGGCCCTGCCATTTTCAATGTAATTCAATGATAACAGACGGGGTATTCCGTAACAGAACAAACACAACTTTTCGGATTAATAATAATTTTAGAGTGTTCAAAGTGAAAACGGAAGCTGTTCATGTATTGCAATACCAATACACCGATATAACGGATTGCTTACCTCACTGTATAAATCGTACGTAAAAAGGTCTGACATATGGTAGGTTTAACAGTTAATTAAAATACTTTGAAGTCCAAAGATGTGTTGAATTTTATACTGTGACGAAGCTAAGATCCAAAGCTTTCTATTGGTGTAATACATTTTAAAATCGGACATTTAATCACAACAAATTAGCGGTTTAAAAAATTGTTTTAGCATAAGCAATATCGATTTTACTCGAAGATAAGGGAAGCAAATCGTATTTTTTCACTCGATATAAAACGGTTATTTACGTAGATCATATTATTGAAAGTGTTTATGGGTGTATTGACACCTTTAAAACAGAAAAATTAACAATTTTTTTACCTGTTCATAGGCTTGCCTAATTTCATAATCATATTAGCGAATGTGGTATGCAACAACAAACATCATAACTTGCATATATTATCATTGTTAAAGTTATCAATTAAAAATTACATTATCATGCAGTTTCGAGAGAGTCAGTGTACCTGGTTCGAATCCGGGTCAGCTCGACCCTAAAACGTACTCAGCCCCCGAGTCAGCTTGGCCCTATTCCAACTCGGCACGGGTCAACTCGGCCCACTTTTTAATTATTAATATTTAGGTTTGTGTTATCACTTTTTATTGTTATTATTGTAATTATTTATACAACACAGATTGACAGTTTCAGAACTAGCAGCAGACAGGCTTTTCTTTTCAGTAGAATTGCGAGTAAAGATAACCAATTGCGTATCTCACTGTATTTCTGACTCGTGGTAGGTTTAACCGTAAATTTAAATACCTTCAGTGTCAAACAATGTGGTGAAATATATACTGAGAGGAAGCTTTTAATTGGTGTAACAAATTTCAAAATCAGACATTTAATCGCCCCAAACTAGCGATTTAAACACGGCTGAATTTGAATTCTTTTGCAAGCGAAGGGAAACAAGTCTTGCTTTTTCACTCAATATACCTCGGTTATTTACGTAGTTCGACGGAGAGAGTTTATAAATATAAGACAAATAAATAACATTTTTTTTTCTAAATATACTTTATTTCGGCAGAAGTACAATGTATAACTATATAAAAATAAGATATTCAGTCTATGCGAAAGACTTCTGAGTTTTACTGGACAGAGGGTCCTGTAAACTGAAAATTTTTACTGGACCAAACATGATTTTACTGGACCGAAAAAAAACCTGATTGGTATAGCATTTTGAGTCACTTGATAAGTGTCAGCAGTCAAAAAATTTGTGTACAAAAAGAAAATTATATTATCAACGAAGTGAAGTCATCTTTTTTCACCGCAATCAAAATGTTAACTTAAATATTGTTATACATGCATTCAATGGATTTTGCTATTTAAACTTTAATTCCATACAGACTACATACTACATGTAGCAAAATGAGAGGGTAAATTTCAGCATCAGTCTGGCATATGTATGTAAACAGAATTATATATATCGGTAATTTAGTGAAGTTGACAGATTTAATAATTGTTCAATGATTTTGGCACCTTCACAGTATAGTTTAATTTTTGTCAACATCTTGGACGATCTTTCATATCCCTAATTCGCTGCTAAACACCAGTTGAGCACACGTGTAATTTAGCATTACTCTAAGTCTGTGGATTAAAGACGTAAATTGTTCCAATTTAACACTGACACTTTCAACTGTGTAAACAAACTTATAACGGGTGACCTTTCACATCTGGGCAGCTTATGTAATTTACGCAGCCGCTTATTGACTTTTAATTGAACTAGTTGTCGGATATTTTTATCTTACGTTGTTACATAAAAGTTTGCATTATGAGAATGCATAACAGTTGACAAGCATTGCACGAGCTTACATTGTCAAATGACAACATTTTGAATTTAGTTAAATGATCGGCCTTTGCAAAATGTTGAATGTAAGGTTTTTATAAAACCTTAATTTTTTACTGGACCGTCGGGCCATCAATACATATATTTTTATCGGACCTTCTGATTTTTTACCGGTCAGGTCCGACGGTCTTTCGGAAAGACTGGATATTTCTTATTATTCATTTACCTTAACAACATGCAAAGCAAAGTTAATACGTTATATATATTTTTGTAAAGTGGGCCGAGTTGACCCGTGCCGAATTGGTATAGGGCCGTGTTGACTCTTTTCCCCTGGTTCTGCTAAAACTTATAAAACACTGGGTCATGGGGGTACACTTAACACGATTTCGAGACGTTTCGGCCCCAAGACGTATCGGCCCCAAACTACCAAAGACGTTTCGGCCCCGGACGTTTCGGCCCTTTACCAAATCGGCCCCAGAATAAGTACTGTATTTTAAACCGATATATAAAAGCATTTCAATAAAAAAATTAATCAATTTATATATATATATATATATATATATATATATATATATATATATATATATATATATATATATATATATATATATATATATATATATATATATATATATATATATATATACAGAACAGAACATAAACTTTATTTGAAAAAAATATAATACACAAACAAACAATTATTAACCATATATAGATAATATTTTATTTGAATGATTAAGAAGTAAGACACAAAACAATACCGCCAATTAGCATAAAGACTTTAAGTATAAAGAGTTAATTAGTTATACTTTGAAAAAATTACGTATAGTTTAATTAAGATCAAAAGATAATGTATTCTAAGTAAAAATTGTAAGTTACTTTCTTAATCCAGAAGTTTACGTGGTTTCTTTTATAGGTAAGTAACCGGCCTTTATTGTTTGTCATTAACGTATATCTAAATGGTTCAAGAGATCAAAAAATAATAAATAATTATTCAAAGAATTAAAGTGTCATTATTGTTTAATTGTAATTAAATTAATTGTTGTTAATCAATCAAGCAATACACTATAGTGGGGCCGAAACGTCTCGCGGAAAAGGGCCGAAACGTCCTGGGGCCGATTTTTCGAATGGGGCCGATATGGTTTGGGGCCGAAACGTCCTGTTTGCCTTAACACAATCTATCTTGATATATGGCCGGGCCAATAAAAAAAAACTGTTTCATAGACTTGCCATACAACTTATGGAAGTGATTTTTTTTATTACAAGTTGTTCTTTATTGAAAGTTTTAAATGTTACAAACTAATCTGTAAATCATCTTGACAAGTAGGAGAAATCAGCTTCCCATGCACCTCACTTCGGTACTTCAGCTTCTTCGTGATTTTTTACAAAATAAATCATTTTCAAGAAACAGTACCGAGATTCGGCCATTTACCTTTATTTACTTTTCCACTATATCCATCTGTAGCTCTGACACCGAATACTGTTTTTGCAAGTTCCATATTGAATGGGAATTGTTAATTTATTTCTGAAAATGCATTCTGTTTGCGTGGGCTGCGGCTGCTGTCAAACTGGCGGAAGAATAAACGATAAATAAAAACAACAACATAATTATAAAAATCATGAAGAAATGTTCTATAATTTGCAAAATGTTATAAATTTCAGAACATTATTAGATGGTTGACGACAATGCATTGTTTCTGAGTAAGTGGAAATGAATAAGAATTGGCTACATTTAGTAGAACTAATTTTATCGCGGATCAGAACAAGTACAAAGGCCAAGACTGGTCTCCTGCACTCTTCTGCAGAAAAGAGTGATATACATGTAGTAGGGAACCAGATATTTCTTCTCGGCCCTTTCCGTCAAAATCGAACCCAAACGAAGAAACACCGGCTCTTCCCGTATACTCACGGAGATCAGATTGTCGCAACCTTTCGGCCTTTTCCGTCATTGGAAGGAGTACTGATGATGAGCGAGATGTTCCAAATGAAGTAGACTGGTTCTTCATATAATTTAGAATGCGAAAAGTATTTACCGCCAACGATAAGAGGAAATAAGAACCCCTAAAGAAGGCACAAAACGGCAAAATTGAAAATGTCGCAGGCTCTGTTTGATTTAGCCTGTTCATGGACGGTACTGTGAAGTGCAAATCTATTATCCACGCCCCCTAGCACCGGCTTAAAAGCAGAATTCAACATTTAAACATGAAATGGTAATCATCCGCAGATGTGTTGATATGGCGGTCATCATGGAACCTTCAATTAATGTGACACTTCCGTGCCACTCCACAAAAAGCGGCATATCGCAGAAAGACAAAAGACAAAGTTAAAAAGTAGGCAACATATTCTAAGGGTGATACAACATTATTCAAGTAGGAATATTGGAACCACCAACTAGAAAATGCCAAAAAGTTAAAACTAAAACTACTAAGGATCGGAAATATATATAGTCTTTATAAAGCAAGATGCATGCTATTGTTATGAAATCTGTAAAAAGTAACAAATAGCTGATAAGACATACAGGTAACTTTTGACTGGTTGGCAAAAATATGGTTTGCTGATAAAATGCAAAATATAGTAATTTTATATAAAAAAAATACAAACTTAGTTACCATGAAATAGCTTAATATATTTTATATCACTGGAAAGATATGTAAACTCACATTTTACACATTGAAAATATTTTTTTCTTTTTTTCTTGGTAAAAGGTTGAACATGGTGCAAGAAAATTGTTGAAACAACTGCTGAAAAAATAGCCAAGTTTTCTTTTCTTTAAAGCAAAAACAAAATTCTGCTTTTAATTCAAAATTATTAATATAAAGAACTATCAAACGATATAAGAATCTAAAAATCCACCCACTATTTAAAAAGTTATAAGAATTTAAAAGTTTTGCTACTATATAACGCATATGAATATTGGTTTTTCTGCCAACCGGTAAATCTGCTTAACATTTCAAAAGTCTCAACATTTAAAATAAACACTAACGAAATACATGTAATATGTGATATAGCTGTCAAACTTCTTGAAATAAATATTGACCAAAATGAATCTTTCATATTAAAGTTATATATGAAATAAGGCATATATAATACATAAATTCAGTTAAATATCCTAAAAAGAAAAGGTCAAATCTTAAATCAAACAAATAAGTTTACAATCTTTTATATTTAAATAATGTTTAATGTCATGGCATTCTTGCTAAGAAGGTGGGAAAAATGCAGAAAAAGCTTACAATGATTTCGTTTCTACATTTCAAAAGTTGATATCCTTACGTTAAAAATAAAAAGAATGAGAGCTATGTATGGGTAAGAGTTCGTATTAAGACGACCGTAGGGAGTCTTATCGAACTCTTACCCATATAACTGCAAATCGGCTCTTACAACTCGATATCAGATAAAAATATAGAAAGTGTCACCTCTTTAATTAAGCATAACATTGTATTATTGTATTATCTATGTAATAAATTTGAATGTATCCTCACATTGCTACAGTGTTATCAGCTATTTTAGAAACACCTGACCTGGCTAATAAAAATATGCCAATCACAATTTTCACTATCAGCACTGGTTTCTTCATGAAAAAGCGGCTACACTAATTACTGTCGAGTAAGAGCCGATTTGCAGTTATGGCAATTTAAATTCATGACATGTCTCTTGTTTTATGGGATCTTGATGTTAAGAAAACGCTTGTTTTATCTTTTAAACATTCAAATATTTTGAGATATCTTTATGAGTACCACTCCTGAAAAAAAATAAGTATGCTGCACATGATTTATGGCACCGATGTGTTTGCGCTTAACAATTGTCTGGCCTGAAAGATATTTTTAGCTTTTGAAAAAAAAAAGAAGTTATAAGAGGGAAAGTCAGGTGAATACGGAGGATGTGGAAGCACAACGACTTCTTTCTCTACAGAAAGTCGTGCACTATAGAAGCGTTGTCATGTTGCAATCTGACATTTGCTAAACCTGTTGCGGGTCTTCGTTTTCGAAAGTATTTGTTTAGTTTCCGGTGAACTTTTGTCTTGTAAAATTCCGCATTAGCAGATTTGCCTATAGGAAAGGCATCCTGAATTGGGGACCACGGGTTGTGGTGTAGCTTACATCGGTATTAACTATTTATTTGACTTAATTTTAAGCCAACGGACATATGTGCATTTTCAGCCGAAATTAACCCACATTTGAATTTATTAAGCAAAAGAATACCTGATGAAATTTTCATTTTTTTCTATGTACAAATCAGATTTCGTTAAAAAATATCTTTACATCCTATATCAAGGAGATAACGATTCTTAATACAAGACCTTATTTCAATAGCATACTCTGATACTTCTCCCAACCATTTTGTATTGCAGCATTGTATAGCAAGCTATAAACATTGCTAAAGTGAATGGATTTTATCGAATGTGGTATAAATGTAATGCTCACATGTATATTTAGCCGATAACTTTAATTTTTTAGTGTTTTTCGCAATCTTGAACAGTATAACGTTCTAGATGCATTCATATTTGAACACTCCTGGTATCATAACCATTATTTTGTGCAGCTGCTTTTACAATTGTTGATTCTATACATTAGTGTAGTGATGTCATTTTATATCATCGATGCACTTATTGTGTTACATGCATGATACAAATTATACATATTGTTGTTTAATTTGAGTTTAGATGTAGAGCTACTAAAGAGTATAAAACAAATTCTTAGGGAAGTTAAGTTTAACTCTTCCTTTAAGTTAGCTATTATAACAGTATATAGCTAATACAATTACATATGTATGTTACAAGCAGTCGAATATAAAAGTATGAAACGCCGTGACTGTCTTATGCTATCAATATTTTTGCTATCTTCTGAAATGATGATATTATTTTGTCATTTAAGCATATTAACATGTGCAATTTACATCATATCTTGTCTAAAGACAATGCTGACTTGTCCAAACAGCATGTTAACTTGTCAAATAATCATTATGACATGTGCAGACAACATGTTAACTTGTCAAAGTATCATGATGACTTGTGCAAACCACATGTTAACTTGTCAAAATGTCATGATGACATGTGCAAACAGCATGTTAACCTGTCGAATTATCGTGATGACATGCTCATAATACCTTAACAAGTTAACATGTGTTTTGCACAAGTCATCACGATTCTTTGACAAATTAACATGTTGTTTGTACAAGTCATCATGATAATTTGACAAGATAACATGGCATTTGCACAAGTCATCACGATACCTTGACAAGTTAACATGTTGTTTGCACTTGTCATCATGAAATTTTGACAAGTTAACATGTCGCTTACACAAGTCACCATGATACTTGGACAAGTTAGCATGTTGTTTGCACATGTTATCACGATGGTTTGACAGGTTAACATACTGTTTGCACATGTCATCATGAAATTTTGACAAGTTAACATGGCATTTGCACAAGTCATCATTACACTTAGACAAGTTAAAATGTCGTTTGCACAAGTCATCATGATACTTGGACAAGTTAACATGCTGTATGCACATGTCATAACGATAATTTGACAAGTTAACATGCTGTTTACACATGTCATCATGGAATTTTGACATGTTAGCATGCTTTTTGCACAAGTTATCATAGTATTTTGACAAGTTAACAGTACGTTTTGACATGTCAGCATGATACAAGATAACATGTCATTTGCACAAGTCATCACGATTCTTTGACAAGTTCACATGTTGTCTTCACAAGTCATCATGGTAATTTGACATGTTAACATGCTGTTTGCACAAGTCATCATGATACTTTGACAAGTTAACATGCTATTTGCACATGTCATCACGATAATTCGACAAGTTAACATGTCGTTTGCACAAGTCATCATTATACTTTGACAAGTTAACATGCTGTTTGCACATGTCATCACGATAATTCGACAAGTTAACATGGCGTTTGCACAAGTCATCATGACACTTTGACAAGTTAACATGCTGTTTGCACATGTCATCACAATAATTCGACAGGTTAACATGTCGTTTGCACAAGTCATCATTACATTTTGACAAGTTACCATGTCATTTGCACAAGTCATCATTATACTTTGACAAGTTAACATGTTGTTAGCACAAGTCATCACGATACTTTGACAAGTGAGGATGTTGTCTGCACATGTCATCATAATCATTTGACAAGTTAAAATGTTGTTTGTACAAGTCAGCATGTTCCTTTGACAAGACATGATGTAAATTGCACGTGTTAACACGCTCAAACGACAAAATAATATTATCGTTTCACAAAATAACAAAAACTTTGATTACATAAGACAGTCTCGGCGTTCCATATTAAAGCTTGTAAAAGCTTATATTGTTTTGTTTATAACCTTGCCATCTTAATAAAATCTTTTCTTATCTAAGTTATCTTATATAATTATACTGACATGTGTTGTTAGTTATTCAGGAAAGTTGCCTTGCTTTAGAAGTGTATGCAATAACTAGTTTTCAACGTTCCTGTGTTCTATACTTCTAAAAATTCCTCAAAATTTAACAGATTATTGGAGTTTATTTCTTAAACATTTTCTTTCAAAAGCAATATTTGAACATTTTGTCCAACTAACATCCACTCTGCTAACCAAATAATCATTTATCTGTTAATTTCACCGATGTTAAAACAGGACAATAATAAATTGAAATTTCCGTTTATTTGAGAAACAGCGGAAACAACAACAATTAACAACAACAAAAAAGCCCGACCCCTGCCAAAAAAACAACAACAAAAACAAACAACAACAAAAGACAACAACAAACAAACAAAAACCCGCATATGTAAATGTGTATTCAATTACACAATGCTTAATAAAGCTAAACACTTGTAATGTGTTTTTGAATATCAGTGATAATTGCACAAACATACACTAACTAATGTTAAAAGGAATTGCGATAGAAGTCTAGTAAGATGAAAGATAATAGTCAATTATTGAAGTGGAAAATATATAGCATATCAGTGCACTAAAAGAGGGATCGGCGTATTGATCAGAGTTAAGTCTAGGTTTTTTATTCTTCTGTTTACATGGATATCATGTATGTTTAAATTGTGATTAAAAATACGCTATCAATGGCCCATGGTTGGAAATTCTTTTATGTTCTATTCATAAAATGGGACTGCAATATTCAAGTGAATGGCCAATGGAACAGAACAATTAGTAAATAGGTTGTTTGTCAAAACGCAAGTGAGAGGCTTCATAACCTGTGATTGCCTTCAAAATTTCGTTTTGTTTAGTTCCGCCTACTGCCTTTTCGTTTAGGACACAAGCATTCTTTTACTTGGGGACCATATACACCGCTTTTCACGAAATGGCACTTACGTGTCACATTGAAGATTAGGCTGCACCGTAGATGTTACACTTATTCATGATCAGTCATGCACAATCTTAATTAAACCGCGTCATATAATTTCTTTGTTTAAATGCACAAATATACATACATTTATACAAGTATATTAAGCTCCATGTTACCCTTTGTCCAGATTTCCTTGATCACCTTAGTATGAGCACGTCTGTGGGTGTTTCAAAATTCAACAATCAAATGTTTTACACTGTTTAAGCCGGTGCAGGGGGCCGTGGACGGTACTTCGCACTTTCCAGTACCGTACATGAGAAGGCTCTGAAAACTGCAACAACTTCTGCCAAAATTGTTCTGACCAACTCGAACATTTGCATTTTAATTGATTTATGACAAATGTAATATGTTTTTTTCTTTTGTAATTAATGATTCCGAGGGATCACTTTGTTTCCGGATTTTATACTTCAAAATAGCAGGTGTCAAGTGCTGTGTGGCAGCTGTAAAAAGTTGCCCCGTATTTCACTTCAGTGTTGTTATATTTTGCTGGTCCTTCGGGATCAATTATGCCGGCACAATTAAGCGTTGAGAATTGAGTACCGCTCAAACCGGTGTTGGGGGGGGGGGGGCGTGAGTGACATTGCATGTATTCATTATCCTCATGTACAAACTCAATCAAACCGAGTCTGCAATTATCTTGTAATTTTGTTGTGATTTATGCTTCCAAGGGATCACTTTGTTTCCAGTTTTTTTACTCATACTGTATAAAGACCCTCGCGAACATTTGCTTTTTAAAACTGATTTTTGACAAATATAGTTTACTCATACAGTATAAACACCCTAAGAAAATAGTCATAACCTCTGATCAAAAGTGCAAAATGTACCTCGCGAGTTCGCAACAATTTTTGGCAATCATTTCTTTACTTTATGCTCTTTAAAATCTATTTGGGTTAAAATGGTAAACATTGCATAACCATTCTCTAAATTACATAGAAACGAAATTAATGCGCTAATATTTTTGAAAATACATTCATTTTTTCAAATAATATTTATGTAATTCAACATCATTTCTAAATACATACGTTAATAATTGCATAATTTTATCAGCTTTTATATGATTTTAACATGAATTTCGGAACATATCATAACAATTTTTAAGAACTACTTTTCTTAAGCAGGTGTCCTAGCGGAATAGATTGTGTACATGGTCTGTGTTGTGCGGTTCTAAACGACCAATATGGCAATATAGCGGATTTTATGTTTGTTGTGATTATTTAACAAGGTGTCTTTATAAAAGGAAATAGAAGTATCCATCAGAATGTCCTCAGAAACTGTTGCAAAGTCTGTTGGCAAAAAATTGTAAGTATAATCAGCTACAATGATATGCACTTTACTTGAATTGTGACAATTTTGTCATATCAGATGTTTGTTTGATGATCTACCTCATACACTTTGTTTATCTCTTTTATGAATCGTATTTAAATATCATAAAAGGCAAAACATTTTTTATGCTTGAAAAATATATTACATACGTAGTAGGCAGAAATTGTTAATGTCTAATATGGCAATATAGCGGATTTTATGTTTGTTGTGATTATTTAACAAGGTGTCTTTATAAAAGGAAATAGAAGTATCCATCAGAATGTCCTCAGAAACTGTTGCAAAGTCTGTTGGCAAAAAATTGTAAGTATAATCAGCTACAATGCTATTTACATCACTTGAATTGTGACTATTTTGTCATATCAGATGTTTGATGATCTACACTTTGTTTATCCTTTTTATGAATCGTATTTAAATATCATAAAAGGCAAAACATTTTTTATGCTTGAAAAATATATTACATTCGTAGTAGGCAGAACTTGTTAATGTCTATAAATGAGAAAAAATTTATAACTTGTTGTTGAATCTAAAAATGTTTAGGCCTACACAAATGCAGACATTTGGTCCGTAATAAAAGATGTTGTTTTCGAAATGATATCTTTACATTTAAATTAAACAGAGGCAAATGGCCGGGCAAATGTACTGAAGAGTGTTATACTGTTTGTTCAAAGTGAAAGCATGAATCTGGCATGTGTTATGTTAAAATATGCACAATATTGTCCAACAGGCATAATGATTATTCTAGACCTGAAAAAAGGACAGGGAGGGATTGTTAATCGAAAAATAATATAATTTTATTTAACAATATCATGATACAGAAAATGCTTGTTATTCACATCTGACATTTGAAACAGAATATAGTGTAAATTGATGATGAGTGACATTACAAAAATGAACACAAAATGTTGAAAGGATTTACATCGTTCACAGAAAAGATGACTTAATTATTTTACAGATATACTAAAACATAATGACGAAGTCAGACAAACATAGATATGTGTACAAAACTTAAAAACGCATGTAGATCAATTGATTTACATTTTAATATATATATTCATATATACACATAATATAATGCACAATTACACACGGCAGCTGCATGCAGCAACAGGGTGATGTTTAAGGTGAGGGCGCCCTTTCATTCCACTCAAGAATAATCACTAAGCCATATTAAACTGGTTAAGTGTGGGCATTTAAACAATATAAGGGTAGGCTGTGTTTTAGTGTAAAGCTGCTCTTTTAAAAGAACAAGAATTTGTAGTCTGTCAGGGCTAGGATTAACCTATATTTCAGTATGAGGGCATGTCAGGAGGCTTCCCCTAATACTCAGCTCATAAGAAACCAAGGGCTTAGTTTCAATGCCTATTTGGAATAGAGAATAATTAGTTGGTACAAGATGATTCCCTCTATGTGACATGGATTACTTGACATATAGATGGGTTGAACTCCATGTCCTAATCAAATACCCACTTTTCTGAGGTATTTACTATTTAAGTCTTTTTGAAGGGTTTCTGATTGCTGACCTGATGTAAAGGTTAGGTACCGGTATATAGCAGTATCATCAGTAAATAAGCAACCTTTTGATTGGACCCCCTGTTTGAGGTCATTATTGTATGCAAGAAAAAAGAAGGGTCCAAGCACAATCCCCTAGGGGGACTCCAGAAGAAGGTATTACTTCAGAGGAGGATCCATCTAATACTACAGATTGAAGCCTGTCATCTAAAAAAAACTTCTGACCCATTTTAAATGGCAATTTAAGTGCTTTACCTCTAAATATACCATATATGTAGTTTGTGATGAAGTTTTTTCTAGCTCACCTTATCAAAAATTATACTCAAGTCTAAATGGATGAGGCCTGCTTGTTTGTTGAAGCAGACTGATACAAGACAGCTTTTACTGTTGTTTTATAAGTTGAGTCACATGTGCACAGATCTTTTTTTCAAATCATGTTTGGAAATGGCATGGAATGCCCAGGTTGGTAAAATCCTTTGTGATTGATGAGAAAACAAAATGTCCTATAGTTTGATAGAATACACATTTGATAGAGTACACATGTATGTCATGGACATCAAATTACAAAAATATATTCATTAGTATCACCAACATCATGTTTGACAAGGTTCATACTTAGCTATCAAGAATTATTTCCCCAGTGATTATTTCTTACTCACTTCTTTGTTACTGAAGGTAAAATCACGTCAGATTTAAGATTATTAATTTTGTTCTTGATCATTACCCACATCATTTACATGTATGATATGACGAGGTTTGTAAGTCTAAGCATCTATATTTCAAGAATTATCTCCACTTTAAATTGAGAATTTTACTTAGAAAATATTATTTTTTACTTTTATTTTCTTTGTGTTACTATTAAAAAAAAGGTATCCACTTCAAACGTGAGATAGTTGTTCTTTAGCTCAATCATTTATAATATTTAAATACATGACTTGTAGTGTTATCTCCTCTTTTAACCTTTTTTGTTTAAAAATGTTATTTGTTTTCTGAAGAATTACCTTTTTTCACATAACAAAAGATCATTTTTTTCTGTTTCTCTTGATTGACATGTATGTTAAGTGGTGCAAAAAGTTAGACATTTGAGTTTTATCTTTCCTTATTACGCCCAGGTTAAATAAATAAGCATGCTGTCTTCTTTGATAGCTCTTGCTACTAATTTTTTTTTGTTATGAATGGGATTTTCTTGAAACATTACATACTTGTTCCTTCACTTATAAATCACATCAATGTTTTATGATATATGACATATCTCAGGCACCAATTTTAAATGCACTCATGAATTGCCATGTTATGACCTGCTCAACATATGATGGATGAATCTACATTAAAAGAAAGGTGCTAATCCTAATACACATGTATTGCTGTTCATTGCCTGAATTTGCTTCAAACTTGATATTGCCATTTTGCCTTAATGAAGGTAGCAAATGAATAATTTCAGATTGCTTATGATTATAGAAATATATATATATTATTTTCCATAGAAATTTATTCGTTGTAATATAACATGATGTGATGAATATCAATTATGGTTCTGCATGAATGAGATGGGGAATCAATACACTAACCTCACACATTTATTATTTATAATCAGATAAATATTCTCATTATCTCAGAGTTATCTGATAATCTTATCATTTAACAACTGAAAGGTTAAAGTAAAATTCTGATTAATTTTTTAAAGAATATGTTTCTGGGTCATTGAAACCGTGGTATTTTAATGGAAAATATTACTGTTAACAATTTATATTTGATAATGTATAACATTTCTTCAATGCAATGTTTGCTTTTGTTATATTTATTATTGTGTGTTTGCCATATTTATATTTGTATTGTCAAAGGCAGAGATCTGCCGAATTGCAAAGAAAATTTTGACCCTTTTTTTACTTTGGATATTTGATAATACTAGCTTAGTAAAGAAACAATGACAAATGAGAGAGAGAATTCAACACATTTTAAGAAAAAAAGCACAATATTTTCTAAATTACTCAAATACCTTAAGTTCAAAGTCTGATTTAAATGAAAAAGTCAATTGTTTAATTTTTAATTACTGAGATTAATCATTGTATATTGTTTTCCAATGAATTTAGTTTTATTGATGGGGTCAAGATACCAGGTTGTTAAATAATTACATACATGTATAAAAATTATTACTTACTACATTACATACAAACAAGTAATTGACATACATATTAATGTATATTAATTGACAGTGGAGTGGACTCTCATTAATTTCTGAGGCTTAATGTGCCTTTAAACTAAAAATATCAAATTTAGGTTGATTGATGCATTGGGTTAGATAAAAAAAAACATGAATGTTACAAGTCATAATGGAATACTAATTTAATCAGGTCAATAAAGGAAAAAGATAAATTATCATGATTTTTTAAGATATAAATCAGAAAATACTGACTAAATTGTTTACTATCTTTTAGTATCCATATTTCAATCAGTAGATAAATGATTAAACAATATATGGTACAGTATATACATTCAGTAAGTAGTTATAAAACAGCCTATATCTATCATAGTTACCTCTTGAAGAGACAATAATTTACCATATAAATGTTTGTGATGTATAAATATGTAAATCTTCAATGTAAATAAATCTACATAAAATTTTATCTCAAGTTGAAGTTTGTCTGAAAGGTTTTGAAGCTCTTTTACATTGAGAAATTTACAACCATTTTTAGAGAGAGAATATAATTTTCATAACAAAATTAGGCAATATCTCTTGATATTTAAAAAAAGACAAGAAAAAAGGGTATGATTTCCCTGTTGGTTATCGGAAGTAGAAGACAATAGTTTATTTTGGTAACTTATACATTTACTGTATCTTGTTACATACAGTAATTACAGTACAATAATACTGTGGTCATATGACAAAAGCAAAGAAATAAAAATGATTATAATAAAGACATAAAAAGTTTAACTAATGTCATTCAAGAAAATTTTGAGTAAGCTTGTTTCAAATAGAGAACAGACAGTTGCAAATTAAGGGATACATTCAAACAGGACAAACACAATCACATGCAGTTATAAGATTGCATGACCTCCTCAACCTATTTTAACTTGAATTTTTAACTTTTTGTAGGATTTAAAATTACTTGTTTTCATCATGTTTTTTCAAGAAAGTGGCCAGACTGTGGTATTATATATAAGAAATAAAATACTCAACTTAGATTCATTTCTCACAAAACTTTTGTTTTGTATAAAACTGGTAGTTTTGAATTTTAAAACAATTTGAAATTAGAAAGGTAGAAAAATTGTTTTTAGTGGTTGATTGACTTTTTTGTATCTTTTAATTCCATGCAATAGAAAAAGATGTACAGAACCTTTTGATTTTTTGTTTGCAGTGTTCAAAATGGATCAAATAATATTTTACCGTGATTTTTTCTTTCGTACATGGGTGTCACATATTATTTTTAATATAATTTGAAACAAATAATGCAAATGATGTGTGTTATAGTATACAAAGTTTTAGTATCTTTAGTAGAACTCTATTTAACAAGTGGATGTTTTTACATTTTCAGGCGATATTACTTTGAGGTGAAACGTTTAGAAGATGGGTTTGACTTGTCTGGTGTGAATGCCCCTCAGTTGAATCACCCACCACTAAAATCTGTAAGTTGTCTTTATGAATATCTTATCTTTTGTAAAATACTGATTTTAAATTAATGTTAATTAAAATATACAGTAGCTAGCCTTTTAAATAAAATATTTTTTTTCTGCCATGGCATTGGTGTTCAAATGTAAATTGATAAATTTGCATTTGATATACCATTTTTATTCCCAATTAATTTAGCAACCAGTAATTGTATAGTGATATAAGTAATACTACTTGTGCTGGGACAAATTATTATAACATCTATCAGTCATAGAGTGTATTATCTTTGTTGATCAGAATTAGTATAGCCATACATCATCTCAAAATTTGTGCATTTAATTTAAAGGCTATAATACAGGACTTGCTTTTTAAACAATCTCCATATAGACAAAATATTGTTGAGTATGGTAGAAAAAGAAATAAGGTAGGAACTTTTGCACAGTGTGACATTATATGGTGGATTTTAAAATCTGGAGGATTGGTTGGTCTGAATGATACAGTAAAACCTGTTAAACATGACCACATGACACATTGACTCTTCCTTCTTATTTAGCATTATTTGGAGTGTAAAATATGATCCTATTATGTCAACAGATGTATGTTTTGATAAATGGCTAGCTTATTTAAAGATTTAGTTATAAGTGTTTCCTCAGTGCTCAAAGTTAACTGGTTTTTACTGTATTACTTGGTTGAAGTTACAAGGTTGTGTTTTTTTTTATTGACATGCACTTGTTTTATTCAGCGTCCCACACTACAATATGATGGTTTACATGACAGAGCACTCAAACATTACTTCAGTCAACCAGAAGTGAAAACCAGAGTTACACAAATGCACCCGGTAAGGTCTTTCTCACATAATGCCACATGCTTCAGTTAAACAATGTACTTTGAATGCAGCAAACAGAAAGATATCTTTTCTTCATAATGATACAATTAAGTTCATATCATAGTGGATATATCAAAATTTGGGAGAGTGATAATCTTGTGTATGAATATTATTGTTTACAAAAAAAAATATATCTTGATATAAAGGCATTAATTAAGAAAATAGTTTTGCTGAAATGGAGGCGGCATCTTTTCTACATCCATTTACAACATGTACGTTGTGAACATCTTATAATAATTGTTACATGCTTGGTAATAAAACATATGATTTAAAAAGTATAGGAATAATCCAGTAGAGTTAATTTTGAAAGTAAAGATTAAAGAAAAAAAAGACATTTATTTCATAAAATGATATTTACTCAGTTTTAAAGGTGTGCATGCAACTGACAAGATAAATACTTCTATATTATGATTTAGATTGATTGAATTTAACATTAAAGGAATAAAGTCATTTTCACAAAGTTATATCAATGTTTTATTAGTTAGACTCATAGACTGTTAAAATGTTTGTTATTGAAATGAAAAACAATGAAATAATATATCTTTTAAAAAGTATTTAAATGCAAACTACAACATGTATTGCAGCATAATTACACATGGTTAACATTGAAAAGAATATTTGACGTAAAATCAAGATTTTGGTTGAAAATATGGATTTAAAGTAGGTGTATCGGTATTAATAATTACTGACTGTGAATATGAAATCAAGTGTGAATTGACACCTTATACGCTTCACCTTATTTGTCTAGTTATCAATTTAGAATCTAACAATCAATAATGTATGGTAAAGAATCAGTTTAACAATCAATATTATATGAGCCGTGTCACGACAAAACCAACATAATGGGTTTGCGACCAGCATGGATCCAGACCAGCCTGCGCTTCCGCGCAGTCTGATCAGGATCCATGCTGTTCGCTTACAGACCCTATAACAAGTAAAGAAACTGATAGCGAACAGCATGGATCCTGATCAGACTGCGTCGATGCGCAGGCTGGTCTGGATCCATGCTGGTCGCAAACCCATTATGTTGGTTTTGTCATGACGCAGCTCATATGGAATATGGTTATAGAACAGGTTGTCTACATTGTCAATATTTCAATTTTCAATAACTTATTGGATGAAACATATACAAATAAAACAACAAAACGAAACACCCTTTTTTGAGAATCACTATTTCCTTTTCAATGACTTGTACAAAGTGTTGCATATTGAAATCATTTGTAAAAAATGCTGCCTTCATTTTTCATGATTATTCCAAATTACATTACTTGAAATACAGACTATTTGTTTTTTTCTGTTGGTTAAAGTCATAGAATATTTTTTAAACTACATTGTATTATAATGCTATCTGTAATGTTGTACAAAAAATCCTCTGTATATCAGGAGGCAATGGTTTGACTGTGAATTCTTTATTTGTTTTAAAGATTACCTGAATGAACTGAAGGTTATACAGTTTTTGTCACAATAAATTGAATATTAAACAGATTTTAGATTACATATCTAACATTAACTAATACTTTCAAACAAGGATAAACCTTTCCCCGATAAATAAAGCATTTGTGACATGGTAACCCACCTGTTGTTGTAAATAGACGGAAACAATTACAATTTTATTTATAAATAAATGCATTATGGGTGTTTGAATACACTACAAAACAAGGTTTAACTTTATTAACTTGTGAAATAAACAGCCCACACATAAAATGAATATAAAATTGACTGTTGTAAAAACAAGTTTGAGCATTACACAAATTTTAATTGTGAATCAACAATTTTTATGCTGAGAGTAGATGAATAATAAAGGCAATCAGCGGGGTATATCATTAACATAAACTTTCATAAGTACAACAAGATATGTTTTTTAAAACTTCAAAGGCATAGAATCTTTCCATATTTATTGAGAATGCCAATTTGCATCACCATGTATTCATTAAGTATTAAGTCAAACCAACAAGCTGGGACTACTATCAATTTTATTTGGGATGTTCATTGATAATTATAGTTATATAAATCTGTAATTTCTGACTAGTACTATAAATCTGTAATTTTGACTGGTACTATAAATCTGTAATTTTGACTGGTACTATAAATCTGTAATTTTGACTGGTACTATAAATCTGTAATTTTGACTGGTACTATAAATATGTAATTTTGACTGGCACTATAAATATGTAATTTTGACTGGCACTATAAATCTGTAATTTTGACTAGTACTATAAATCTGTAATTTTGACTAGTACTATAAATCTGTAATTTTGACTGGTACTATAAATCTGTAATTTTGACTGGCACTATAAATATGTAATTTTGACCTGTAATTTTGACTGGTACTCTATTGTTACAGCTGGATGGAGATCTTAGAGAAGAAGACCTAAAAAGGCTATTGAAACGCTACATGTACAAGCATAGGTTTATTGTAAGTTATACCAGTATAATCTGTAGATTATCCTCTCTCTAATAAACTCATTAACAGTTGTACATTATAATCATAGTTATATCAAAACTTCAACATCTTTATGTGTACTGGTATTAATACAATTTCCCTATCTATCATTCTTTTAGTGTTGAAAACAAAACTTTAGATAAGATGGTATTGATGACGTGGCATGACTGAGTATTTGAAACATGAAGAATGTCTGGTCTGGAAATTTATTCATGTTAAAAACCTACATGTACAGAGACTTGCAGCTTTACTATAGGTTACATAGTATTGATAAGCCAGATGCATAACTATATTTCCCTGAAAACACAATAAATACTTAAAAATACTAGTTTGTAGTTAAATTAATTTGTGTCTTTAACTATCCAATAAATTGTTAGGTGAAAGAGCTGTCATTGATCCTGGATCATATCTATTTTTGTTGGGGACAATAAACAAAGCTACCTCTTTGGCTTAAAAGAAAGAAGCTATAAATAGTTCAGAAGAGTTAAATCTTCACATTTGCTGTGGCAGACAATAGTAGAATGTATATACAAAGATCAGTCATGTCAGGAATCAGATACCTTCTAAGTATATAATTTTTTCCTCAAGGATTATATTGATCTGATGTTCATCTTTCTTTGATGTGATATATACATGTATATACAGGCTTAATCATCATTAGGCTTGTAGGCTCTTGCTTCAATCAGTCACATTTCATGATATCATTCCTGAGAAGTTTTATTCTCATTTAAGGAAACACATTTTTGATATCATTTCCACAAAACTCAGATGTTTGGAAGCAATAGGCTAACAGATCTTGAGTCAAGTGAATTTAGTCTTATTGGGTTAAAATCAATGCTATTTCTGTCATAAATGGCTGCATTTTATTCAAATCAGTTTTTCTTAAGCAGCATTAATTTTCCATAAAGCATTTTCTCTTCTTGAACCAAAAAGTCAAGGTGAATATATGCTACACCCTAGTTTTTACTATCAGAAATATCCAGAGATAGATATATTTTATTAGAATTATCTGTTTGTTTATTTAGGCACATGGGTTAAATTCATTTTCGTGCATAATTATAGTATAGTCTGATTTTATTGACCTGTCAATTATGAATACATTATAGGACTCATTTAAATATTCGATCCCACTTCGGTTTGGTCTGTGTAGTTCACGAGAATTAATGTGGAGAATATTAGTCATGGATTGAAAGTCACGCCAACTTAATGTGAAGGTTTTCGTTAATTCACAATAGGACAGTCGGTAAAGAGAATGCCTGATAATTTAGCGGTCTGTGGTTCGATCCTTACTATTGCCATTGTTTTAGTACTCTTTCTTTATTTTTGCAGTAAATTTTAATGGAACAGATTTGTAGTGTGTTTTACGGCATTGAAATGACATTTATTGATTTTAATCCGTATTAATTTTAAACATGAATTCTTAAAAAAACATGTTATTTAAAAAGAGTATATACATAACAAAATTAAGTAAAACATAATAAAAAAACGAACAACCTAAAATAATATATATAGATTCAATAATGTTGAAAGTATTAATAAGAAAAAAACATGGACTAACGCGGCCTCGAACTTAAAACATGTGTGGCACTTAGATTATAAACTCGTGATTTACCCTATTGCGCTTTAACGCTGAGTACACTTAGTTTAGAGATACAAATTAAATCAAATTCCATCGTACAGCGTACATCTCACGGAACTTACCGAACATGTACCGAAGATTAATATACTGTGTGCATCGACCGTGTAATCAGTATGTAATTGACAGGTTAATAAAACCAAACAATAAATTTTTATATGACAGACCATATTGAAAGCATTGCTGTTGCTCAGTGTTTTTACTTACTAATTATGGAATGAGGCAGTGATCCATTACAGTGTAAGAATGAGTGATAAGTTAGTACAATTACTTGAGTAATAAATATTTAGTACTGTCATACAGAGGTGTAAAATACATTGCGTATATTCTATTGTGGAGTTATCCTTTTAATAAACTTACAAAGTAGAAATCATTCTAAGGAATGAACTATTTTCCATTTGGTATTGGCATTCAGTCCTGTCCTTAAAATTAAACATTAATTATATTGCATAAGAAAAGTCTGAAAGTGTTCAAAATCACAAAAGTAATTCACCTGATTTTTCATTTTGATTACATGCATTAAATGTAAAAATACTAGAAGAGTATAAGAAAATTATAATAATGAACATGAAGGGAATCATAAGATAATGAAGTTCTAGGAAGCAGTCTCTTTATTGTAACACACCACTTGTTTGTTACATGCATCTCTTTGTCATGCCTTTCATAAAATGAATATACTGTAGTGTAGTTAAAGCCATGTCCTTTGACTATATAAAAAGACTTGTCTTTGAAGTATATGAGATAAACTTGTTGAATTTTAATGATAAACTTATTGATTTAAACAATTACACAAATGAAAGGTTCAAAAGTTAAGTGCTTAATGGGGTATTTTTCCTGTGAAAAAAAAATTGATTTTAAAATGAAATATGAATTAAAGAAACATTCAACATGATTTACAGAGTGTAAATATTGAATTCGTTAAATAATTTATACACCCTCATTGTTGATAATTTGTTTTATGACAATATTGAACAAACAAAAAGAACAGGTCTAACACATTATGCATATTTTATTTTTGATCACAATATTATGGAAACAATAATATCCTTGAAAAGAACGAAAAATGATTTATTATTACTTTAAAAATGGTTCCGTGTGTTTAAGTGAAGTGTTCCCTCAAAGGAGCTTATATAGTTTTTTTGTAAATTTATGATTATGAATTATAACAAACTCTTTATGCACATTTTACTTTAAGTATATGAACGCTCTTCACATGTAAACACTTTTATGCAGTTGTAAACTCTATGATGTATGTTTTATAGCAACACAAGTAGTTTTGTTCTTTAAGTTCAATATGTTGCATCGATTTATTGTTTTGTATAATTCATGCATATTTTCATAACCTGACTAAATGTCACATGTGTTTCACTATCAAGCACTCCAGTAATAATGCTAACACTAATCAAAAGTCTCACAACAAACTGAATGGATCTGGTGTTTACATGAAGAAATATGATTACCATGGCAACAGGATACAAGCATGGCAACCAGCACAGAATAAGGTTTTAACACAATATACTGCATGGAGTTTTCATGTGTTTGTTAATATATATATCCTGACTGTAGCACATACTATATAAATGGTGCACATTACTGTATACCCTGGTACCTGTTATATTATAATGATACATGCATGTTCAACTACTTCCTTTTTTAGAAACAATGATACATTATTTAAAGAAGGTAAGGTCGTGAAAGTTAGGTTTATTTTAAAAAATAGTTTGTTATTTTGTTAAAATATGATCCCTGCATTTATCCATTTGATTGAAAAAAATGTGGAATTGTATTGAAATTTTATTTAAATTCAATTTGGAAACAAGTTCTGTTAATGATAAGTTCTCTTGCCTAAATGTACCTATACAGGTTATGTAGACACTTTTACCACTGAACAACCATTTATATTTGAAATATTATTAAGTATTTCAAATTGCAAAATCTACGGACAGAAAGAACTTAAACCTGAGTAAATGACTAAAAAGTACAAATGATTATTTTCAATAAAGTCTACTCACATACATTATTTCATTATTTAAAAGTTGTTTTAGTAATAAAATGCATTCTGAGATATTTCTGTGTGAGAAGGAAATGTTATAACAATTACAAAGGATTGGTCTTTTACCCATTTCATGCACATTTCTTTTAGTTATGTGCTTACTGTTATATCTTTATATTGTTGTTTTACATGTTGATATTTGAAAAATATTTTTATTAAGATGAATGTTGTTTTGCATGCTTATTTTTTACCAGTAGAGATGTTTACAATAGTTTACACAGAAAGTAATAAAATTTATCCCCTCCTACATTAAAACCATTGTTATTGCTTTGCTTAATTTCCTGTCTTGGCTAGATACATGATCAATACAAGATAACAAAGTTAACCAGTCAGCTAGAAATATCAGTGGATAGTTTGTTTGTTATCATTTTGTTGCTAGAATCATCAAAGTTAATTTCAGGCGTGAAACATTACTGTAACAATATTCATTAATATTTCATGATTATACTATATCAATATGTTTATTTGATCATGCATAGAGATATAAATATCAAGGATGTATGATAAATATTCATCTATTTTATAGTTCCAGTTAATAATTTAAGAAATAGTATAAAACATCAATCTAATAAAAATTACTATATAAGATAAAGGAGACATCTTGGCAGAAATCCTTGTGGCATAATTGCATGAATGTATTAGGATGTCAAAAGTCAAGGTTTTACTTGAAGGTTATGAAGCTTTCAACAATAATATCATTTAACTTATATCATCATTTTAACATGGGAATTTATATACGTAATAGTCATGATAATTATGACAATGAATTAATTTGCAATATTAGGCCTTCGATAGAAAACACAGTAACTAAAAAAACCCATAGAAATGATGTATTGTATATTAAGGTAAGGTGAACAAGAATGCATTTATTGTTTAATGTCAGTGTACCCTGCTACCAAACATACCAATATTCGTTTTAACAGAAATTAATGCATGTCATTTTTTAACCCCAAGAACATTAATATTTATACTTTCTTTATTATTCATTTTGCTATAATGGCAAGTTTGTAAAGATAAATCATATATTTTTACTAGAAATTAATTGACTTTAACTCTGTTATATTACTGCAAAGCTGTAAGTTTCCTTTAGTTAATATTTTTTATAATATAAAAAATTATCTCTATTGTAAACAGGTGAAGTCAGAAACATAGAACTGAATCCATTAGAGAACATTTCTTTCAATGAGTCTATTCTACAAAAATGATAAATGTACAGTTTATTGATAAGTAAATACTAAAAACTCTTTGTAGTATTCATTAAAGGGTTTTAAGAATATATCAGACAATATATAAAGTATAAATAAAGCATTTGATCATTATTTCAGCATCCCACAATGCCTCAGTGGATGTACAGACATCATCCTAAAGAGGGTAAAGCAATACGACCTGAGCTTATTGGCTTTGGTGTTGGCCTCAAATCAGAGAAACACAAGTAAGGCAAAATATAAACTATTTAAAACAATAGTAACAAAATGTATCATAAAATGTCTTAGACTAAAAAGATGTATCTTTGTACTTGAAAGAGTTGGTTCTCATGTGAGATTAAAGTCATATGTATTGGGTTTTTTATGCTGCTGTCTTTTACTTTGATGTACAGCTATGAAATTTTGACCATGTGCACTATTTTAGATGTAAAATTGAACTTTGATATAAGCTGATACAGTCATGAAATTTAGGCCATGTGAAATATGACCTTGACCACCAAATTAACTAGACTCAAATGCATTATTGCAAAGTTTAATTGTAAAGAAACCAAAAAAAATAATTTTGTGTTCCTAGTAATTCGGTGACAGCATTTTTCACAAATGCAATCTTGTTAGTTTTAAAAGTGGTAAAAATTCATGCAATTTATTAAGCAAATTTCTCAATTCATATAAAGAAACATGAAATATATGCTGAAAAGTTATAAAGCTGAAAAGAAAAGATAACCATTGTTAAACATAACAAAGTTGAAAAAAAAAACATTTATTTTTTTTACTTGAAGGCAATTCAAGGGAGGCTACCCATTGATGAGAAGTGTACCAAGTAGTAAAGTGACCAAGGGAGAGGCACACAGGTTGATAGATGTTGCTACAAAAATACTTGTTGCTACAGTAAGTCATATTATTCATAATCTGCATTGTTATCTGTCCAGACCTTTAATGGTTTTAAAATACAAAATAAAACCTCACAGGTTTAAATGATTTATTATACAAATTATCTCCAGAAAAGTTAAATGCAGATTTAAATTTAAGTTTGTACAAACGTTTGTTGATTTTTAATGAAATTCTTATTAATGGGGAATTGAATGAGGTAAGTGAAAGTTTGCATGTTATTGTTTGGATTTGGACCAGCAAACATGCTGGGATAGCTACATCACTACACTCTGAATAATGTATTCATGATCAGATAGAACTGTTTCTACAAATTATCAAAGATGACAAAGTTGGAAAAAAATTGAAATGCCCTTTTTAACCTCTGTATGATGTGTAATGTTTACTTTCTTCTTTTTTATAACAGGAAAGAGTTAATGATTTACAGTCACGACCTGTGACACCAAAATCACGTCAGACTGCTCCAAAGCCATTTGAGGTTTGTTTACAGAATATAGATTCTCTAGATTTTGACACTATTTCTGATTTAGTGTCCGTGTCTTTTCTTGTAAAAATTACTTTTCTGTACTTCTTTTATTCTTGTTTTGGTTCACTGGAATATTTATTTTGATTATCTCTATCACTTTATTCTTTTATACAGTAAGTGCAGGAAACAACATATAAAACTTAACTCTCATCTTTATAAGTCTAATTCATGTAATATGAGTTTAAAATAACTCATTTATATATTAGAACTAAAAATAAACAATAAGGAGGCAATTAATTATAATAATGCTCTATTAGAATTGATTTAGAGGTTTATATAATGAATATCTATCGCAGTTTTAATTACTACTTCGCTTTCTATTTTCTGTTACTAATTAGATTATCATAGCCTATTAACATTGTTAATTAGGTGTAATTTTAAAACTAAATATAGAACCATGCAGACCTTATAACATGTATATTTTAGTACTATCTTCAAAGTACTGTTTTCTGTTTCTCATTACACATAATATTTCTTTTGTGCTATTTTACACTGCAATTTAGTTTACACCTTTAGAAATATATAGATTTACTAAATTTATGTAATCCTTGTGGTAAACATTTACTTATATAAGACCAGAAGCTAACAAAATTACCATTGGACTAACGAAACAGAACATTACTTTTCATTGGTATAGCTGTGAATCTAAGCAAAGGCCTTTTAATTTAGTTTGTTTCATGTTTTGTTGCACCTTATTTTATTTTAGACTGATAAGCTCCTGCCAGGAGACAAAGATGGGAAGGTAAAATAAGTCGGCCAGGAATTTTATTGTGTTTTTATTGTGTGACATTGTGACTTATTACCCTGTGTCATATAAAAGTCAAAAATCCTTATAAAGAATCATTATTTACAAGTGATTGTCATTTCTATGAAGGGCTGTAGAAGGAGCATTGAAATAAGTTTAGCTTCTTGGTCACATTAAGTCATTATTGGTCATGATTATTAAGTCATTAATTCATGGGGGAGATACATACCCAATACTAAAAAACGTAACCCGTCATATAATAATATTTATCATACATGTAAATTTCATTGTGACGAGTTTACTCACACCCTTTTTATTTGAAACTTTGACAAATAGCTCTAAATGCACTGTGATGTATGAAATCATGACATATGGGTTGATTTTGTTTTAATATTAGCCATTAGATTGATAATTATACACATGTATACATGTATATTTATTACTGTTATGAATGTATAGCAGTCAAACCAACTGACATATTAATGATTTCACTGTTTGCAATAAGTAAACTGTTATAGCAGAAAGATTTGATGTGCTTACTTAGTGCTTTACTCACAATATGTTCTTTTTTACTGTAAAAAAATAACTCTTTTGCTTACATTTAACACTATTGTATATTAATATTGTGCTAAAAATTGACTCCTAGTATCTTACAATAAACATGTATGTAACTGTCACTAGATGTAAAAATTAAAATAATGTAAAGCTACATTAATTAACATAATGATCGAAAAAGGTATATATTTTATAAAGAAAAACTTGACTGTTGTTTTTTTATCCGATGATTTTGTATTTGTTATAAGAACTGTCACTTGTTGCTTTTGCAGAAAAAGACGCGTCCATCTACTGCCAAATATACATGGGACATCCATGGGCGGAGACATATAAGGGTAAAGGTAAGACTTCATTATACATGTTACATAATTCATGACATCATCAAGCTTGAAGTGTCAAATATCCACATTATTTTAAATCATATGCTAAAGCTGGTGTTTGTGTGTTGTAAAGGAAAGCTGTATGTCATACATTTGGTGAAGATTTATTAATGAGGAAGAAAATTATTATTGATTTTGGAAGTTTTCATCACCCAAATTGGTTGTTTAGTCAGTTTACAGTCCCAACTTTAATACTAGACTTGCCAGGTCTTTTATAACCTTCTTTTCACATTTCTTTTATCAATTATACATTAACATTACTGTAAATTAAACTACGATGTGGCTGGTAATTATGTATTTGACTGGATGGTTTCAGGAAAAGGAAGAAAACGAGAGGCGACCTCAGTCTGAGAAAGTGAACCTGGTACTTCATGTTTCACAAATATTACTTGTACACTCTCTGCTTGTATTCTATACATGTTCTCTTGATGTTGTTTAGTTGAGGCAGTTTTATATCCTCAAAAGTTATGTATTTGAGAACATACTGTCCATGAAATTTTTAACTTTTGTAAAAAAAAATTTTAACACACATCTTGTGTAGTCAGGCTTACAATCCAAACTTTTTATGAAGTTTCTGAATTATTTGCAAAATTGGACAGATATTGAAACACCAAATTCACAGGCACCCTGTTATAACACTCAAATTGCAGTCCAAGTTCTCAAACGGTGGTATAAATGCCTTATGGAATTCTGATATATAATCCTCCTCTTTTATGATTTATAGCAAGAAATACATTTTTGGGGGTGGAACCAAGGCCTAAAAGTGTTATAACAGGGTGGCAGTGTATATTGGTATGAATTATGTGTACATTTTAGAGGTAAAGACCTGCCTCAAACATAATTTTATGATAGTTGAAAACATGCACTTAAATGAGTGTTTACACAAAAATTGACAGAAAAATGTCTAGAATTTTATTTCTGCCTATCAAATGTGTCATATACACATACCCAATAATATACTTGTCTTTCTATAAATAGAGACTTGCCTATTTCATTTAGGGGTTTGATATGCAAAATAGAGTCTGGATTTTTCCAGCTTTGAATATGGAACAGACCAAAGTCTTCAAAGATTTAAATATCAAAATGCAGAAATTACCTACAAAGGGTAAAATGCTAACCACTTTTGGTTCTAGCAGGTTTAGGGTGAAAGAAATAAAACATATATTTAGCATGACAAAGTAAGATAGATAGTTATTTGCATTTTGTCTGGCTTTATAAATGTTGCTATTTTGTTATCATTTATGCTTGCATTTGTTTATTTTGTAAATGACAAACATTCACAGTAATTCATCTTCACCAATATTTGTAGAGTTAGAAAAAAAATCTTCCAACAATCACTGTCTTTTCTATATACATGTATATAAGACTGTACTCTAAAAATTTAACTGGATGTGAAAATAGGGATACAGGATAAAATTCAAGCAAAAACTATTTCCTCAACTATTTAAAGAGTTAAAATATTTGTATGTAAACTTTTTATTTATGTTGTTAAATTTAATGCAGATGTTGTCACTTGACTCTGTAAGTAAATTAGTGATATTCATGTTTCTTATGATGATAGGATATAGAATATGGTGACTTGTTTACTTTAATTGAAACAAAGTTTCAAAGATCTTAAATGCTCAATATTTGATAAATGGTAGAGGTAATGGAGAGAATTTTATTTTGTAGAATTTTTTCTCAATTTATTGTTTTCAAGATATAAAAATGTCATTGTTAAAACTTTTTTTGTTTATTTTATAGGTCTAAATTTATTAATAGTGTTAAAAGATAGAATTTCGTTACCACCTTGTAGAATCGTTTTCTGTATTTTGTACTTGTTTGTTCATAGTAAAAAAATAAACTTTTTATTTATTGTAAATGAGTAATTTTACATCAGCTTAGAACAGTATTTTCATCTTGTTGTTATTGATGTTTATTTATTATATTTATGTTTCATTTTCACCACCAAATAAACCTATAAGAAACAGTTCTTTCAGGGCGACATTTTAACTTTTTATATTATTCAGAATTGTCTGTATAATATCATTGTCATTTTTTTTATGTTTTCAGTCTTATGATGACAGTTTTATTCCTGATTGGGTTATGTAAGTACTTTCTATCATTTCTTTTTTATCAAAATTATATATGAAATATATTCCAAATGTAATCATTAATGCTAAGCACAAGCCTCCACATACAGTCTTAAACCCAAAACCTATTTACATTAGATTTAATCATATTTAATAGCTGATATATATATATATCTGAAGATATGTGAAAACATTTGAAAGCGCTAACAGAAATAAACGTATAAAATTAACGAACTTTGTACTCTGCATTTCCCAAAACATACTTTTTAGCTCGACTATTCGATAAGAATAAGTAGAGCTATTGCAGTCACCCGAGCGCCGGCGTCGGCGTCGGCGTCGGCGTAACCACTTATGTTAAAGTTTTTGTAATAGTTCAAATATTTTCAAAGTCCATTGACATATGGCTTTGAAACTTTGCACACTTGTTCACCATCATGACCCCAACCTGTAGACAGGAGGAGGTAACTCTATCAAGCATTTTGACAGAATTATGCCCCTTTTTCGACTTAGAATTTACGTTAAAGTTTTTGTAATAGTTCAAATATTTTCAAAGTCCATTGACATATGGCTTTGAAACTTTGCACACTTGTTCACCATCATGACCCCAACCTGTAGACAGGAGGAGGTAACTCTATCAAGCATTTTGACAGAATTATGCCCCTTTTTCGACTTAGAATTTACGTTAAAGTTTTTGTAATAGTTCAAATATTTTCAAAGTCCATTGACATATGGCTTTGAAACTTTTCACACTTGTTCACCATCATGACCCCAACCTGTAGACAGGAGGAGGTAACTCTATCAAGCATTTGACAGAATTATGCCCCTTTTTCGACTTAGAATTTACGTTAAAGTTTTTGTAATAGTTCAAATATTTTCAAAGTCCATTGACATATGGCTTTGAAACTTTGCACACTTGTTCACCATCATGACCCCAACCTGTAGACAGGAGGAGGTAACTCTATCAAGCATTTTGACAGAATTATGCCCCTTTTTCGACTTAGAATTTACGTTAAAGTTTTTGTAATAGTTCAAATATTTCAAAGTCCATAGACATATGGCTTTGAAACTTTGCACACTTGTTCAACATCATGACCCCAATCTGTAGACAGCAGGAGGTAACTCTATTAAGCATTTTGACAGAATTATGCCCCTTTTTCGACTTAGAATTTACGTTAAAGTTTTTGTAATAGTTCAAATATTTTCAAAGTCCATTGACATATGGCTTTGAAACTTTGCACACTTGTTCAACATCATGACTCCAACCTGTAAACAGGAGGAGGTAACTCTATCAAGCATTTTGACAGAATTATGCCCCTTTTTCGACTTAGAATTTACGTTAAAGTTTTTGTAATAGTTCAAATATTTTCAAAGTCCATTGACATATGGCTTTGAAACTTTGCACACTTGTTCACCATCATGACCCCAACCTGTAAACAGGAGGAGGTAACTGTATCAGGCATTTTTTTTACTATCAAGCACTAAGAATAGTCGAGCATGCTGTCCTACCGACAGCTCTTGTTTATACATGAGATCCACACAAGGAATCGAACTTTTTTTTTTATATATATATATATATATATATATGTTAATACACACAGAAACAACAGGTTTTCGAAATAATAAATTGCAAAAGGGTTAGGCCCAAATTATTTCAACATAAGCTATCGGTCCTGTCTATTTACATAAAGCCTTCAACCCAAAACAAAAACTAAAACAATTATTTTGATATGTAGCCTAGTACCCAAAGCAAATATTTTACGTAACACAAAAGTTAAGTCAATGAAGAACTATACTTGAAAACCAAACATAAAGTAATGAAGCCCAATATGATTGCAGACATATGGCTAACGGTCATGGAATAAAAAGGTAACAGTGATTGGTTGTTTCAAAAAAAAATTTGTTGGTAATCAGGAACAAGCTTGACAAACTGCTTTTAGAGTTACATCTACTCTATCTGTTGTTCTCTTACATCTATTGTCATTATAAGATATTTGCTATTGTTCACATTTCCTGCTATAATCATCTCATGTCAAAGTGATAAGATATAGGAAGTAAAGAGAATTTCCTTGGGGAAATTCTTAAAGTCTCTGACTTCAAATCATTTGCCTAAAATAAATGTATGTTCAGAATTTAAAAGGGAGAGTTAACTTTTGGAAGATTAGAAGTTCTGCTAGAGTTGTATCTTGCATTTAAAGATACTGAAAGGACATCTTCAGTAAATTATCCTTCACTTGCAAGGCAGGAAAATTTAATACAATTAATCATCACAGCTTTGGTGAAATAAAATATGTCCAAACATGTAAAGTCAAGAAAACTAGGTACATTTTAAAAAAAAAAAGAAAAATACTTTTTATTCATTGCATCACTTATTTAAAGATAATAATAAGAAAATCTTATTTAATTCCATAACAGTGTGTTTGAATTTTTTTCAATAACTGTTTATGTTAGTTCCCATTACGAAAGCTAGTACTTTTTCATACTTAATCTGATCATGATTCGGGTTTGGATGTTTAAAAGCACATCATCATCAGCATTTCTCATGATCTCTCTCTCTCTCTCTGCTTGTTATAGTGGTATATGGCATGTTTAAATTAATTTCTCAAACAAAATTACCAATATTTTGATTCCTAAAATACAGTATTACTGAATAATAGAAATTTCTTGACTTAAAATAGAATCTCAAATAAATTGTAAAACAAAACATCAGCAAACAAACAAACAAACAAAAAGACATGATATCTGAGTCAATACATATATTGATTAAAATATGAATCTGCCATTTATCTAATACAGATTCTTCAACTTGTAGCATGCTTAATTTGTTTTGTTTTTTACCTATCCTGCTTTGAATTTTGAACTGTCCTTTGCATCTGTACAGGTATAAATCAGTGCAAGGTTTATAAATCAATATATAGTTTATAAGAGAAAGATTATTATATTGTGTGAATTAATTAAATACATTTCATATTCATTATATTTGTCAGGCGGCAACAACATGAACGAGAACCAAGATCCAAAACACCTGAACCAAAACCATCGCCACGACCGAAATCTGCCAAATACCGACAACGAGATCCAGTTCCTCCGTCACCACCGAGACCTACAGTGATTAATGTACCGGAACGGAGAACCGACGAGGAGGATGTGGTTGTGAACAGTGAGACACAGACAGCAGATAATGTTGGTATACAGACTGAGAAACGACTGCTGGAGGAATATGATCATGTAAGTGGTATATTTGACACAGATTTGTCAGATAATTGATATACTCTTGGGAATTTAAAAAAAAAAAGTAACTAAATATTTGTAGAATAAAGAGAATCAGTTACAACTGATAGAAATAGCTAAGATAATTTTTCAGTCATAAAAATGATTCATGCATGTATATGTTCTAAGGTAACTATTCTATATCTTAAGACAGAAAATTAGTTTATATTGTAATGTAATAAAATAAGCTCAAGCTGTCCTCAGTTAATGGGAACTAGTAAAATGTTCTGGCTTTCTGAATTTTTGTGGGGGTCAAATTAATTGTGTATTGTACTAGAATGATGAAATATCTATCTGGAATTAAACTAACCAGTATAGATTAAAAATACTTTAGGTCAGATTTGCAAGGGTGTTCCAGCTGCCTTGTTCAAGGAACAAGATTTCTGCTGTATATTGCTAGTATATGATTTTTAGCTCGACTATTCCATAAGAACAAGTAGAGCTATTGTAGTCACCCGAGCGTCGGTGTCGGCTTCTACGTAACCACTTACGTTAAAGTTTTTGTAATATCTCAAATATTTTCAAAGTCCATTGACATATGGCTTTGAAACTTTGCACACTTGTTCCCCATCATGACCCCAACCTTTAGACAGGAGAAGGTATTTGTATCAAGCATTTTGACAGAATTATGCCCCTTTTTCAACTTGGAATTACGTTAAATTTTTGTAATACCTCAAATATTTTTAAAGTCCATTGACATATGGCTTTGAAACTTTGCACACTTGTTCACCATCATGAACCCAACCTGTAGACAGGAGAAGGTAACTGTATCAAGCATTTTGACAATAAAATGCCCCTTTTTCGACTTAGAATTTACGTTAAAGTTTTTTTATACCTCAAATATTTATCAAAGTCCATTGACATATGGCTTTGAAACTTTGCACAGTTGTTTACCATCATGACCTCAACCTGTAGACAGGAGGAGGTAACTCTATGAAACATTGACAGAATAATGCCCCTTTTTCGACTTAGAATTTACATTTAGGTTTGCATACCACCTCAGATATTTTCATATTCTATTGACATCTGGATTTGAAACAAGTTGAAATTGTATACTCTCCTTTGAGAGCATAATAGGCCTCTCTCCAATGCCTTTTACTGTAACATGGATTTAAAGAAAAATTTTTGCCCTTTTGTTAACTCAGAAAATTTTACATTATCAAGGCTCTTTCACTATCAAGCACTAAGAATAGTCGAGCGTTGCTGTCCTACTGACAGCTCTTGTTTGATAATGCATGGCATAACCATTTGCTAATAGGTCAATAGCTTTTGAAGTGATGATTCAATATTTAAATTATTCAATATTTATATTAAAACATTCTCTATAAAGAATGAGGATGAGGTAAAAGATGGACCATGGTGTGAGTACCAGCTGTATGTGAGGACCGGGGACCGTGTGGGTGCAGCAACTAAAGCTGATGTCAGGGTAACTCTGTATGGTGAAAAGGGAAGAACTAAAGAAATGCTTTTAGGGAAATCTTCAAGAAATAAAGTGAAATTTCAGAGGGGAAAGGTAATATGATATGGAAACATGTTGTCTTTTACTGTTTTAATATATAGTGATTATTATTTCAGGTCCTTAAAACAATGCATAGAACCTTTTAAAATGAGTAAAGTTTTCTAACTTGAATAATTATTTAAAGTGACAGTATGATGCACGAATGTTGTGATATTATGTTAACTAATATATTGAATTACTTTCTTGGGACATTAAAATAAAAAGAAAAAGCAAAAAAGAATATGGACTATATTTTAGTAAACTTTTTATTTGTTTTACAGGAAGATGTCTTCCTATTTCCAGCACATCATGTTGGAAAACTTCGTAAAATCAAAATAGGACATGACAGACCAGAAATGAGTATGTAAATTTAATATATAAAATTTTTGTCTAACTTGTAAACAAAATTATCATTTTTCTTTTCAATACTACTTAATAGGTTAAAAATCATTTAATAAATTCTAAATTGAGACATTTAGAATTAATGTAATTTAGACATTTAGAATTAATGTCAGTTAAAACAAAGAAAAATTTTCCTGTAGTGATTTGCTCTAGTTTATAGGTACTTGAACTCACATGCTATATGTTTTTACCTTTGAAGTAAAATACAGGAAGATATCAGTTTCACTCACATTAAAATTCTGTATAATGTTGAGAGGTTTCTTTGATGATCTTAAGTTTTAGCATTATTAGCTTTTTTAACCAGGTTTTCAATTTTGAAAATCCTGGTTATTAGATTGGGGTATGGCGGGCGGGATGGGCGGATGGGCGGATGGGCGGCTGGGCGGATGGGCGGATGGGCGGGCGGGCGTCAAACGAAATTGTGTCCGCTCTGTAACTCTTCAACCCTTTGAAGAATTTTGATGAAACTTCAGACAAATGTTTACCACATCAAGATGACGTGCAGAAGGCATGTTCCGCATGGCTGGCTCCAAGGTCAAGGTCACAGTGACATTAACATTGAAAATCCTGTCCGCTCTGTAACTCTTCAACCCTTTGAAGAATTTTGATGAAACTTCAGACAAATGTTTACCACATCAAGATGACGTGCAGAACGCATGTTCCGCATGGCTGGCTCCAAGGTCAAGGTCACAGTGACATAAACATTGAAAATCCTGTCCGCTCTGTAACTCTTCAACCCTTTGAAGAATTTTGATGAAACTTCAGACAAATGTTTACCACATCAAGATGACGTGCAGAACGCATGTTCCGCATGGCTGGCTCCAAGGTCAAGGTCACAGTGACATTAACATTGAAAATCCTGTCCGCTCTGTAACTCTTCAACCCTTTGAAGAATTTTGATGAAACTTCAGACAAATGTTTACCACATCAAGATGACGTGCAGAACGCATGTTCCGCATGGCTGGCTCCAAGGTCAAGGTCACAGTGACATAAACTTTGAAAATCCTGTCCGCTCTGTAACTCTTCAACCCTTTGAAGAATTTTGATGAAACTTCAGACAAATGTTTACCACATCAAGATGACGTGCAGAACGCATGTTCCGCATGGCTGGCTCCAAGGTCAAGGTCACAGTGACATTAACATTGAAAATCCTGTTTACATGATTTTAACTTGATTTGGCAGTCAAAGGTCATATCATCTTTGGAGGTAATTTAAAAAAGATATGATATATTATTTCATGTCTACTTTGTAACTTGAAAATTTTAAAAAATTTGAACTTTTTGAAGAATTTTAGAGCAAGCGTATATTTCTATATGATGTTGACCTTGAATTGACTTCATCCTGAAGATCTCATTGAATCCATCTCGGAATTTAGCGCAATTTTTAATGAAAGTTGTTTTCATTTTCGAAAGTCGCTATATAGAGTCGGGTAATAACATTGATTAACAATTGTTGCCCATTTTAACAATATAATCTATTTGCTTTCTTTTTCAGCAGTTGATGTCTCAATGATTGTACTAAAACATCTATAGAACCCTCTCAAACTTGCTTTCATTTAACTCAAATTGTTGTCTCATTATTAAGTATACTCCTTGCAGACAGTATTGTTAGCCGAAATTTACATCCTACTCATTATCATGTATTCTCATGAATATTATCTTTTCCTTCATGTCATGTTATAATCTTTTGAATATTCATAGCAATCTTCATTCCAAAATTCATACTATAGTATAGAATCAGAACAACATTTTTGAAAACCTGGTTTCGTGGCATTGCCATGTTTCTTGTTAAAATTTTACGAAAAGAAATGAGAGTAACATACATTTTTGTACTGTAAAATATTATCATAAGAACATAACATGAAATGAGAAATGAAACATAGATTAAAACATTTAATGTTTATATTTTAGGCTATGCTTGGTACCTTGATGGTGTGTCAGTGTATGACATGAATGATAAACGTATTTATGAGTTTAAATGTGACGGGTGGCTGTCGGGTAAAAATGGAAACAGGAAAACATACAAAGATCTGAACCTGGATTGTGAACGGGCATTTGTAGAAGGTATATATCATATTGTATGCATAGTTTTCATACATCTGAACTTTTTTCGCTGATCAAGTGAGAGATTTTTCTTCAAAAAGAGGAAGATTTAAGAATTTGCAATAAACAAAAGAAAGTTCTGTTATCAAAAGAGGGGAGATTTCTTTAATTTGTGAAAATACCCCTTATTTTAAGAAAAATATTTGAAAATATGGCTTCAGACATTGGGAGTCTCCTGCTAAAAGTGGGAGAGTTCACATGTATGTGTATGATATATTTCATATAAAAATATAACTGCTTATCAAATTTCTTACGGATATTTGCTTAGTTTGTAAACAAAACAAAATTGCTGTACAAATAGAATATATACCTACATGTCATCAACTATTTCAAGATAAGCATGTTTTTTTTGTTATGAAAAGTGCAATTAGTCTGCTAATCTTTTCCTTAATTAATGAAATTATGTGTACATTTCTATGTAGAAAAGAAGCTTGAATGATTGTAAATTGTTGTTGAATATTTCAGCATATGATGATATAAAAGGAAGATCTTCACCTAAAGCTGGTCGTGACAGAAGAATACATGACAATTCTACCGACAGTAAAGCTTCAAAAGATGATAAACGTAGTTTAGAATCTTTGAAAGGTAGTCGAGGAGAGAGAAGGGACAGTGACACAGATTCCACAACATCTTATAGCTCCAGTTCTGACTCATCCTCAAGCTCAGGTACGCCCATCATACCACTTACTTAATTATCATATGATTTTGAAATAATAAGTCCGCTGAACTGCATTTACTTGACCTTTCATGACCGAACCTTACTAAAGACATATGGTATTCCATTGCAATAGCTACTTGAATATAGGTAAGGGAATTAAACGATCAAATTATTGCGAGAATATTGTAATATATTGTAGGATTGATTGAAGTGAATGTATGTATCTATTTATTTATAAATTGCCTTTGTTAGTCAGTATTTTGTTAGAAAAATCAGCAAATTATATGACAGATCATTCAATGTCTCTTTTTGTTTCCGTTCTTATGAATGTCAAGTGTCAGGTAATTTTATTTACTGTCATAGAATAAATTGTGCCTGATTATGATGAATTAAATAGAATGAAACCATAATGTGTAGAATGTATTGATGTAGCGTAAGAATTTATTTGGGTGTTATTATCAGTTTACAGCGAAATTAATTTTTGTGAAATTTGGATTCAGACATAACATTATACATAACAGATAGCAGGAATAGAAGAGGACGTAAAACTCCCACATCTCCGAAGAGATCAAAAACACCAACAAAACAAAGGGAGTTAACTCCACCTAAAAAGACTCAGAAAGATGATTTCTTTGACAGTAAAAGTGCTGGTCCTACATTTACATTCAGAAGTTACGATCAGGAGGGACATACAGCTGAGGAAGAATATCTCTCAGGATATAAGGTAAATACTGGTCCAAAAATCTAAATATTGTGTCATAGTACACAAGCATGTTAATAAATTATTCAATATACAATTGTCAGTAAGCAAGCATTTATTTATTACAGAATTTTTTTCACTACATAAAATCAGATTTCATATTAAGTTTGTATGTCAGAAATTACTCTTTATGATTCCGTAATGGTCTGTTGCATAAATGTTTTGTATGTTTGTTGATAATAAATGAGCCGTGTCACGACAAAACCAACATAATGGGTTTGCGAGCAGCATGGATCCAGACCAGCCTGCATATCTGCGCAGTCTGATCAGGATCCATGCTGTTCGCTATCAGTTTTTCTACTTGTTATAGGATTTGTAAGCGAAGAGCATGGATCCAGATCAGACTGGAAGCGCAGGCTGGTCTGGATCCATGCTGGTCGCAAACCCATTATTCTGGTTTTGTCATGACACAGCTCAAATTTTGTTGACAAGGTTGAGTAGTTGAAATTAGTCACAAAATTATTGCTACCACCATTACATGGAAAAACTAACATAAGCTAGATGTTATATTGATATTTTGCACGAGAGTAAAAATGTATATTTGTATGATATATATCAGACTGGTTTAAATGTTTTATTTGTATAATATATCAGATTGGTTTAAATGTGTATTTGTATGATATATATCAGACTGGTTTAAATGTTTTATTTGTATAATATATCAGACTGGTTTAAATGTATATTTGTACGATATATATCAGACTGGTTTAAATGTTTTATTTGTATTATGTATCAGATTGGTTTAAATGTATATTTGTATGATATATATCAGGCTGGTTTAGAAGCAGCATCGGCAGAGAAGAAGCATGAACATGATGTTGAGGAAACAGAACGTAAACAGGTATTACAGGGTCCAACTATACATGACGCAGCACGATCAGGGAATCTAGAGAGGATGCAACATCTCATTAACTATTTCCCAGAGATGAAAGAGTGAGCGTTCTTTTTTTACCAACCATTGTCACATAAAGCTGATTATTTTGAGCACTATGCCATCAGTTTAGAGCTAGGCCAGTCTGCGCAACATAAGTATTCTATCTGGAATCCCTTACAGGGACATTATGCCTTAAGAAATGAATAGATCTTTCTTACTGTATAATAGACAAATGACTGTGTTTTATAATGAAGTAATAAATGTTTTAGAACTTTTGAGATGCTTATCACCTGAAGAAAATAGCATGACATATGAAATAATTTGTGAGAATTTTGACTTCAATACAAACACTAATTCACTTTAACTGTAATGATTACCCAAATGCAAAAGGAACAAAATATAGTGGTATTTTGACTTCCATACAAAATACTAATTCACTAAAACTGTACTAATTACCAGAACACAAAAGAATCAAAAGATGGCTTAGAAAAATTGGCTAGTGAAGTCTGTAACAGGATACCAAAACTAAATAGCTTTTGAAAAAATTAAAATGATATCATTTATGAGGCTTAATGGGCCTTTAAGGATTGAGAGAGAGCAAAATTTATTTACTTGTGTTGATGTGAGTACTTAAATTTGCATCACTTACCAACCTTATGAGTGTTGAATCGCTGCACTTAAGCGTATTACTAACATTTTGTTTTTACAAGAAGTATGCAGACTTACTATGCCTATTCAGCAAGACTTAGTGTAAACACAATATAAACAAAGGGAATATTCGTTTGAAGATATTTTACAAATTGTTATATTTCTAATTCAGATCTAAAGATGAAACAGGATTAACTCCCCTACATATAGCCACACAACAGGGTCGACTAGAAATAGTAAAGTGGCTGACAGCTCTTACTATAAACTTGAACACAGAGACACAGACAGGCTATACTGCTATACATCTTGCTGCAATGAATGGACATCTTAACTGTATGATTGTAAGTTAACATCATTATATTATTGTTGTAGTGCAAAACATTTGTTTCATCAAATAATATTATGTATGTGTCATGGCTTAGAACTGTTCACTTTTTAGGGGAGAAGATAAGTAATTGGCCTGATAGCTCGGTAGGGACACAGAATGGTATTCCGTCTGGGGAAAAGCAGGAATTTTAACATCTGACTGCCTCTGCAGGGTTCAGTTTTAACCAGGGATTTGAAAATCTGAAAGTCTATTCCCAAAGCGTGGAGGGGCCGTCCTTATGATTGACTACTTCATTATTTACAAATACATACCTGTCTTTTAATTATTACAGTCAGATATTGATAATATCCCTTCCAACAGTTACAATCAGTATAATATGTTATGGTGACAAGTTGTAACAAACTGTTCCTGCATAATTTATTATTGAATTTATATAAAATTATATGTATTTTTTTCTTGCAGGTACTTGCTGCTATGGGTGCAACCTTGACCTGTAGATCAGTTGACAAACAGACACCACTTCATGTAGCAGCAATGAAGTAAGTTAATTTTTGGTAACAAATAATCTTTATGTCTTTGTATTATTTCAGGCTCTAAAACCTTACTGGTTTTTTTTGTTCAATAAATTAAATAAATTACATTTACCTTTCTAATTATGTGGTCACTAAATGTTTTATCTATTCTTAAATTTGTTTCCTCTTTTTTTTTCAGTGGTCATTTAGAATGTGTGAAGTGGTTGATAGCCAACCGTTCGAGTCTTTCAGCAGAAGACCAGCTAGGTCGAACACCACTGGACCTTGCGGAGGAATACCAGCACCAGGAAGTGGCAACCTTTATACGCAAATGTATTGATGAGTCACATGATCCTAACAGCAGTCTTCATGCATTGAGGACAAGAAAAGGGTAACCTAGTTTATGCTTTACATATGTATGAGTTCAGCCCTACTTTGATTACAATAAATACATATTCTAACAATTATATTCGGGAATATTGGCTTGATGTTCTGAAGTGTTTATTTGTTTGTAAGAATATTTGGGTAAGTTAGAAGTTCATGTGGGTGGGAATTATTCATAGGCATTTACTATGAACTGTAATTTTCATAAACATAGCATAATTTAAAAAGATACAAAAATTTTATACATTTATTATACAGCATGATACATTTTACATTTCAATTTATAAGTATAGTGTAATATTTTTATTACATAGATAACAGATACCGATGTCTGCTGAGGTGATATTTTCTCTTTACTGATTTATAGATATTTTTGTCATAGAGGCAAATGTTTTAAAGATCATGTTTTAATTTTCAGACTGGATCCCATACAAGAAGACAGATCACATGAGAGAAACCTAGACAATATGTGGCAAAATGATGTAAGATACAGGGCTAATGTCTGCTAGTCTAATATATTAATCTGATAATCTCTATGTGTCATCTGTCAGTCTTGTAATGCTTCATGCAGAACTAAACATGACATTTGTTGATATTCTACATCTATTCAGTATCTTAATTATAATCTAGTTCTTTCTAGATCTTTATAGATACTTTTTTACATTGAATGTTATATCAGAATTTTTTTTTTCTTTTCTTAAAATTATTAATATAGTTTCTTAACCTTTTTCCATTTTAAATAAATAAATTTGTATTCTTAGATGTAGTTTTGTATATTTTAGAAGAAATTAAAAACATAAAAAAGTTGACAATCGATAGCTGAAAATTTGGTAATCTCACTTATTTATAAGCACTAAAAATGCTAAGCTTTTTGATAACACACCTTCCACTGAGAGAGAGATTTTCTTTCTCGCTATTACATAATGTATCTCAATGCTATTTTTCTAGTCCATTTGTCCAGGGTTTATTTCATAGAGTATGAATTTATTTTTCTTATTAAGAATTATTCAGCAAGCATGTAATTTCATTGGCTGACATATCTTTTAAGTTTTGTGACTAGACAAAATGTGATAGCTTTTAAAATTACAAAAAGGAAAGTTTAAGCTTTAAGTATAAGGTGGAAGGTGTGTTGTTCTCGTGAAGTGGAGTTACAGAAGTGCCCCATGCTGTGACAAGTGATATATAACCAGTTTTCTTTAATGCCTTGATTTGTTATATAACTTACATGGTAAAGCTAGATAAGATGTTTATGTGCAATGTCAGGCACAATCAAACCAAGCTTATTACCATGCTGGGTGACCTGTAATGTTTCAATAATAATTTACTTAATTATAGTTGTTCAAAATGGTTTTTCTTTTAACTTATTCTGGGTTCTTTGAAAACACTTATTTGCTTAAATCAAAGTTACTAAGTCAAATTATTTAGATACATTTAGATACTTAAAAAAAACAACAACAAAAATCCCAGACATCTAGTAGCCATTATCAAGATTGATAAATAGAAGTTTCTTTGCATGATAGTCAAAATGATATACATATATTATAGCTGAAACAGTTTTAATACAATAGTTTTCTCAATATTTTAGATAGATAAATAATAAACAGAAAACTTTGCGTAGAATATAGTGTAACTTTTTATTGTAAACATTAAATTTTTGATAACTAAGCTTAGGACAATCATTTTGAGGATTGAATGCAAAAGTTTCTTTATTTCTTTATCTAACCTCTATGGACATTGCATTACAATCCCTTGATTTGATGCATACTATTGGCTTTCTTTTATTCTTTTATCAGAGCTAGAAAGATTGTTTTCATTATCTATTTTCTTAGATCTATACTTTTTATTTCAGTATTGTACAGGAGTGCATATTTAATTATTTCTGGGTCACAATCTGGATGGAGGGGGCGGGGGGAGGGGGTTAAGGATGGTTCTAGCTTGACATTGATGTGCTTAATGAAACAAGTTTTAAGTTTAGTGTCCAGACTTTAAAGCATGAACTAACACAGTTGTTTGGGTTTGGTTTCATTATTTGCAGACTAACCCGGATTCATCGAGGGCAAATGCAGGCAGCCAGAGTGAAGGTAGAAAAAACAATGTAGCACAAATAAAGGTCGGTCACATTGCATGAATCACTGTGTATTATATTGAACGATGGTATTAATAGATGTTCAAATGTGAATTGATTATTTATAGGCAATATTACATGTAATATGATGTTGAAAATGTTCATTTAGTCAGATGGATAGGGAATTCTGTCAGATTACTGTTCAGTAAGGAACATAATTATTATAATAGGTGGTTTTACCTCTATGCCCTCAGATTTTAAAGTTAGAGACATGGAAAACTAGACATACGGTTGTATATGTTCAATTAGTGTTGCATTCAACCACCAAATTATATTTGCTTTTAGGCCTCTGGACCATGCAAAAAGTAAACAATTAACACAGTGCAATAAAGTAAAGCATGTGTATAAACAAATATGTATGATTTGCATTTTAAAATTAGATGCTTTTACATCTACAGTTTGTCAATATAATTAAAGTATGATTTTATTTATAAGTCTTGTAGGAAGCATTTTCTTTTTTCCGATGAATAATATAAATACATTGCAACAGACTTCATAAGATCTTCTTTTCTTCGAATATTCTTACTGTTTACTTCAGTCTTTATTTTCAGTCTTTTTTAACCAGGTTTTCCGAAGGAAAAAACTGGTTATTAGATTGAGGCATGTCGGCGGGCGGATGGGCGGACGGGCGGGCGGGCGGGCGGGCGGGCGTAAACAATTTCTTCTGTGCGCAACTCCTCCTACATTTCTCAACGGATTTTGACCAAACTTTCACAGAAGCTTTGTCATCAAGTGCCCTGGCGCATATTGTCGGGGTTTTGCCATTGGATAATATTTGACCTAATTATGGCCCTTTGTTGTTTTTTCTTATATAGAATATATAGTGAACTATTTCTTCTGTGCGCAACTCCTCCATCATTTCTCAACAGATTTTGACCAAACTTTCACAGAAGCTTTGTCATCAAGTGCTCTGGCACATAATGTCGGGGTTTTGCGATTGGATAATATTTGACCTAATTATGGCCCTTTGTTTTATTTTCCTTATATAGAATATATAGTGAACAATTTCTTCTGTGCGCAACTCCTCCTACATTTCTCAAAGGATTTTGACCAAACTTTCACAGAAGCAATGTCATCAAGTGCCCTGGCACATATTGTCCAGGTTTTGTGATTGGATAATATTTGACCTAATTATGGCCCTTTGTTTTTTTTTCTTTATGTAGAATATATAGTGAACAATTTCTTCTGTGCGCAACTCCTCCTACATTTCTCAACGGATTTTAACCAAACTTTCTCAGAAGCTTTGTTATCAAGTGCCCTGGCACATCTTATCGGGGTTTTGTGATTGGATAATATTTAACGTAATTATGGCCCTTTGTTTTTTTCCTTATAAAGAATATATAGTGAACAATTTCTACCGTGCGCAACTTCTCCTACATTTCTCGATGGATTTTGACCAAACTTTCACAGAAGCTTTGTTATCAAGTGCCCTGGCGCATATTGTCGGGGTTTTGTGATTGGATAATATTTGACCTAATTATGCCCCTTTGTTTTTTTTTCCTCAATATATAGTGAACAAATTCTTCTGTGCTGAACTAGTCCTACATTTCTCAACAGATTTTGTTCAAACTTTCACAGAAGCCATGTCATCAAGTGCCCTGGCGCATATTGTAGAGGTTTTTTGATTGGATAATTTTTGACCTAATTATGGCCAGAATATATTTTTTCCTTATACAGAATATATAGTGAACACTTCTTCTGTGGCAATTCCTCCTACATTATTCATGTTTTACATTGCACATAGTTACATTGTTTATTGCTTGTATTTGTATGTCAAATACAACATATTTATCTACAATGGAGATAATTGAAAACCTGGTTTCGTGGCATTGCCATGTTTCTTGTTTCTAGCTAGGTTATTCTCTTTCTAAATTTAAAATTCTTACTTATCTCTGCTAGGATAAATGATGGAAGTTTTGAATGTTTACTAATTTTATTAGAAAGAAGAACATAACAAAGAAATATTGCAAGAAAGCATGGTACTTCTTTTTTGTAATATGTTGTATTCTTACACTATACAATATTGATATAAGAAAATAACTGTTATTTGATAATTTACAATAACTCATCTAAATAATTCATACCATCTGTTATATATATGTCACTTTCACTTTGTAAGTCAACAAAAATGTTTTGTAACATGTCTGTGATGTACATGTATAATGTAATATGTTGTCTGTACTTTGATCGTCTTACTGGTATATATCCAGTACATCAAATATTTTTTAATATATCTAGTGCATAAACAAGTCTACATAATCTTGTCTAAATTACTTTTTGAGCTAAAAATAGTATAAAATCTTATAGTTTCATGATGAAATAATGAGAACTTTCATGTGTTGTATTTAAAAGATTGTTTTGTTGTGGTTGTTTGTTTTGTTTTTAGCTCAACTGTCACAAAGTGACAGGGTGAGCTTTTGTGATCGCTTTTCGTCCGTCGTCCGTAAACTTTTACTTTAAATGACATCTCCTCATAAACCATTAAGCCAATTTCATCCAAACTTCACAGGAATGTTCCTTTGGTAGTCACCTTTGAAATTGTTCAAAGAATTTAATTCCATGCAGAACTCTGGTTGTCATGGCAACCAAAAGAAAAAACTTTAAATATCTTCTTCTAAAAAACCCGAAGAGCTAGAGCTTAGATATTTGGTATGAAACATCTTCTAGTGAGTGTCTACCAAGTTTGTTCAAATAAAAGCTCTGGGGTCAAAATTGGCCCCGCCCCAGGGGGTCATTGATTTTCCCTATATGCATACAGTAAAAACTTTAAAAATCTTCTTTTAAAGAACCCAAAGAGCTAGAGCTAAGATATTCAGCACAAAGCATCTTCTAGTTAGTGTCTACCAAGTTTGTTCAAATAAAAGCCCTGGGGTCAAAATTGGCCCCGCCCCAGGGGGTCATTGATTTTCCCTATATGCATATAGTAAAAACTTTAAAAATCTTCTTTTAAAGAACCCAAAGAGCTAGAGCTAAGATATTAAGCACGAAGCATCTTCTTGTGAGGTGTCTACCAAGTTTGTTCAAATGAAAGCCCTGGGGTCAAAATTGACCCCGCCCCATGGGGGTCATTGATTTTCCCTATATGCATATAGTAAAAACTTTAAAAAAATTCTTTTAAAGAACCCAAAGAGCTAGAGCTAAGATATTTAGCATGAAACATCTTCTAATGGGTGTCTACCAAGTTTGTTCAAATAAAAGCCCTGGGGTCAAAATTGACCCCGCCCCGGGGGACATTGATTTTCCTTATATGTGTATAGCAAAAACTTAAAAATCTTTTTTTAAAGAACCCGAATAGCTAGAGTTTAGATATTAAGCATGAAACATTTTCTAGTAAGTGTCTACAAAGATTAAATAAATAATTAAATAAAAGCCTTGGGTCAAAACTGCCCCTGCCCCAGGTGTGTCATTGTTTTTAACTATATGTGTAAAGAAAAAACTTGACCAGCTAGATCTTAGATGTTTTGCATGAAACATCTTCTAATGGGTGTCTACCAAGTTTGTTCAAATAAAAGCCCTGGGGTTTAAACTGGCCCCGCTCCGGGGGCCTATATACAGGTGAGCGACTTCAGGGCCATCATGGCCCTCTTGTTATAATTTATCAAACTTTCAAAATACCAGATTTTATATAGATTTGAAATGTTATCAGCGCCAGAAATATTAATTCAATCAATAAATTATGGTGTATTTTAATATTGTAAACAATAATTTACTAGAATTATTTAGAATACATGAGATTCATTTTGAGAAATTTCATTTAATAATCTTGAATATAATCAATTATTTTAGTTGATTTTAGATTACATATATATAAATTTATTATCAAATAATCTTTCTCAATACCTGAAAGTATTTTTCAGTTTTTTATCTTCTTTAAATAATGCAGTAACAGTAATTATTTTTTTTTTTTTACCCCTGCACAGGAGAAGAAGAGGCTTTATGAAGAACAACAACAAAGAATGGAAAGAACACATACATCATTCCTTGACAGTATAAGAGATGAGGCATCACAAGATTGAGCTGTATAGTTTAATACCATACTGAATGTTGTACAGTTATACGGTCAAATACCATACTGAATGTTGTACAGTTACATAGTCAAATACCATACTGAATGTTGTACAGTTATACGGTCAAATACCATACTGAATGTTGTACAGTTACACGGTCAAATACCATACTGAATGTTGTGCGGTTACACGGTCAATAGCTCAAATGTCCCGTCATTGTTATCCACTTTCTATTCAAAACAAATTTAAATGTTTAATTTCAAACTTACATAGACTTCTACTGCCTACATTTATGTAGTTCCATGACTTTGCTTTGAATGATCATAGATTTTGAACAAAATGTAATTTGTAAATGTGGATGACTACAAGTCTAATATTAGGTTTAATGTTGGATTTAGTACACTGAATTTGGCATTATCTACTTGCTTGTTTGTATTGTTATTATTTTGACATATTTGTATATTTTGCGCAAAGTTTCATGACTAAAATTTGATGTAAATACAGAAGACATCTTCAGAATTTATGTGAATACTTGTGACATGTAATTGTATTATTACATTACTCACCTTTCAGACTGTTTCATTATTTTACGCAACGATTTTGGCCTACTTGCTGTTTATTGACAATATTAAATGGTATATAACTTTTCATTGGTTTGATTTGTTCAAGTTTACAATGTATATATTGATATTAGTTAAGCATAGATTTAGGTAAATGCTGCATTTATTTATTCATACTGTAGTTAAGTGATATGACCTTTTATAAACTGAATTCTATGAAATATTCAGAATTTGAATATTTTTTATATGTATTAAGAAATGATTTGTTAGTGAATAGTAATTGTTAAGTCATGAATATTTCATAGTAAGAAATATATTGATTTTCAATGTTTTATTGGAATAAAACCAGTTGCTGGTAAACTGAAGAAAGAAGAATTTTTGTATCTAAACATTTCTAAAGTAATTCAGAAGTATGACAGTCATTAGATTCTATAAATAATGAAGTAAAATTTGGCATAATTATCTTATCATTTTACAAACACAGGGAAAAATTCTATGTCTTTTGTGTAGTTTTTTCATGCAATACATGATGTTTCATCAATACATATATGTCACTATAGTTTTAAAGATGAAGTAATGTTCCTACCACTAAGCAAAGGCCTTTATTTGCAGACGAAAGTTCTGCTGTAGCTGTGTGTATGTTGTATGTATGATATATTAAGCAAGCTCTTACATCACTTTATTGAATTAGTAACTTAGTCTTGCCCATGTTCCTTGCTTGATACTAGTAAAGGATAGTTTCTACATAATTTGGTCAAGTGACAGTTGTTGATAAAATGCTGTGTTGCCTGTATGTTTATTGAGATTTACCTTGATGAACTCTTAATGACTTAGAGGGTAGCCTGGAACCCCGTTGTATCGATCTATTTACCCATAAATCACAACTGCATTTAAAAAATTCAAATCTCCCTGAATATTTATTTTGTATCATTTATTTTGACCCTTTTGCCATAATATTTACATGGCAAACATCACTGATATATAGTTTTTAACTTTGGAATATACGGATATTTACAGACATGTTGAAGAATTAGGTCACGCCATTATATCGATGCATTGTGAGAATCGCTCAGTTAGCCAAAGTTTGGGAAGCCTGAACCATCTCTATGTTAGATTTTTCAGTCAATTAGAAACATAGATGTCTTTTTTAAAATGTCAGCATAAATTTAGGAACTTTTAACAGACAGTAAACGTACTTTTAATAAGAACACACTATTTATAAGTCTATTTATTATCTACAATTAACGTCTTACGGTACTGGAAACATGTTTTTGATCATTTTACTGCACAAAAATAAATACGAAAGATTTTCGTGACACTGTTGTAAATGTTAACAATCAGTAGGTGACGTATTTTGCAAAAAATCTGAAGATTTGTAATTAGATCAATACAATGAATAGCACGATACAATGGGGTTCCACTATATACAGCCATATAGAGTTGTGTGTGTTATCACCAAAATAACAAATAGCAAAATTGTTTGTATAGTAATGAGAATTATACCAAAAGTATTTAAATTGAATGAAATTTGTCAATTTTTAAGAAATTAAAAAGTATTTTCACAAATTCCGTCCCCTGACATTCTTGTTACTGTTACCAGTATGATGGTCATGCATGTTATGTAACAGAGTCACTCTTTGTTAATAATCTTTTCTCAAATAACATGTTTGAACAGTTTAGGATTTACATTTTGCCAGTTACAGCTTTATACCCTTGAAGGTGGATGCAACTGTGTGATTGATGAATAACTGATTGTTTTAAACTTGACACAATGTCTCTGTGATATTTATTTTAGATGTAGATCTATCTTTATAAAATAGTTTACATATGTTACTGAAACTGTTAAAATTTGTTGTTATTTTGTTGTATTTTTGTAATCATATTCCATTTCATATTTGTAGTTTAATTTGTGGCTTGTTGTTTTTGTTATAATACATGTATATTATAGATGAAGATGATTAACATGTTGACAATGGATGGAGCATGTACATGAAACTGGGACTAATTCTTTTCGTTTGAAAACAAGTTTAAGTCAAAAAAAGTTAATAAAATTACAGTTAATGGCAATATTAAAAAAATATAGACCAGCTTATTTTCATGGCACCCTCTGAATAGTAAGAGTAGTCACCCAAATGTCACATCAATTCTAGCATCTAGAATTCATACACAAAGGGCCACATAAAAATCCCATTTTTTAAATGTCATTCCAAAATTCTTCATTGAAATAATTCACAACTTACACCACCAAACATTTATTTTTGTTCCGTGATTGAAGAATTTTAACCTGATCTAGTATTGAATCTCAGGTTTATTTGTAGATTGGACATTTTTAATGAAAACCTTAATAAAGAATATGAGAATTTATATCTGCAAGTGCTGTGAACCTACACTAAATAAACAGTGCCAGATACTTGCATAATTATATTGTAAATATTGCCACCATAAACAGATCTGATTCAGAATGCCACCAAACTCTTTGGATGGAGAAATATGTCATTTAGATACAAAAACTTTAAAAGGATATTTATTATGTAAAAGTAATTTTTGTTGCCTCATGTTCTTTAATAGTTTACAAAATTAAAATATATTACATAGAGTATTAAATTGTTAGATTTTAGAGATTTTAATTTTATTCATTTGGCCAGGTTTTTTATTTAAAAAAATATCAAAATATTTATTTAGATTTTTTATGAGTTGTATATTTCAAGTATTATTTTGTTTTAAGATTTAGAGATATTTTTACTTTTAAAAAATAGTTTTATGTAGAGTTAGAGCTTTTAAAATAAAAATAAGCAGAGTTTTTATAAAAGATGAAATATTTATAAGTCTGTTTCTAGGAAAACAAGTTGAATTGTCTTTTTGATAAACAATAGTTTTATTACTCATGACATAATAACAATACTGCTTACTTAAGGAACTTTTGATTTCCTACATTTATTTGGAGCTTTCAATATTTGTGATTTTTTTATAGCAAAATTTATTAGACTTTATATAGATTATAAAGGTTTGTATTTTATTTGAGGGGTTGACTTGTATTAGTCAGCTTGTTAAGTGTCACCAAGTCCAAGATTATTTGAGCGGTGTCACGACAAAACCAACATAATGGGTTTGCGACCAGCATGGATCCAGACCAGCCTGCGCATCCGCGCTGTCTGATCAGGATCCATGCTGTTCGCTATCAGTTTCTGTATTTGCTTTAGGGTTTAAAAGCGAACAGCATGGATCCTGATCAGGCTGCGCGGATGTGCAGGCTGGTCTGGATCAATGCTGGTCACAAACCCATAATGTTGGTTTTGTCGTGACGCGGCTCATTTTATCTTTTCTCATTTCAAACGGTTGCAATGACCTAATACATAGGTGACAAAATGTAGCATGTTATATTATAATAAATTGATGGTTTGTCTACAATATAAACATATCTGTAAATATTTGTTGTAAAACTTATACTGTGATATTTTGTTGTAAACTAGTAAATGTTTGAACATCTTGATAAATTGTTTTACACTCTCATTAGATTTTCTCTGTTTTTATAACTACATGTATTATTGCATTAGGAAATAAATTTATTTAAAACTTTTGTTTTATTTTCATTTTATGTAAAGTCTCTGAGACTGGGGTACAATGACTAAAATATTTATACAGAGTTTTCTAGCTCCTAATTTCAGTTTTTTTAGGATTTTCATGGACATTAAACATCCAGATAACTTCACCAATTGCCAATCAAAGATTGAAAGTACCAAAGTTCTGTCAAAAAACTTTTGATTTAAAGAAAATCTTTGCATTCTATTTCAAATGATGACCAACATTACAATTTTCTGACGGCAACAGTAATGTCAGCATGACTGTAGCAATAGCATTTTTTCTCTGAAAAAGTCTAGCAACAGAAAATAAAACCAGGTCAGATTTTATGATGCTCTTCAACATGTGCGCGAGAATACAGAGCAATTTTGTAGCTGCAACTTGGGAAGGTTGTTTTTCTATCAGTTCATGAGAAATAAATCCAGATATACACTAAAGATCAAGAAATATGTTTTTCACAGGCTGCATTTAAGTATGTTTGTATACATGTACAATAATAATGAGCCATTTCCAAGATGTAGCTCAAGATGGGCATTAATTTTTCTGTATTTTCTATTGGTTCTGGGCTATTTCTATTTAAATGTATTGCACCTACATGTACATCATATTTTATTACAAAATTCTATACCATCATCCAGTTTGAGCTGTACATGTTAGGGTTAAAACAAAACAATATTGTAAAATTATCAGTCCACCATTTTGCCAGCAGTTAAGTCTTTTGTATAACAGGCAAAAATAAAAATGTCACAATATGAAACCCCAGAAAAAAAGTAACCAATGAATGCTCTAGAGTGCAGGTAACTAATACTCTTGACATATTTTCAACAGAAAGGTCCCCAAACTGATACAAAGGTTAAAATAGTTTTCACTTTAATAATCCTGGTGCGTTGTATCTGTATATTAGCTGTGTGACGGAAATAGCCTGATACCTAAAATAATTCACAGAGTAATTTCCTTTGTTTTACAAACTCTTACCACAGTTGTATTAATTAGACATAGGTAAATGCTTTTATATTGAGATGATGTAATTTGTATATGTTATATATCTTTAAAACACTTTAGAATTAGTAAGTTAAGTGAGTTATAATAGATATGATCATAGTTCATAAGTAAAAGACTCTTAAGACGCTTATCAAGTAGTAATAATTGTTATAATGCTAGATGCTCTTGAAGCAAAAATAATTCTCAGTCAGCCTTTAAAAAATTAATAGATATCACGTGGTACTTGCATTAGTATGAAAGCAGGCACATACGATTTGAGGAGTGGAAAAGACATCAGGTTAGCTTAATGAACTGTGAATCTGGTGACCCGTGTTCGATTCACAGACTGCAGGTCACTTTTGTTGCGATTGATCATGAAACCCTTTACGGTCATTCGCACTGTACCTCTGCTCTGGCATGTACAGAAGTTTCGGTTTCTTGCAAAAGTGAAGGCAACTAGTACTGGCAAACTGCTTGACAGCTTGCACAGGAAAGGTGCGGTGGCTGAACTGTTAGTCTGGTAAATTCAATGTGGCTTACTGCTGTAATCCGGGGTGAAAACTACCAATACCATTGAGGAGTGGCTCTTCTCACTTTCCCTTGGAGCATGCTGGTAGCTGAGAAGGCACAGGGCATCAGCAGAAGATTTGAAGACTAGGGATAGTGCAAAAAAAGATCAGAAGTTGTACTGCGGACCAGCTGCAAGTGGCCCTACAAAGTAGGCTAATGTGACGAGAATGGTGTGCTAGGATGCGTGAATTGGAGCACAGATAGACTGCTTGAACGGCAAGCCTTTAGCTGGCACCAACAGCCCTTTTAAGGGCAACCCTTTTGTTATTCTCTGGTTACTGTACATTTAGGTTCTCATTGACTGCAGTACAGTGACCTATTGTTAATTCAAAAATCTTTGGCTAATACCCCGCGGAAATTGCATGGAGGTAATTTGTCACCACTATTTGCTTCAAAATTAACTCTTTAAGGGGATGACTGATGACATGTCCGGGTCAGTTCTTAACAGAGAAAGCAGCTTTTTGTGCCTTACCTGGAAGATGGACCGCCATTAAGCATAGACTACATACAAGCATTTGGTGGCTGCTGAGACATAGACTAGGAAGGACAGATAAATATTTAAGTAATAATAATTAATTATCAGCTAACTTATATAATGCTTGGGACTTTGTGCCGAAAGTATCACATAATAAGATTAACCCAGATATTTAGAGCATTGCGTTCTGATATCTTAAAGCATTGCGCTTTTTGTTCATTCTTAGTTATATTTTAGTTGCAAGTGAGGATAGTAAAGAGCTAAGGATAGATGTCTGATCATATAGAATATATTGCGATTTCTATACTGAAGGTTGATTAATAAACTTACAAAGAATCATATTGAATAGGTAACCATACAAATTAAATAGGACTTTCCTTTGGATGAGATTTTATTACGAGACATTGACTTGGTTAAGTAAACTGTTTGAGCTATATAATTCTTATTGTTATTTAAATCATTTAAGAATCATTTATTTCCAATCATAAGGCAAAGAAGCCCGAGAAAAATTACATATGTTTTAATAGCCAAAGCTATTATTTAGAATAGCTCAAAAGCTGTACCTAAATATAGACAGTAGCTCGGACACATTACATTACTAAAAGACATTGTCAAAATGTTTTATGTAAGGAACAACTCGATAAATATGAAAAATTTGCATCTGTTTATTTATATAAAATACTTTTTAACATGTTTAAAATATGAAATAAGATAATAGTCAGAATAAAAAAACAATAATAGCTACTAAATTCAAAGATTGCACATCAAGTATGTGTAGTAATACATAAGTACAATGTGTGCACATCAAATATACATGCAGTAGTTGTTGTTTAATAAAAATTCAAAGTCAAGTCTTACAATGATTTCAAAAAGCTGACTCAATAAATAATTTTACCCAAATAAATAATTTGATCTTAATTTGCATATATACATATATCAGATTTCACTTTTCATGGAAAATAAGAATGTTATTTCTTATTATAAGCTATAGTTCTTTTTCTGGAAAACAAGTGTGAAGATCACAGTAACTATATTTGTATATTTACTAAGATAGAAGGAAGATGTGAGAACAATTTCATACTTCAAAATCCTACCACTTGTTAAAATAAACCTATTGATAAACATACTCTAAAATATCTAGAAGTTAACAATAAATGAGCCGCGTCATGACAAAACCAACATAATGGGTTTGTGACCAGCATGGATCCAGACCAGCCTGCGCATCCGCGCAGTCTGATCAGGATCCATGCTGTTCGCTTACAAACCTTTTACAAGTAGGGAAACTAATAGCGAACAGCATGGATCCTGACCAGACTGCAGATGCGCAGGCTGCTCTGGATCCATGCTGGTCGCAAACCAATTATGTTGGTTTTGTCATGGCGCGGCTCAAATGTATTATTTGCATTAAGCCATACTAGTGCAGACCATGATGAGACAGTCCCTGCTGATCTTGGTCTGCACTAGCTGTATTAATATATTCAGATGCCACTAGCAGACCAAGGGGGGTTGATTGTTTATGTTAGGCTATAATGATCATATACTTTGTTTAAAAACTAGAACTGCCACTATCATGGCGTGAATACCCCCGCATACCACTTTGTCAGAATCAACAGTGGCCATTTAGAGCTCAAGGACAACCTCCCTGCAAAATCTGAGGTTACTAAGCCAGTGCATTGCTAAGTTATGTATTCTACATGCTTCAAATGTTGCGGACAGGACATTCTTTAACAATTAAGAAGAAAAGCTTTTTTTTTGTCAAGGTCCCTGTGACCTTGACCTTTGACCCAGTGACCTCAAAATCAATAGGGGTCACCTTATAGTCATGATCAACATCCATGCCAAATATGAAGACTGTGGGTCATAAATGGGTGGACAAACTTTTTGAAGTCAAAGTCCCTGTGACCTTGACCTTTGACCTGGTGACCTCAAAATCAATAGGGGTCATCTACAAATCATGACTAACCTCCATTCCAAATATGAAGACTGTGGGTTAAAGGAATCTTAAGTTATTGGGCGGACAAGCTTTTTGAAGTCAAGGCCCCTGTGACCTTGACCTTTGACCTGGTGACCTCACAATCAATAGGGGTCATCTACTAATCATGACTAACCTCCATGCCAATTATGAAGACTATGGGTCAAAGGATTTTAAGTTATAGGGCGGACGAGCTTTTTGAAGTCAAGGCCCCTGTGACCTTGACCTTTGACCTGGTGACCTCAAAATCAATAGGCGTCATCTACTAATCATGACAACCACCATGCCAAATATGAAGACAGTTGGTCATAGGAATCTTAAGTTATTGGGCGGACAAGGTTTTTGAAGTCAAGGCCCCTGTGACCTTGACCTTTGACCTGGTGACCTCAAAATCAATAGGGGTCATCTACTAATCATGACTAACCACCATGCCAAATATGAAGACAGTTGGTTAAAGGAATCTTAAGTTATTGGGCGGACAAGGTTTTTGAAGTCAAGGCCCCTGTGACCTTGACCTTTGACCTGGTGACCTCAAAATCAATAGGGGTCATCTACTAATCATGACTAACCTCCATGCCAAATATGAAGACAGTGGGTCATAGGAATCTTAAGTTATTGGGCGGACAAGCTTTTTGAAGTCAAGGCCCCTGTGACCTTGACCTTTGACCTCAAAATCAATAGGGGTCATCTACTAATCATGACTAACCACCATGCCAAATATGAAGACAGTGGGTCATAGGAATCTTAAGTTATTGGGCGGACAAGGTTTTTGAAGTCAAGGCCCCTGTGACCTTGACCTTTGACCTGGTGACCTCAAAATCAATAGGCGTCATCTACTAATCATGAGTAACCATCATGCCAAATATGAAGGCTGTGGGTCATAGGAATCTTAAGTTATTGGGCGGACAAGAAAAAACCGACGGACGGCCGGACGCCGGACGGCCGGACGGACAAGCTGATTCCAGTATACCCCCCTTACAACTTTGTTGTGCGGGGGTATAATGACTTACAATATTGTATTTATAAAAAGCTCCCATGTTCATTATTATAAATAAATCATGTCTAAAAGATTCAAAATACTAGTAGTACTTTTGAAAAGAAGCTCATAATTGGTTGATTACACAAACTACTACCTTTTAATAAGTGGTGATTCATATTTTTTTATTAGATATAAAAATTGAGTATGGATCTACATTATTTTTTCACACATGATGTTGAACATAGACTTAATTGGAAAACATGATAAAATACCTGTATATATTTTAGGACAATACAGTATGTGAATAATACAGAGAATCTGGATACTATTTTATCACAGAACAAAAAGAGACAGAATATTAGAGTCTTTACCATGTAAGAAAAAAAAGATAAAGATAAAGTTAATTTGTTAAACAAAGAGTATCACAATCCCAAAATAAGCGAAAATTCACAGCACAGCATAAATGAACAAGAGCTTGTCTTTTGGTGGAACTACTTAAATATTTCTATAGTATTTTGAATGGGATTTGGCTCATAAAATTTTCGCAAATTTTAATAAAAGAACTCAGTTTGTTAAGCTGGACACCATTCCTGACAAGACTACAAATAATGAAAGATTAAAACAGCTTATTCTAAAAGTTACATAGTACTTACATGGTAATTGTGAGTGCTAGAAGAGTTGTAAAACCAAACTGATTACATAGTGAACTTTTATAAATATTTAAAATATCCTTTATATAAAATACTTTCCACCTTTTCTGTTGGTTATAAACTTAATTTGTTCATCAATGAAACAGCCATATAGAACTCTTGATTTCTAAGCAAAAGTTCCTCGAATTTCTGGCAATAAACTTCATTTGTAGGTTAATAAATACTTCATAATATTTGAAAAATTTGAAAGCAATGCATATAGTATGAGAGCATGGTGTCTACTAACACTATATTTTCAATTTGTATAGAAAAACAATTTGCATCAATATTAAATCACAACCAAATAATGACAAACTCATTGTCATTCAAATATCCAGCAAAATGATAAAATAACAACACATTGATCAGATCACTGGTACATAATTTATATATGTGTATAATACTTCTGAAATAATTGTTCATACAACATGTATACATGGTGTAAAATCTTTGTAACATCATAATACTTGTATTATGCAATGTCATCCCAACAGAGTTTGGGGATCAATCTAAAGAAGTCTGCCTAAATAAACAACATTTATTACACTCTCAGCTATTTATTTCATTTGTCTAGTCAATCATGATTCATAATATTGTATATCAAAATAACTAACCATCATGTACACAATTTAAAGTAAATCAGCATTATTGGGGAGATAAATCAGCCAATTCTTGAGATCTGGAAACTATAATTCTACATTCTTCTTTTTTCTATGACAAAAAGCATTGGACTCTTGTCTACATATAAATCCTACAACTTGTTTGTAAGAAAAAAAATACATATATTTAGCAAAAACCCTGTACATGTACAGATAGAAAATTACCCTAATATGAAGGCTAGTTTTAAGACCAATGAAGTAAGACTAACAAAAGATCCATTAATACAGCTATGTGATGTATCTATATTTACAAGTATTCTAACAAACCAATCTGACTAAAGTTCAGATCTACTTAAGTTTTCCTGCATGTAGATCTGATTGCCACCATATTTGTGTCGCCTTCATTGTAATTTGGATTGCCCGAGAAAGTTCAAGCAATGCAATCAAATCATCCTTTACAGATAGGCATTTGATGAAGTATCAAAATATCACTGTCCATGAAAGTAAAACAAATAATTGATTTTGTACAAAAAAAATAAAATTGATGTAATTTAAAACAAATAAAATGGAAACAATAAATTCAATTTTAGTGGGCATAATTGTTTTGTCAGGCTATATGGACAACGCCATGTTTTTTCTTGAAATTAGACACCACACCACTTTCACCTCCTATAAGTGCCAGTCAGATCCCATTGCATAGCATTAATCAAAGAGCTGATTTTAATCAGATTGTTAACAAACTGGATTTCTATCTTATCAGTGTAGTACACACCGACATCATCATATAATTATAATGTACAGTTTTTCTCTCTAACATAACAGTTTAATGATTGTAGCATGACTGATGAAGAAACCTTGAACACACATAGAGGTAAGCTAAACTAGCCTTGTCTTTACTGCTCTATGAATAAATGAATGAAAATTGATTGTACTGCTTAAAGTAATGCCTTTTGCATAATGAAACAAATGATTTGTAAACTGTGTTTTAAATTGTGTGCTGTATACAGTTATTGAATATTAAGTTCTAAAAGTTTGTGACAAAAGTTCTTTTTAGATAAAAAAGGGTGGGTTTCGATTTGTTTATAAAGACATATGGCATAATCATAAACTTTACATGTCCATGAACTTATTTCACTTTTGGAATATGACACAACATTGCAGGAATCAGGGAGAAGCTGCCCCTGCCCCAGGGTCATCTCTATTTCTCCTCCGTGTTTGTTGTATAGGTGTGTTCTCATTTTTCATCTTGTCTGCTGTGGCAGCCAGTTGCTTCACAAATTGTCTACCACCTGTAAAACATAATGTTAATATTATAATATGTTTATAAAGTCTCTCTTTTTAATAGTAACACATTGGTGTAGGTAGTCATAATAAAGTATATTTGGTGAATATACCTATCAAAACACTCTTTTTAATAGTAAGACATTGGTGTAGGTACTTGTAATATATTTGTTAAATATAATATTTTATCATATCATTACATTAATATCAGTTGACAAAGTACATGTCTGAGAAATTTAGCTTCATCAGTCACTCTAAGCTTTCTCAGACACCTTATAAATACACAGTGAAATAAAATGAAGATATTGGAATATTTTTACCTCTTACTGAAAAATTAATATAAAACTGATGAATAGATTTTTTGAATATGAAAGTCTCTCTTACATTTGACTAAAAACATTTGAGACCATTTTCTTACAGATATGAATAACTCCTGTCATATTACTGCCCGTGGCATGAACTCGAGAGGTTCCTTACAGGTTTTTGAATTTGAATTTAAAAAAAAAGAAATGCATAATGAAATTGAAAACATGATAAATAGAATTCCAAACAAGTGTATGATGTTATAAAATTTATCAGGCCAGGCACGAAAAAAAATTAAGCCTTGACAAAGCCTTGCCCTTCTTTCTTTTAAGCTTTGCCTGATAAATTTTGTAATATCAGAACTAGTATGGTATTCTCTATATATCTATAAAAAGTAAAACAATCCTTATAATCAAATCAAATTCAATAAAATAATTCCATCATTTGTAACACTAGTATAAGCAAAGTCGTTTTTTTTTAACAAACCTATGAACACCAGTATCCTTCAGACAGAAATAGCCTATATTTCAGGACATTCAATACAATCTTATAGACATCAGATAAAGTGTAAAGACAGATTTACACAAGACAATGAACATTCAACAAAGCTTTGAGATCAAGTAAATTGGAAAACAAAAGATCCTTAATAATGTCACAATGTTCTTTACACAAACAAACAGAGAGAGGTAAACTTAAGCATTAGATAAGTAATGGAAACAGGGTAGTAAAAAGTGATTTGAAGGCAGGCACTATTGTACAGGTAGTCTGTGTTTAAATGATTTCATCTATAACTATCATTAGTTTTACATTAACTCTGAGAGAATCATAATGATCACAAATATTTCATACATAAACAAGAACTGCTATTCCCTGATAGTTAAAACAAAAGACATTTATCATCATCTTATAATCAGATAAGTGCAATCATAACTTTATGGGGGAAAAAACAAGAATACGATTTCTTTTTTATTTAAACTATAGTGACCTAGTTTTTTTACCAGAAGTTAATTCATATCCACTTTTTATGACATTTTCAACATTTGTTCAGATCTATGGGTTTCCCCAATATGGCTCATATTAAAACTTAACCTAGAAATTATAAAACAAGTACATGACTCAACAGTAATTATGGTCTCCAGATTGTTAAAAGGTCTCCTTTTATTTCACAAGTTGTTCTTATTTTAAACACTACAATATATGTGGCCTATATGGCTTGTAGTCAAACTTAACCTTCAAAACATCAGTAAGTACTGGAATAAAAATAAGGCTTTACTAAGACTTTATACAAAAAAAAAAAACATGATTTCAAAGGTATAAACAATGTGTTGTTTTAATCTGAGCCAAGGCTTAGTTGCTGACATGTTCAAAGTTGTGCAAGATACAATAAAAACAAAGATTCTGACAAAGTTTAATGAAGGTGTTACTTCTAGAAAATGGTAACAACACAACTTTAGATGATGGACAGAGGACATCAGAATGATACTAATAGCTCATCTTTGAGCACTGTGTGCTCAGTTGAGTTTATCAAATTATAATATTATCACCTGAACTAGAAAAGCGTTATATTAATTCTGGTTGAATACTAATCACATCAATTACCACAAGCACATACAAGTAAAGCTTTAAAACATGCACAATAATTTTATAAACCTTCAAATATCTTCTTAACTACCAGTAACATATTATTATTTTTTTTTTTTTGGTGGGGGGGATAATGTCACACCAACACAGTATAGGTCATATGGCAACTTTTCAGCTTTACTGGTGGAGGAAGACCTCAGGTGCCCCTCTTAGCATTATTTCAGGCACAAAAGGGCATGTGAGTAGAACCATTGACATTCTGTAAGGTAGCTTGCTCACATGAAACAATTCAAAGTCCCTGTAGGAATTAAACCAACAGCAGGGAGGGGCAGATGGTTTGAAGTCTTAACCATTTGATAACAGATGCTCCCCTATAATACAATAAAGCAAACAGGAAACAAGGGCTACCATATTACTCAAAAACAGTCTTAGGTTTCAAACATCACTTAACAAACAAGTAGACATGATTATTGTATGTATAAATGACTACATAAGACTACATAATCTAACAGAGAACCACAAATCATAAATCAATTTTCACTGAATTGATTATTCTAACACTATCGGATTTTTTTCTATATAAACAAAGAAGGCCCGAAGCCTGCATTATTCTACAACAATGCACTCGGCGTTCTTATTATCTCCCTGTGAATTTTCACATTGAGGGCGCCATTTTGTTAAAAAAATCTGATAAATAAAAACAATTTTTTGTCGAATTTTGTTGTGAAAGCTATATAGAATGAAAGAAAATGGTCTAACTAAGAAAATGAATCCGAACACCATGCAGTATCTTTAATTCAGTAGTTAACGCTGTACAGACTTTTAAAGTGTTGTTTACATGACGTCACAATGTAGCGCCAAACAGCACGTGCAAAACAATCAAATCAAGTACGCTATTTTAATGTCGCAAACGAGTTAAGTTTTACATTTATTTCACTTTTAATAATTTGTATTTCGCTTGAAAAATTATAAAGTGAAATAAAATAAACAAACAAAGTTTTATCAACGTTTTCAAACCACCAAACATAAAGTCCAACTTTATAATAATAATTCTATTTTTTCTTGACAAGTTAGAATGGAAATAGATAATAATTCTTCGTGCATTATTGAATAATAATGCACATTTTTCGTTCAAATGCTTTGTAATTAATCACTCAGGCCTATCGGCCTTCGTGATTATATTACTACGCATTTGAACTCAAACCGTGCATTATTCTACAACAATGCACTCAGAATTGATATCTATTTCCTAAAAAATGATCAGTTAAGGGTCATCTACATGTAACAGCAAATATGTTGCATACTTCACGTTCCTGCACTAAAACTGCAAAAATTTTAATAAAAAGAAGCAATTAAATGATTCCCTATACCAAATGCTTTGATTTCACAACTGCATCAAAAAAGCAATGTATAAATACAGATATCAGTGAAATAATATGTGCTATAAAAAGTTGTTCATGCAAGTGTAAATTAGTCATTTCAGCTTTAAAATCATTCCTGCCACTAAACATACTAAAAGCCATCATATAACTACATGCTTGTATGATTGTACATGACAAAATAGAATACAGACAACATAACCATTGTAGAGCATGCTCAATTGTTGTCATGGTAACATCACCATGGTTACCTAGACTGGTTACATACATGACTAAATAGACTGGTTTTCATAAGATAACATCACAGTCATTATGAACATCTGCAGATACAGTTGCTTGGCTGCCATCTTGAATTTTACAAAAAAATGCAAAAACAAAAAAATGAAATGTGCAGTTAATCATGAAACATAACAAAAGTTACAAAACTGTAAAATAAATTCAAACCAATATGGCAATCAATGAAAATTAACACAGCAATGTTAAAATAAAAGTCATACATGGTGAGTGGATGCTAGTGTCTTGGAGTGACCATCTATGATCTAAAAATTCACCAGATGCATATTTTTTTCAGATTCCACTCAGTAGACTGCGCTTATATGACGCACTTATAATTTTCTAGCAAAATATTTATGACCAAAACTGCATCTTATAACTGTCTATTTACGGTATGAGATTTGTTGACAAGGATGTAAAATAAAGCTTCAGACATTTAATTTCAAGCCAATAATAAATTACTTATCTTAATTAGAAAAGAAGCAAATTCATGGAGACATAAATAGTAAAGTTACCTCACTAAGATCTGCTCTTTTTACTTTAACAATATAAGATCCATTAAATTAACAGACATTACAAAATTACATAAAACACGGGAAAAGTTCTTTAAAATCTATTCTTTTTTGTATATAAATAATTTCAAAGCATCATTTTCTTCATTTTAGATACCAAGCAATTGCCACCTTGGATCTTATTAAATACAGCCTTTTTATTTCATTGAAATTCATTCTCAGTAACTTTCTATCTACCCTTTCTTTGCCATGTTTTTCATTTCAACTGTTGCTCAAAACGAAACATATAGGTTCTACATTCCTTGGTCAGCAAATATTTTCATTTTAAGAATTCTGACTACATTTTTAAAAAAAATGATCTAAACACTCATTTTATTACTATATTCTTCTATTACATGTATCACTAAACTGATATTAAATAAGCTTCTGACAAGCACTGGCAAAATGAACAAGCAATTCATCCATACCTGATCTCTAACATAGACATAATGCAAAACATACAGAAATAAATGTAGTCTATTAACCACAATGAAAAATCTTTTTTTTATAAAAGATGATAAAAATATTATCATGCTTTTTCTGGCAGAATCTTTCAATGAAAATATAGTAAACAAAAAATAATGTAATTTCTATTTGTGTGCATGAGTTTTCATGCAAATAAAAATCAAACAAAATAAATATATCAAAAACCATTAACCTGCTTGAATCCAAAGTGATAAGTTTGGCCACCAGTATAGAGCCAGGCCATCATGAACATCTGTGGCAGACTGACCAGGCTCTATACTTTTATTAGTAGATTGATTTTTGTATTGTTTTCATGAAATCCTTCAAAGATTTAAATGAGCTGTTCAAAATTTAAAGCAAATTCATTTAACAGATTCAGCTGGTTAAGGGTTTTTCAAATAATTAATATTATAACTAATGTGCTAATAATGTGGTATGAAGTTGTGAACTTACTATTTACAGACAAATATCAGCTGTTTGACTACGCCAATTTTCTCCTCTTACCCTTACCATAATATCTTATTAATATATAGATTCTTATGTCTACACATAAATAAAGGATACTATAGGTCTTATTATGAAGTAAGCTGGCAATGATTTGACTATTTAGAAGACAGTAAATTGAACAATAAACTTTCTAATATACTTTGAAAACCATGATATGGAATACAATCTTGCTGTCATACACTGATTTTAACACTGTGTACAAATTTAAAGTTCTATAGTAGTTGTAGAGATTGGACACTGATGAATACTGGAATAAAACAGATTTAAGACTAACCTGGAGCAGTACTTGTGAGTGTCCCTGAAGCCTCAGACCCAGAGGATAGTATACGACCCCCTGTTTTTGGCCGGTCTTTGTGTTTCTTGTTTGCAGCTTGCAACATGTTCAACAGGTAAGCCTTGTCTCTACCCTCCTATAAAACAAAAGGTGATTTATAACACAAAGCCACTTTATAACACAACATAATTTACAACTAACATTAAAACACAAGGTGACTTTTAACAAGGTGACTTTTTAACTAACAAAAAAGCACAATTTAACTTTTTAACTAACATTAAAACACATAATAACTTTAAAACTACCTTATTGCATTATCAATACATTAATAGCCTACAATAATGCTGGCTTTGGCAGAAAGAGGTGTTGAAAAAAAAAGCAATGCTAATATGTAAAATAAGAGAAAAAAAAACAATACAAAATCAACAATCTATATCCCTTTGCTAATTAATGGAAATAAGTGACAAATTTCTGAACAAAATAAAATAATGTGATATATATATAAGTTTTAGTGTTACCATGGAGAGTTGTTGTCTAAGAAGATCTACCATCTCTTTATGTCCTACCATCACAATCCTCATATAATATGTCAACACTCTGTAATCACAAAATATTTACATGTCAACATATAAACTTTCTAAGTTTTTGAAATGGGCAACATCATAAAATTAAATGATATGAAAATAATAAAGACAAATACAAAAATTAACTAAAACAATCATTTTAGACATAAGCCAGACATAAACAAAACAGCTTCTTTAATCCAAAAAAGTCTCTTGTTTTATAATTCATAGCAATATCAAAAAGAACAAGAATTTGTAACAGAGTTACCAACGTCCCCCGCCCCGGGAGTTTTATATGAAGCATAAAATTGTGCTATTTCAAAAGATTGAGGTATGGATCTCAGGACATTCAGTCCAAAATTATGATCAATGCTAGATCTGCAAATGTAACAATAAATTTGTTAAAAAAATAAAATGAAACACGAAATTTAAAAATCTATCATGTTAGGCTTTGACCTCTATATGTGAACTTGACATTGGAGATAGGGGAGCAGGTGTTGTGCATGACATAACGTCTTATTATTGTGACTATTTGTGCCAAGTTATTTCAAAATCCCTTGAACTATGAAGAAGATCTAGATTCAACACAAAATATACCCTATAACAGACTATGTTAATTTTTGACCTCTAAGTGTGACCTTGACCTTGGAGGTAGGGATGGCAGGTGTTGCGCATGACACATCCTCTTTTTATATAGTGACTATTTGTGGGAAGTATTTTCACAATCCTTTTGATCTATGAAAAAAATTATAGACCTGACACAAAATATTACCCTGTAACAGGACTTATGTAAGTATTTGACCTCCAAGTGTGACCTTGACCTTAGAGGTAGGTGACCGGTTTTTTTTGCGCATGACACATCATCTGATTATTGTTAACAATTATGGCAAGTATTTACAAAAGTTTCATCATTAGATAAGAAAGTTATGGACTGGACACGACATATACCCTCAAATAGACAATGTTGACCTTGAATGAACAAGTACGACCTTGACCCTGAAGGTACGGGTCTGGTTGTTGCGCATGACACATCGTCTTATTATAAAACAACATTTGTGCCAAGTTATCTCAAATTCCTTTGATAAAATGACAAAGTTATGGACGGACACGAAATATACCCTGTAACAGACTATGTTAATATTTTGACCTCCAAGTGGTGACCTTGACGTTGAAGGTAGGCAACTGGTTTTTTGCGCATGACACATCGTCTGATTATTATGAACAATTATGGCAAGTATTTACAAAATCCCTTTCATAGATAAGAAAGTTATGGACCGACACGAAATATACCCTGTAACAGACTATGTTAATATTTGACCTCCAAGTGTGACCTTGACCTTGAAGGTAGGTGACTGCTTTTTTCCGCATGACACATCGTCTGATAATTGTGAACAATTATGGCAAGTATTTACAAAATCCCTTCATAGATAAGAAAGTTATGGACCGGACACGAAATATACCCTGTAAAAGACTATGTTAATATTTGACCTCCAAGTGTGACCTTGACCTTGAAGGTAGGTGACTGGTTTTTGCGCATGACACATCGTCTGATTATTTGTGAACAATTATGGCAAGTATTTACAAAATCCCTTCATAGATAAGAAAGTTATGGACCGGACCACGACATATACCCTCAAATAGGCAATTTTGACCTTGAATGAGCAAGTGTGACCTTGACCCTGGAGGTAGGGGTCTGGTTGTTGCGCATGACACATCGTCTTATTATAATAAACATTTGTGCCAAGTTATTTCAAATTCCTTTCATAAATGACAAAGTTATGGACCGGACACGAAAGTGTGACGGACGGACAGACGGACAGACGGACGGACGGACAGACAGACGGACAGAACGGACAGAGCCTATTTCTATATCCCCCTTTTTTCTTCGAAAAGGCGGGGGACAATAAGCTGTAAGTAAGTGTTATTCACCAAGCCGCAGAGATCTGATTTTTGTTTCACTACATCTAGTGTACACCAAAATTCAAAGGTGAATTTTACAAAGAGGTTGTTTAAAAAATTTAGTCAGAAAATATGATTAAAATAATAAAGCTGTGAAAATATAAAACTTACAAACCAGCACAAACCAGTGTGGCACTATAAAACCCCAGAAGATTGAGATTAACTTGTATTATTGAATATTGCTGTAACACCTCGTTATTTATCTCTTTTCCAGCCTTCCACTTAAACTTGTTGTACAACCTCATAACTTGATTGTATGGTTACCGGAATGGACCAAACCTGTGCTTGGCTTTAAACTAAAATACAATACATTATTTTCAAGTAAATTACGTGCATTCAATTGTCCAAATCTACTGCCATGGTGGCTTCTATAAAAACACTATTATTGATTTAAATATTATTTCACAGCATATCTATTTATATTCCATAAGGAACTATTTTACTTTTGTATTTTACAAACTTTACAAAGATGCCGAGAGTGAAAAAACAAATATGTATAACATATAAATGGAAATTCATGACAAAATTAAACTACTAGTTATATTCTCTCCTTCCCTTGATTTACTTGTTACTAGTTATAAAATATAGATAAATCATGACAATTTAAAGAAAACAGTTGCCTCTGTTATTTCTAACATAAATTGTAACATTTTAATCTTACAAGATAATGGCACAAGCCACTGCTGCTGTTGCCATGATAAAGAAACAGAAGAGAAAACCCATGAAGATTGTGTGTGCCCTTGATGCTCTCCAAGGTCGTAGTGATGGTTTACAGTTCTGTATTACACTCACCTGTAATATCACAATGGTAAACTCTTTAATTACTTACCGGTATTACCTAGCTAAAATATATATAATAATATCACAATGGTAAACTCTTTAATTACTAGTATTTACCTAGCTAAAACAGTGTTATGAAAGAAGATACCACATATCCCTTAATGCAATACTAATTTCTGATATAAATGGGCACCTGGGTAAAACAATTTAACTAACAGTCACACAAACTAACTTAATATATAATAACATTGCTGAAAATTTGAAGTTATATGTGACAACAAAATAATAGAGATCAATATCTGAACATTTCAGTTAATTATTTAATATTTATGAAAATACAATACCAGCAGCAATATCATAATTAAATCTAAATGAAAATATAAATACAATGTTTTATTCTTTACCATTTGTGAGAATATTCTTTTTCTAATTATGTCATTGAGAAAACTTCTTTAAAAATCTGATATACTTACTCTTTTAACATAGAAAATGATGAAAAGTTTGATGATCATAATGAGTGACAACATTGGTGCAAAATACATCCCTAACCTGAAAATACAAACATAGATAACCTTATAAAAATAATAAATTAAAATACAATCAGGACCACCAAGAAAAATACAATTTGTAGAGGATTTTGGAATTCAGCTTCCAGGTTTAGTGAGTTTACACTGTAGTACTTATAACAGTATCTGAATGAAGCGTTACTGTGTGGCAGTATTTAACATATCAATAATTAATTATAATTAATATAGAATATGAAGGAAGCAAAACATACCAACATAATGCCTGTGAATAGATCAAGTTAAGCGTGTTTCTGCCTATCTCAAACTCTGGATAACTCAATGATTTACAGCAATATTCTTTCATCAACCTGTAAAAGTAAAGACAGAAAATAAAATATGTCTTACATTTTTGCCAATTTAGCCTGAGTAAATTATATAATCAGATTTAAATGAGGCAATTATCTACTAACTTTTAGCTTTGTTTTCATTACATACACTGGAGCCGCGATATAGCGCTCTTCGGTATAGCGCTAATCTCAGTAGAACGCTCATATGCCTTGGCTCCCAAAAAAAAATCGTATTTTTCGCCGATTATAATTTTTTTTTCATGTATATCAAATACCGCACCTTATCCCACTATAACGCTTGTTCAATGTGTCAGTCGAGTGCAATAAACAGTCATAATTACGTCACTCATGATAAGAAGGTGTGAAGTTCATACACAGGTAAGCGTTAATCCCCCTCTTTGTTCATTTTGAACTGTTGATCAGTCAGGTATCAAACTGTTAGCTAAGACATGCAAACACCGACGAGTTAAGTAAATCACCCAAGCGTACAATTAATTTTAAAAAGCATGCACTTTCGATCTATCTGCAAAAAAGTTGTTGAGGAATGGCTGATTTTTTTCACAAGAGACCTGCTAGCAGGAAAGACGATTAATTTAGTCCCATCCACTAGGTATCAATTTTCATGACCACACATTACTCACGCTAACACCGCTGTTTTACTGGAAATTTACAAACATTCATTCGTGGTTTATATTTTTAATTCGTAAATTTCATGTTTTATATTTAAAGATATTCAGTAATGCTTTACAAAATAAATTAATAATAATATATAAAAAAAAGCTTGGACTGATATCCATTGGAAGGTAAGTAAACAATCATTTCCACTAAACAAGCGTTATATGTTTTGGGCGGTGGGTGGGGTAATGCGATATTTTCGCTATAATTACAAAATGATGCGTTGTAAAAAGTTACTCGATACAACGCTTGTCTTGAGATCAAGGACCCCAACATGAGCGCTATATCGCGGCTCCAGTGTATCTGGAAGAGATAAACCATAAATTCATCATGTAAATCATGTAAATCACAATAGTCTTTCTGAAATATTCTACTGACATGACATTATTTTCATCTGCTCTACTATCATTTTATACAAACATATTTTATAGCAAAAATTTGTATAACCTTAACTTTTCTATAGTATCATTATAAGAAATTCAGTTTGGTATTTAACTTATGCACAAGTATGCAAAACAATTATCACATATTGGTAGCGCTAAATAACTGATATGAATTCTTTGAAATGTCAAAAGCAAAATATGTTTATATTTACTTTCTGCAGAATAAGGCTGATATAAATCAAGCAAGTGTTCAATAAATTATATTATATAAGCATGTAATTACAGGGAGAACTATCCATATTGTTATTTTGCAACGTAGAAGCAATACAATATGGAGAGTCACTAATAATAACTTGTAAGGGTCCAATATAGAACTGGTATAGGTAATCAAAAATATTCAAATAAACGTTGAAGCATCTAATAATAAAACTAAAATGTTCACAGACATGAAACAAATAAAAAGTGTTGGAAAAATACTTTACAATAATACATTATACAATTTTATATATTTACTTTACAAGTATCTATATAGCATGAACTGTATGTGTTTATGTTGTAGTGAATGTAATATATGTACATTTTTCTGTAATTTTATCATTAGCTATTTTAGCCCTATTTAAACTATGTTATTGTTTTTTTGTTATTTTATGGTGGCGGGGAGGTGGGGGGGGGGGGGATAAAAGAGGGTAAAACAAGAATTGGCAAAAACCTCCCTGGAAAACTGGAAGACTAACACCCATAAAACATCTCAGTAAAGACCCTTGGGAACCATTAACTAAGATCATGATAAAGATTTTATATAATTGCAGTGACTCATTGTTTTTCTTCCAAGGCATGCTAAGCTAAATTTTTTATTAAAAAAGTACAGAAAAACAAAAGCTAGAAACTCATCAATACAGGTTCGGCTGCAAGGACAAAGCAGAAGAGAAAACCATTACATGAAAGGTCATAATGGCCCACATTTGCTCACCTGAGATCCATTGCTAGAAAATGTCATAATTCTACCAATTTTGCTTCCCAACAAGCATAATTTATAACAAGAGGGCCATGATGGCCCTGAGGTCGCTCACCTGTATATAGCCCCCCCCCCCCGGCCCCCAATTTTTTACCCAAGGGCTTTTATTTGTTTAATTTGAAACAGACTTGGTAGACACCAATAAGAAGATTTTCATGCAAAACATCTAAGTTCTAGCTCATTGGGTTTTTTAAAAAGAAGATTTTAAGCTTTTTACTAATACCCATAATAGAGTAAAAAACAATGACACCCCCTCCGGCAGGGGCCAGTTTTGACCCTGGGCTTTTATATTGAACAAACTTTTGTAGATATTACTTAAAGATGTTGCATGCTTAATATCTAAACTCTAGTTATTTGGGTTTTTTTCAAAAGAAGATTTTTTTAAGTTTTTGCTATGTATATAAGGGGAAAATCAATGACCCCTGGGGCGGGCCAGTTTTTGACCCCAGGGCTTATTTGAACATACTTGGTAGACACCCTTAGAACATGTCTCATGCTAAATATCTTAGCTCTAGCTCTTTGGGTTCTTTAAAAGAAGATTTTATAAGTTTTTACTATATGCATATAAGAAAAATCAAGGACCCCTGCGGGAGGGGGCCAATTTGGGACCCCAGGGGTTTATTTGAAACAACTTGGTAGACATTCACTAGAAGATGTTTCATGCCCAAATATATAAGTTTAGCTCTTACAGTTCTTTAAAAGAAGATTTTTTAAGTTTTTACTATATGCATGTAGGGAAAATCAATGACCCCCTGGGGCGGGGCCCCAATTTTGACCCAGCGGCTTTTATTTGAACAAACTTTGGTAGACATTTACTAGAAGATGTTTTATGCCAAATATCTAAGCTCTAGCTTCTTACGGTTCTTTTAAAAGAAGATTTTTAAGTTTAAACTATCACATGCATTATAGGGAAAAAATCAATTTACCCCCCGGGGCCAGGCGGGCCAAGTTTTTGACCCCAGGGCTTTTATCTTGAAACAAACTTGGTAGACATTCACTAGAAGATGTTTCATGCCAAATATCTAAGCTCTAGCTCTTTGGGTTCTTTAAAAGAAGAATTTTTTAAGTTTTTACTTTATGCATATAGGGAAAATCAATCGACCCCCTGGGGCGGGCCAATTTTGACCCCAGGGGGCTTTTATTGAAAACTTGGTAGACATTCAACTAGAAAGATGTTTTCATTGCCAAATATACCTAAGCTCTAGCTCTTACAGTTCTTTAAAGGAAGATTTTTTTAAAAGTGTTTACTTATATGCAAATTTGGGGAAATTTTAAAAAACCCCCCGGGGGCGGGGCGGCCAAATTTTTCAACCCCCGCGGCTTTTATTTGAACAAATTGGTATTTCCCCCTTTATAAAAAGGAAAATTCCCCCCTGCCAAAAAAACCCTTTGTCTAACTTTTAGTTCTTTTTAAAAAAGGGTTTTTTTTAATTTTTACCTATTTTTTGCAAAAATAGGGAAAAATCAATAAACCCCCCCGGGGTGGCCCCGGCCCAATTTTGACCCCAAGGGCCCCTTTTATTTAAAACTTGGTCCCTCTTTTAAAAAGAAAGTTTCATGCCCAAATATCTAAAACTCTAGCTTTCTTAAAAGGTTTTTTAAAAAGGGGGGGTTTTTTTAAGATTTTTCTTTCGGGTTTTCCAAAGGCAACCAGGGGGGTTCTTTCATGGAATTAAAATTTTTTGAAAAAATTTTTAAAGGTTTACCAAACCCAAAAAAGGAACCCCTCCTGTGAAAATTTGGATGAAAATTCTCAAGTTTTTGGGGTTTTTGAGGAGATTTTCATTTAAAGCAAAAGTTTTAAAGGAACCGGACGACGGGGACGAACACGGAAAGGAAACCCCCGGAAAGAAAAACCCATCGCCCCCAAAAAAATCACCCTGTCACTTTTGGTTTAAACAGGGGAGCCAAAAAAAATATTTGTAGATGGAGCCAAAAAATTTTAATAACTTGGCACCTTTGTTTTTGAAAGGAAAAACTTTTAAGATTCCCTTTACAATTTTAACTTTTTTTATTTAAATTTTTAGGGTCCCCAAAGGTTGGGGGGCCCTTTTTGACCCATAATTTTATAAAATTTTCTTCCCCCCAAGGCCCTTGTAGTTTTTCTGGAAAGGGGTTGGGTTTTTTAAAGGGGTTTGATTTCCTTATCAAAACATATTCAAACCCCCTGTGACCTAATTTTGCATCACATTTTTTTAAACTTTGTAAACGCCATGGCCAAAATTTAAAATTTGATTAAAATTTACTATGTGGTGTTTGGAGATTCATTTAAAAAAAATTTTTGGGTAATTTATAAGATGGGCTAAATGGGCCCCATTGGCCAAATTTCAAAAAAACTCACTTTTTTTTTCCCGGTTTAGCCTTTAAAAAAATTAAAAAATTTGCCTTAAAATAATCAAAAGGGAAAAACAAATATGCAAACCAAAAAACCCATTTTTTTCAATTCAAAAAAAAAACAGAAAGCCTTTAAAAATGTCGAGTTGTTATTAAAATGTTATAAAAAAGTACCCAAATTTAACCTAAATCTATCTTTCCTCTCCCATAAATTCTATTGTCCAAAAGAAAAGGGAAAGGAAAAAAAGGGGACTAAAAAATAAAACTAAAGATTAACCGAAATGAAAAGTTCAAAAACAGGTTACTCAAGACTCAAAAGAAATCTCCGATAATGGGTTTATACAACATTGTTCCCAGAAAAAATCTAAACTATGATTTGGTCAATTTCTTAATTCAAATAATTCTTAAGTTTTCAAACATATTCATTTTCAATGGCTACCCAGCGAAAAAGATTAAATTTTTTAAGACAAAAACCATTTCTGGATTTTTGGCTAGGTCTACCTGTTTACCAAGTAAGGGGTTATTTAAAAATAACATAAGATATTAGATGGCAAAAAGGCCAGTATATTCCGTGGAAAAGGCTCCTAAAACCAAATGTCTCGAACAATGGATTCTTTTTTATTGATAAATTAAATCCACCGTAGATAATTTCAAAAATGGAACAATTAATAAACCAAAGCTCAAGCAAATTAACCCGAATAGATTCTTAGAATTGACCACCTCTTAAATCCGAATTTGCAGAATCAGAGATAAGGCCAATTATATTTGCGAAATCAAAAATTGAAATCTATATAACAATATTTACAAATTGAGAGTTTTAACTGAGTATTAAGGTAAGAAAAAGCAGAGAAGAATAAGAAATTAAGTAACCTATTTAATATTCCAGCAGTCTTTCTACCCAATGTATAATCACAAAATGTAAATAACAATTAAAAAAACATGATATGGCCATACTCCCCAACAGCAGCATAATTTTAACAGCTCCTCCCTTAAATGTTGATATCGGGAAGTCTCAAAGGAGAAAGAAAAAAGTATTTTAAAGTATAACTAAAAATATACTATTGTAGAAACATGAAAGAGAAAAACCTCCTCATTGCACTTACATCCACAAAATTTTACATACTAATATAGTTTGTAAAATTTCCACTAAAGTTATATTTAAAATTTCTTGTTTAAAAATTTCAATTGAAAATTTTAAAGACTTTTGATGAATAATACATAAAATATGAAAATTACATCTTAAAAATGATGCTTTATTTTGTTTACCCAAAAACAAAGAGAATATCTATAATGATGTAAAAATCTGCAATAGTACATGTATATCTATTGCATTATTTTCAACAACAAGTGTTTTTAATGTGACATGTACAAGAAATGTGAGTAAAATTTCATTGTTAACATTTCAAGGAACAGAAAAAGAAACACCAAAGGAAAAGTTGTGTGAAGTTTGGTCAAAATAAAACAAGCACTGTTTTTAAAACATGTGACAGATAGCAGAAGCTTAGAGTTACATTAAAAGCTTGAAGTATTTTGTGATGTGGTGTTTGTTAACAATATATCTGTCAAAACATGTTTACTCTACATCTGGGTCAGAAACAAATTTTCCCTGTATATGCTATAATTATCTTTTAATTTTTAAGTACTCTATAATTCTGTAATGTATTATTTTGAAAAAGAACATATCTTAAAAAAAAGTACCGAAGATGTCCAAAAGGTATCAAAAAGCAAACTAATTTAAAAATTCATCAACAGATGTCTCTTAAACAAATAAAGATATTGACCACAACAATATTTCCAAGTTAAGCACTATAAATATTTATATAGAGTTTTCGTTGGATTATGCTTCAAAGGGATGCTATATTCAGAAAAATATTTTACAACATTTCATGGTATTTTATAAGTTAAACTTGGACAACAACAGATATTTGTACACATACATATATGTTGAAAAAGGTGGACATAAGTTCACAGTCATAATCTTAAAGAGAGATTAACAAGCCCATTAGATCACTCATCTGAGATACATTGTTAGAAAAAGCCACAATTCTTCAAATGAAGAAGTACCGTAAACAATAAGGTCATATCATGAGTGTCATTTGGTTATTTTGTTATGTTGCTTTTGCAGAGATGATCAACTTGGAAATGGTACATGCTAAATATCTTAGTTCTGGATATTGTAGATTTCCAGAAGAAGATTTAAATGTGTTTTCCTATGCATAGTCAATAATGCCAAAGAACCCCCTAGGTGGAGAGAATCTTTTTGCTAAGAAGAATTATTTACATAACTTTTTAGAAGACCACAAAGTGTTGTTACATGCCAAATATCTAAGTTCTGAGCATTGTAGTTTTTGAGAAGAATATTTTTTATTTTTAGGTTTCATTTTTATGTCTTTTGACTTGTTCATGCACCAGACTGTAACAATTTATAATACTTTTGTAGATGGACACTGTAGGATCATTCCTATGAAGTTTGGTCACACCTTTCTGATCAGGAGAAGATGAAGGAAATTATGGACAAGGACAACTAATGAATTACTGATCACAGTCACATTGCCATTACAAAAACTCCCCTCTAAATACACTGTGTTCAGGTGAACTATAAGTGAACTATAAGTAACCAGAATTCACAAAAGTCTGACATATAAAAAGATTTTGTCAAAAGAAATCTCACCTCCTAACAAACTCAACGAAAAATGTTGTAAGTAGAATGAAGATAAAATCCACTATCACTAGACGGTAAATCTGTTGACCAATAAACGTCTCTCTACACTGAAATCATAAATATACATGTGTATAAAAAAACAATCAACTGAATGGAATGTGATACCAAACAAGTTGAAAAGTAACAAAATGAAACATAGCTTGAAACATTTACAACATACCTTTTGTGTTAGTCACACAGTAGAAATATGGTGATAAATACTGCAAAATTAGTCATTCATTGTATTATTACTTGAATGGAAAATATTTTTACTTTTCTCAAAATCCTAATTCATTTTCTCAAAGATGTTTCCTTGTTTGTTGGCACATCTGGAGGTATGAAGCAATAAAGACATTAGATGATAATTATTGAATATAAGCCATATGTCTGTAGCTTTCAACTTTATAGTAATGTGTGCATGGTTATCAAGGTTCTAAATCAAGTTTGAAAAGGTTTTTTTTATTTAAAACAATTAACATAATTGAGCCACGTCATGACAAAACCAACATAAGCGTTTGCGACCAGCATGGATCCACACCAGCCTGCACATCCGCGCAGTCTGATCAGGATCCATGCTGTTCGCTTACAAACCCTATAACAAGTAGAGAAACTGATAGTGAACAGCATGGATCCTGATCAGACTGTGCAGATGCGCAGGCTGGTCCGGATCCATGCTGATCACAAACCCATTATGTTGGTTTTGTCATGACGCGGCTCAATAAATTCAAACAAAATCAATTAACTTACATCATGGGACAGCTTCTGATACCAGAAATACACAAGGACACCCAAAGTAACAGCTTTCAATAACATAGTTCTGAAATATAAAACTTTTCACTTAACAAAATGTCTTCTTAAAACAAAAGCCAATATCTGCACCCTTCAAAATACATAATTATGAGCCGTGTCATGACAAAACCAACATCATAAAGTGCGTTTGCGACCAGCATGGATCCAGACCAGCCTGCCCATCCGCCGAGTCTTATCAGGATCCATGCTGTTTGCTATCAGTTTCTCTACTTGTTATAGGGTTTGTAAGCGAACAGCATGGATCCTGATCAGACTGCGCGGATGCGCAGGCTGGTCTGGATCCATGCTGGTCGCAAACGCACTATGTTGGTTTTGTCGTGATGCAGCTCATATAATAATTAAAATGATGGTGGTTAATTCTATTACAAGCTGTACATTCAATAAAACTATTAACAGTATTAGGAAGATGAAAAATTTACCTAGACATATTCATGTAAAGTTCATTCTTTGGTTTCTCGTAGTTTTCTATTCTGGCAAATAAAGAGAATATAAATGGGAGTACTAGGTTAACCCCTGACACACATAGAGGCATGGCCATCTCACTCAACACTGGAATGTCAACCTGCAACATTTTATACAGAAAAATTGTTACTTACTTATAAACACAATCAGTCATCTTACTTTACAATGGATATTTACATGTGAGAAATGCTTAGAAAGATTTATATACAAAATCTTGTGTTGAAACTGTTAACAATATGTCAATGATATAAACATGCTATAATGCTATCAAAAATGTAAGTTATTAATTGAGACTAGTTACTATGAACAAGGAATAGGATGTTTAATCATATGTCACTCTGCAACACAAAGTTCACTTATTCTACCGTAATAAATACCAGTGCTACTTTCATTAAACCAGAAGGAAAATGGCAACACATTGTACAGGAAAAATAGGCTTACACATCAATAATGCTATACTAATAACCCCAAAAAGTACCGTCACACTAAAAATGTAAGACATTTAGTCTTTTGTAAAGCTATTATTTGACACAAAATAACTATAATATCTGTAAACAAGAAATTCAGTGCTGTCACATTAAGCATAGAATTATATTTTGTAATTCTTGATTAAACAAATAATTTATGTTGTGACATTCTTATTAAAATATTGTCATTCTTCATGCACTTTTAATAATCACTTTGGAAAGAAAGAAAAATCAACAAAATCACTACATGTGTGCAACGTACTTGCGTCCACCTTTATTAAGCAACTTTTTTGTTAAGCGGCTGCATAAAATCCCTCCCGATGATTTTTACTATATAATTTAATTCCATTAAACAACATTTTTATATCGCAGCCAGCGTCTACTAAAGGTTGGTCAAAATATACGAAATTAGGTGTTAAAGTATCAAATAAACAACCCTCACAAATAATTGTTGTTGTGTATTTAAAACAAAATAAATAGATTCATTTTTTTAACAAACAATTCAGTCCTGCCGCAAATTAAAACATAATTCAAGTGTCACATATATACCAATGAATAAAAGTGTTGTTGGAAACTTTAAACCTTATATTACATAATTGTGTTGTCTTTTTCACATGTTGTGTACATACATACATGCAGAAACACAAAAGTTAATGCATGTTAAATACACAAAATAAGCTTTTAAATTAGGGGAAAATAATTTAAAATAATATAATATAATATAGAGATATCAACATAACAGTACATAAACTGTATCAAAGTCACTATCAAACTTAAACCTTAGTGCTGAAACACTCAAAGACAAACTTTACCATGCAGCCTAAATAATAAATGAGCCGCGTCACTACAAAACCAACATAATGGGTTTGCGACCAACATGGATCCAGACCAGCCTGCGCTTCCGCGCAGTCTGATCAGGATCCATGCAGTTCTTTTTACAAACCCTATAACAAGTAGAGAAACTGATAGCGAACAGCATGGATCCTGATCAGACTGTGAGGATGCGCAGACTGTTCCGGATCCATGCTGGTCGCAAACCCATTATGTTGGTTTTGTCGTGACGCTGCTCAAATAAATTACAACATTGTATATTTTACCAGGCTTATAAAACTTTCTCCCTACAACAGAGATTAATAACAAAACATACAATTATACTGATCTGGCAATATTGTCAATGTTAGCAGGTCAATATATGTAAGGCCTCTATCACAACAGCCCTACAGCAGCCGTACAAACAAATTTTGATAAAAATTGCTGTGTTTCCTGCGGAAGCAGCAAGACATTGGTACAAATTCTTTAAGGTTGCCTCAACGTCACGGACTGATTTCTCAACATGCAGATTATTTCTGCGATTTTTTGACAGATTTTGGATGTCTCAAGACTATCGTAAAACAATAGTACGGCCAGAGACATAGATAACATAGTATGTTATCTATGTCTCTGGTACTGCAGTCTCACGATTTCTAGGTTCTCATGTAAAAAATTTTTGTGTTTGTCTTGCAAGGACGGAAGTATGCCGCACAAGCATCTTGCTGCTACGCAGGTCGCAATCAAATGATGTCACATGACAGATATACAGATCTGTCTAGATAGCCTGCGAAATTACCTGCAACCTTTCTTTGGCACAGATTTCTCTATAAATCATACAAACCAAATTTCATGCGGCTGATGTGATAGAAGCTTTACACATTAATACAATTACCATCACAAGCAACAGTTAAATATTATACTTAAAATGCTTTATTTAAACAGCTGATATAGCATTTGTATAATTTAAAATGTAATGGCAGTTTCTACTTTTAAATGTACCATTCAGTAAGGTGAAACTATTTACTCTCATGTAATATAAAGTGGACGATGACAGTTTATTCATGTAACTAATATCCTTTAAATTTTATTCTTAATGACAGTATATTTCATTAATGCTATTGCAGTATGTACATATTTATCACCAACCAGAATTACAACAAACAATACTTAAATTTATAATTTTAACATGCTTCACCTTATTCCTTTTTTAAATAGACAAGGCAGCCAATTGCATTATTATACAATATACACATATGTACAACATAAAATCTGTTTGTTTGTTTGTTTGGTTTTGTGGCACACAAACTCAGAAATAGGAAAGATGATTTTGGATAACCACAGGTTTAACAAATTTCAAAGTTACACCAGGTCTCAAAACCACCTCACCTGCTGGAGCTAAGAGATGCATAGACTCCAGTTATTTGAACCCATTTAGTCGCCTCTTACAATCACGCAGGTATAAATCATGGCTGCAATTCTAATGCCTTACCAGTTAAAGTTACCACCTCAGCCACAATGTGGCAAAAATATAGAAATTCCTTCCTAATAGCATGTTAGAATGGAAATTGATATCAAATTTTCATGTGTTTAAGTATAATAATGCATGGTTTATCAAATTTATCAATCAAATGCTTTGTAATTAAACAATTAGGCCCATTGCCCTTTTTGATTACATTCTTTCGCATTTGATATCTATTTCCTAAGTAAAGTTCTATACATTGTATTTCTTTTCTTTTTTAATATATGCAAAAGGTACACGTATACAAGACATACAATGGGGAGGGCATCATGCTACATGTATTTATAGAGATAAACTTACAGAATGCTATCAAAAAAATCATACTAGCATTGTCATTAAACAATAGGGCATATTTTATTCAGTGAAGAGAAATAACACTTACAAATTTCATATATATCAAAGAAACATTTCTTACAATACCAGAAAATGTTGACAAATAATAAATAAATGACTCCAAATTCAACCCCAAAAAGAAACAGGTACAAACATTAATATCTGAAAACCATGACCAAGCTAATGTTTATGTGGTATGATACATAAGTTGCCATTGTATAATACCTTGTGCATATTTGGTTACAAGTCATGCTTTACTTATTTAGACAAACAATAACTTATATAAAACAAGACAATTTATATATTTATACATGAAAAACCTGTGTGATGAAAGTTCTGTTAAAACATTATGTAATAATATAGGTAATCTGACATTCTTAACTATAAAGAATATTGATAAAACAAAGAAGTTATTGTGAACTATAACTGGCAAACTGACAACATATTCAGACATGGTATTTCTATTATGGAGACAAAAATCACTTATACAGTTACATACAAATGAATTATTTAATGCATTAAGCATAAAGTTAGTAAATGCCCACATTGAGCAAGAATTACACAGTGTATGAAGTATATGAATATACCGGTACTGCAGGAATTTACAGTGTACACACTGTAAGAATTGACAGTGTTGTATAAATACACTGTCGAGTCAACAGTGTAAAATGTATATAAATACACTGTGAGAGTTGACAGTGTAAAATGTATATAAATATACTATAAGAGTTGACAGTGTAAAATGTATATAAATATACTGTAAGAGTTGACAGTGTAAAATGTATATAAATATACTGTAAGAGTTGAAAGAGTAGAAAGTATATAAATACACTGTAAGAGTTGACAGTGTAAAATGTATATAAATATACTGTAAGAGTTGAAAGAGTAGAAAGTATATAAATACACTGTAAGAGTTGACAGTGTAAAATGTATATAAATATACTGTAAGAGTTGAAAGAGTAGAAAGTATATAAAAACACTTTAAGAGTTGACAGTGTAAAATGTATATAAATATACTGTAAGAGTTGAAAGAGTAGAAAGTATATAAATACACTGTAAGACTTGACAGTGTAAAATGTATATAAATATACTGTAAGAGTTGAAAGAGTAGAAAGTATATAAATACACTTTAAGAGTTGACAGTGTAAAATGTATATAAATATACTGTAAGAGTTGAAAGAGTAGAAAGTATATAAATACACTGTAAGAGTTGACAGTGTAAAATGTATATAAATATACTGTAAGAGTTGACAGTGTGTAAGAAATATGAGCATACTGTACGAGTTGACAGTGTTGTAGGTATATAAATACACTGCAGGAATTTAAAATGACACTGTGTATGAGGTATATGCATACACTTTAAGCATTTCAAAGGCAGGATGTATAAAAACAGTTACCATAACTAAATCTAATAATATACTATTATGAAGCCTCTTACACCATATTGTAGCATACTAACACCAAATTATGAATATCACATAGCTGTGCAAAATATATGCCAATTAAAACAAGATCTGTCATGCCCTATCACTGACCTTTGAACTATAAATGTGACCTTCACATTAGACTTTAAGAAGTGACTGCTGCATATAATATCATGTCTTATCATGGTAAATGCTTTCAACTATCCAAAATATTCCCTGATGATTAAACTATGTTACTTAAGACATGTAAAATCACATCAAATTGTTTGATTTTTTACATTACTCCCAAAAAATGATTATGAAATTTTATACAGTCTAAATATGAAACACTGACTGGAGAAGTACAAATAAAATAAAAGCACAGAGACAGACAGACAGTTTTATATATACATATATATACATGTATATACATAATATAGATATGTTGTGGATTCTTTATGACACACTCAAATGACCTCCCCTCAATATAACATCTTTTTGGAAACCAAGCTTCAATTTCCAACAATAAAGAATTATTACTACCTGTATATTTATTATGGTTTTATTTCTCTAATATATCTCTGGACTGGTAAATTTTGTTTACCAACAGTTTATTACAGAATACAATTTTGCCAAGCTTTTTTTATACACCATAATTATTACTAATAGGTTTTAAAAAAATATTTTTACAGCAATTATAAGTAAGAACTATTTGTTTGAATTATCAAGTTATCCCTAACATGAACTAAATGGTAGTAACATTATTTGACTTTCAGAAAACTGTTCAATTATTTGTACAAAAAGTAGCCTTTGTTTTAGTTTGGACTGTATTCATATTGTACTGTACTTATTTACTATTTATAAGCAATAGAGTATGAACAATATACAAAACTGTCAAAGTGGATAGCTTTTCCAGATTTAATTATTCAACTTTCAAAGGTGTAAAATAATCCCTCTAATTAGTCAATTTTATTCAAAAGTTATAAATATTACGACAAAAGGAAAAGTAATATTATCCTATAATGATTCTAATTAGAATTGTAATGATTCAAGCTAAGCAAATATTCAATGTTTTGATAATATGTCAAATAGAAACCACAACAGAGCAAATAAACTGGCAGATAGCTTTATGTGGTGTAAGGTTCATCACCTGTCCTTCCTAGATAAATGTACAAATAAATACATAAACATGGCAATCACTAACATAACTAACAAACACATAAATAAAGTCATTCTGTAGCATGTATCATTTTCACTTCTATCACTGTGCATTTTATAAGTAAACAAAAACAAATCATATAATACATAGTCTCATAAATACAATTTCAAGGTGCTATATAAATTATGTCTTTTTTTAACATTTAACCCATTAACTTGCTAATATTTTGTCACTCTTAGTCATGTCAAACTTAGATAGTTTCTCATTTATAAAAGAAGATATGTAGTTATGTACTGACTGACCTACATGTAAAATGTATGCTCCCTAGACAAAACTAGAAATGTGTCGTCACGCCACAAATGTCCCCGCATGCAGCCAAAATTTCAGATGTTACAATATTTAGTACCAAATTTGTTTGCACAAACTATTTTTTTCATTTTAAGTTCAAAGCCCTTAAAACTATTCAATGTAAACACAAACAATTTTTATACAAAGTTCAAGGCACTGAAACTATTCAGTGTTAACCATTTGTAAATTGCATATTGCATATTTGTAGCCAAAATAATGACTACATACATTTCCACAAAAGTATGAGTGCTGAAACTGAAAATTCAAAATTTTTCCAACATTCAAGAGAGATAACTTTGTCCAAAATCATTGAACCACGACCAAAGGAGCCATTGAACATAATTGTGTTCCTAAATACATACCATTGCCCTACCTATATATACATTGATGACTGGTACCCTTGCTATTTCTATATTTACAGACCATGATACTGACTTTATCTATGTTAACAGACAATGATCCTTACTATACCTACATTTACAGACGGTAATCCTCACTATACCTTCATTAACAGAATGTGGCCCCCACTATACTTAAACTGACAGACTGTTACCTATATTATACATGCATTAAAAGACTATAACACAGATTATACTTACATTAACAGACTGTGTATCTGATATATAGAAGATGAGATAACCAGATCCAGCAATCATTCCTAGTATAAGTAGATTTGATAGCACCCAAATACTGAACCATTTACATTTCTGACCAAATGTCCTTTCCTCATCCTCTCTTCTTGAACCAGATAAATATTCCTGCAACATTGGTTTAAATGTAGTTTAACATTTGTTAAAAACTTAATAGAAGTACTATCCAAATCAAGTTTAGAAAGCATCATGTTGAAACTAACAGTATATATTAAATTATAATAAATCATAATAACTTTAGTCAAATGCTACTTAAGTACCATAATGTGACAGAGGTTTATCATTGTCATATACCTGGTCTTACCTTTGATTATTACATGTATATATCTATGCTTTTATGCTTGTGAGTTCCTAACCCTCAGTTCATTATATATTCCTTCATGTTAATTTGTTCCTTACCTTAAGTTCATTATATGTTTCTTTATGTTAAGGTTTTTCCTTACCTAAAGATCATTTTATACATGTATTTCTTTATGTTCAGGTGTTCCTTACCTTAACTTCATAATATGTTCCTTTATAATCAGGTGTTCATTATATGTTCCTTTATTTTAAGGAGTTCCATATCTATGTGCATTATATGTTCCTTTATTTTAAGGTGTTCTTTACCTTCATTTCATTACATATTTCTTTATGTAAAGGTGTTCCTTACCTCAAGTTCATTATATATTCCTTTATGTTAAAATGTTCCTTACCTTAAGTTCATTATATGTTCTGTTATGTTAAGGTGTTCCTTACCTTAAGATCACTAGATGTTCCTTTATTCTAAGGTTTTTCTTACCTTAAGTTCACTATATATTCCTTTATGCTAAGGTGTTCCTTACCCTAAGATCACTATAATGTTCCTTTATTTTAAGGTGTTCCTTACCTTAAGATCACTATATGTTCCTTTATGTTAAGGTGTTTCTTACCTTAAGATCACTATGTTCCTTTATTTTAAGGTTTTCCTTACCTTAAGTTCATTATATATTCCTTTATGTTTAAGTGTAGCAGAATTTTTTGCTGTTATACCATAGTCCCAGCCACAGAATACTCGACTGACATAATAGAAGTCAAACGCTCCACTACCCTCTATATAGTTCTTCTTGTATGATTTAGATATGCTGTAAAAAGCATACTAATACATTTCAATCATAGGCAAACTTTTTGAAAATATTTTTAAAGCTATATTCAAACTAAATTTCTTTTCTAATAACATAGTTTCATCACATCTAATATACATTTGTATAAAAAATTCATATGTACAAGTGTGCAATAATAAATATAGATAAATTCTTAAGTATCAAACAAAAATCAAAAGTAAATTCAAAGTATTGATGTGAATGATTTATACTATATTTATATCAATACATAATGATTGATACATCATTTATTTTGTACATAAATCAAGTGATTGATTTATAAGTAATTTTCCTACACCTAAAACAGAACTTCAGGTATATATATGATTTATATAGTGAATACCACTATGCAGCCATAATGTGTCAATGACAATCTTATGATGATGCAAATAAAGCAAGTATTTATTTATAAATTCAAGGATGCTTTGTTATCATTAATGCTTTACCTTAAAGCTAAAATAATCAGACACATAAGGTAGTATCCGCCACATGTAAACAGGTATGCATATTTCATGTTGTAGTAGGAATCTTCTGTTATACTGAACGTCTCATACGTGTAGTTACCATAATACATCTCTGTGTCTGTAAACCAACCCTGATAATGTACAAATATAATTTATTATTCTTTCTCAATTATTGACATCCAATCATTGCTTTTAAATTGAACCACATGACCATCCAATATATTCTCATATCGGACCCTTTAATGTCCAATATAGTTATCTTTTATTGGACAGATAAGTGCTTTTGGTCATTTACATGCAATGTCAATGATTAAAGCCATTAATGACAAAAGTATGCAAATGCTGTTAATGTCACAAGTATGCAAATGAATTCTACTATAAGTGATGTGTCTTGCAGCATTAAACCTTAACTACATTAAGTTGCAGTTCCTCAGATATAAAATAAACAAGTTATTAAACATAAAACAAGTACAAAACTGGAATATATTTGGACTTGTGCACAGTTGTAGTAATCAAGTGGCTTGTCCAATATGGTTTCTCCAGCTTGTACTCATCCACAGGGGTTTACTTAAGGTTTTGACTTTCATTTGCCCGAAGGGCAAGTAACTTTAAAAATCTACTTGCCCCCAAGAAAAACAGGTTGCCCGATCTTAAATGTGAAGATTGTTAATAATCAAAGCGAAAATTATGGGTAAAAATAAGATTTATTGCAGATCCTATCAACTTATGCCTCAGATAGTAAAATAGTCCTAAATTCCCTACTGTATATGTTTTTTTGCTTGTCAACACAACTGTCTTTGCCAGGGATCCAATAGAAATCCCTGAGATTAAATTTAGAAAAACTCCTAAATGTCAGGGATTCCTCACATCAAAATAGTAAAATGAAAATGAAGATTAACAATAGTCGTGATCTGTTAAGGCTTATAAAAATTACAGGTAATAAATAATTAGGCCCTATTCCAGGTGACTTTTAAAATATATTAACATTCAGATGCTATCACCTTAAAAATATTTATTCCCTATTACAACTTTAAAAAGGAAACAGTACATTGATTGTTGAAAATTGTGATAGGATTTAAATGTTTATTGTTGATTTCAAACAATGTAAAATATCAAAAATATGTTTGCTTTGTTTGCATTACCAAACTAGCTATGTACCTTTCAAATTTATTTCATTTTTAAAAACAACAAGTTGCTCCAAGTCCATGACAGGATGTGTTATACTCAATTTAAATTGATCTGTCTGATTCCTATCCTCCCTGTGTGTATTGAAATTTATTTGAAGTTTTAACCTATGTCACATCAAAGGGACTCACCGCATGCAGTAATCATACAGTTCAGAGCACTGACTGGTTCAAAGAACTGTCATGCAGACGAAATATACGTCATTTGCTGTATGTTTCACCTAAGGAGGTTTTTTTCTGTTTTGGTCGTAAATTAGGCATGACCTAGATTGACCTCAGATGACTTATAGTTACACAATATGCTGTGATTTACCAAAAAGGATTTTAAACATTATATGGATTATTTTATTCTGTTTATTAATATAGATCTAGAATATTTGTAAACATTGCTGTAGGGGAGAAAGGAAAATAAATTAACAACAGTTCAAGACTATTATGATTTTTAGTCAAGATTTGTGTAAAAAAATTACTGGTGATGAATTTTAAAAAAATTCTATAGGCCTATTGCAAATGAGTTGACGACGCCAGTAGTTAAAGAATGACCGTACGAAGAAAAAAATAGCGTACAGGATTCAAAGGAGTAGATTTTTACGGCCTGATTTTTCTGTTCTTTCTTGAACTTTGCAGATGTGTCAGTCTTTTTTGACATAACTCATCTTGAATTTTTGTGATTTTATGCTATTTATTCAGAAAATCAGATGTTTTCTTTGCCGTGGCTTTTTCTTTAATTGCTGTAGACTTTTTCCTTTTAAAAATGGGAAAACTTTCGGCGCCGCCCGCCATTTTGAAAATAAAGCAAAATGGAAAAAGTTTTATTACGTTATTTGATTGGTTGATACGAGTCCAACTACAATCAGAAACAGTTAAAAATACACTTGTTTGACTGTAATATGAACGGAAAGAAAAGTATTATCGGCAAAAGATATCAAAGATAATAGAAGGCATAATGAAAATTCACTTGCCCGCCGGGCAATTTGCTTTCAAATTTCACTTGCCCGCAGCGATTTCTACCCGACGCGGGCAAGCGGGCGTCCGCTTAAATAAACCCCTGATCCAAATATATTCCCTTATTGTACACTTAAATGTTATATAACCTATACATATATATATTCTAATCTAATACATATTGCAAAGTTTTAACAAGTGTAGATGTTTTTCCAAACTGTATAAATATTTATGAAACAAGTTCAAGAAAACATTATTATAATGCACTCCAAGGAAACATTTATTTAATGAGATTCTATATAACTTATGTATATCCAGTGTGAACGAAATGAAATTGACATTTCTATATAATCTGAAGTATTATTTCAGTATGGTGTGAAAATAAATAACTTACTGAACCAGTTAACAACTCCTTTCCAGTAAATGAAACATTCTGTTTGAACGCATTGCCTTTCTGTACCACATATCTATACAACATCTGAGGCAGTATCACAAAACCAAATGTTAACACAAACACCGGAATGTTGATATAAAACAACCATTTCAGAAACAGGAAGTACGAAAGTACACCTGTACCAAAATGACCTTCTATCTTCTTCATATGACCCCTCCATAATTTCAGAAAGTACCCAAACTCTGCAAGATTATACTTGAAGTGTTTCCATGTCTGAAATAATGTAAGAAATATAGGTAATCATATAGCAACTTCATTCAAATTTATTCAACAATAATGAATCAAAGCTAACTTTAACAAGGTCCTTTCTACATTTAAGATCCAGTTACTATCAAAATATCTAAAAGGACTGATTTTGATGTGCAAACATGTTTACGTCCCTGCGAGAAGTTTGACATTTATTGAAAGATAGAAAGATTGATAGATAGATTTTTTTCTCAGACAAGGCAATACAAATCATTCCTTACACATTGAACATACTACCTAATAACATTTATAATTGTGTTAGATAACAGGCTTCAGTCTACAGTTTGCAAGGTAATACTTTATTTTCTATTTCAGTTTTTGCAATTTAATGAGCTTTATTTCTTTGTAACAGATTGTTATTCTGTTATATGCAATAAATATTTAAGACACCTATATAAATGCAGGTTATGGATACAGAATCACTGCTCCAGGATACTTACTTGTACTTACTTCATCTCTGTTCTAGATACATACAAAACTATCAATATAATTTTTACATAACAGATTAACAGTCTTCCTAATTAAATGTTTCATTATCAAATTAAGGGTATCTTTAACGAAAAAAAGAGAGACATATATCATCATTAACACTGTTCTTAGAAAGATATTTTGTAAATAATCAGATACTTACTATGCTACAGTTGTACTTGAACCGTTTCCAGCGTGTCAGTGTTTTGGGTTGTTTTCTTTTAAGGCTGACTTCACTCCTAATCAATAAATAGCATTCTTCCTTTATATGATTAACATATAAATCCACCATAACACAACCTTTCTTAACAAATACACTCATATCCCGGCATTGATAGTTTTAATTTCTAGTCTGTTATTATAGAGCTTTTTCAGAAAGCATTAAATTAAAAGGTACAAACATTATTTAACTATAGGAAGGACACAGATGTACACATACTTTAACCATTATCAGACAGATATTTTGTGAGACATTACAGATACATTGAACACATACTGTATCACTTTAAATGCACTTTAAGTAAAACAATAAAGTCACTGAAATAAGGCATAGTCTTGTTTTTGTCTATGAATATATCTGCATTGTCACCATTCAATATTCTTCTTTATTTAAGCATAAAACATTTTCTATGTAAAACAAATCTGTTTTTCCACCATAAACAATTAAATTTGGATCACATTTTAGACACTTAGTTAAACAGTCTGACAAATATATGAAAAGTTCTTCTGAAGTTCCATTTAATACTGATAAATTCATTAAAACAACTAAACGTCAGAAAAATTGAGGCAGACATAACTAATCATGTATGTTTCCAAAACATCTTCCCTACAAAGTATTAATCTATACATAGCCAAACATCAAAACTTGACATCAATATATTAAATCCAAATATTTCTAATTTTTCAAGAGATATATGTCAGCATTATCCAAAATCTCCTAAATACTAGTAATCCATTTTCTGAACAATATTATATAATTTAATGTGTTCTGTAACTATTCAAAAAGACCATGTCAAAATGTGCTTATATATAAAATATAGTATAATGTTTCAAAGCAGGCTTGAATTATGTACATTTATAATGAAATTAAAATTAAATCTCAAATTTCATTTCCTGTGACAAAAGTAATTACACATGCATAAGTAAGTTGAAATATTCATAAAATCTATCAAGCAAAACTGACATATGAAGGGATAACCATGTATTTAACAGATGATTAAAAAAATTTGCATTTTTAAAATGATACAAAATGGGTGTCTTGATTGTACCAAATGAAATGTAATGTATCCAATTATAAGTATACAAATAGATCAGGAATGCAGTGTATTTTTATCTGAATAATCTACAAACAATTGCTTAAAATCATTTCTAAGTTACCTAATATTTCTTTAAATTTCAAAAAAGGTAGCATTTACAGTATTTCCCTGAGCAAAAGAGATAAATAAACATCAAATAAATAATCATAATAAATCAATAAGTCCTCGTAAATGCATTATACTCATGCAAAGGTTCATTTTATGGTTTAAGATAAGGATAGTGTGTTGCTTTATTGTGTGCAAGGAAGGAATCTTACATGCCATTCATGTATACATAATTATGTACACACTGTGTGTGTTGTGCTTTTATCTGAGACTAATGCAACACTTCACAATGACACCGTCATTTAACACAGATCTATGCATGGGGTTTGCAAGGTCAACAAAGCAGAAATATGTGCATGTTTGTAATTTAAACATTTTGTTTGATAAAAATTGTCGTGATATATCAATAAGATGAATTTTATGTATCATTGTTATAAGACCTTGACCTTTGATAGTCACTGATGACTGCTTCCACTTGTCCAGTAATTGCATAACAATTAGAAGGCAAACTTGACAGAGAGAAAAGTAATATTAGATCTTGAGCTGTCTAAGAAGAGATCAATACCCCAACAACTATATGACAAAATTGAAAAGGTTTTATGTAGGTCCATGTTGTAGGGTGGACAAGTTTTATTATATGATCTATTGATCTATGATCTTTAAAATGACTTTCTTCGATTGGTTAAGAAGTAATTTTTCATAAAATATAACTAGTGAAAATCTATATTCACTGTTTTTTCTTCCAAAAATAGACTTTCTAAGTATATTCACCGTTTTTTCTCTAAAAATGCATTTTCTGGAAAGTCCACAAAAGACGTGTGCTATGATATGACTTCACACCAAGTTTGTTGTTATTTTTCTAAGAAAACGTTCGGCAACTCGCAAATATAAGTCAAATTTATTAGTCTATTTTAGTTACCGTCTTTACATTTAAAAAAATATTTCGAATTTTGCGTGCCAATGCCCTCATCAAAATGTCAGAGCCAAATAATTACAGAGCAATCTGAATTAACTCTGAGCTTAATATAGTCACGCTCCCATGTTGGGCTCCAAATGTCACAGGGTGAGAAAAATGTGCAGCCTGACCGGGACTCGAACCCGGGACCCTCAGAATACCGTACTGCGGCTCTACCGACTGAGCCTTGGCCACTTACACATCTTCTCCCCCAAATAAAGAACAGTTCTGAACCATGACATTATGGAAAAGTAGCCAAGTCGATTTCCGCTGTATGGCAGATTTGACATGTTCCCATGTAAAAGCGATTTATAGATTATATAATAAAACAGATATGTACTTTTGAGCAGGTGAATATGATATAATATGTACTGAAAAAATAATACTGACCTGGCTATTGCATCGGTCAATATTATCTTTTTCAGTACATATTATATCATATTAACCGGCTCAAAAGTTCATATTTGTATAATAGTGTAGACACAAAAATATCTGACATTCGACCTTCAATAGCAACTTTGACCATGAGCTGCCACAGCAGCAGCATGGATTTTGCACATCACATTATTCATTTGAGCCAAGATTGAAGAATGTCCTTTAAGGGGTAAAGGACATAACACAGACAGGTCTGACATTTGCCAAAAAAGTGTCACCTTTAGGGGACAAGAAATTGTTTGACTTTTGACCTTAAAGTGTAGCCTTAACCTGGAGCTGGCACAAGGTTGGCATGGGTTCTGCACATCAACCTATTGCTGTAAACATTTAATTTTAACACAATTTTGAAGAAAATCCTAAAATGGATATGGGATTTATAGAGCAGATATAAACTGTTTGACATTTGACCATAAAGGGTAACCTTGCCATTGAGCTGGAACAGCAGCAGCATGGGTTCTACATATTGCCATGTCAAAGTAAACATTTGAACCAAGTTTGAAGACAATCTTTCAAGGGGTATAACATTAATAGACTGGACAAAAAAATTTGACATCTGACCTTTGGAAAGACCTTGACCTTGAGCTGACACAGCAGCAGCATGGATTCTGCATATTGCCATGTTGAGGTGAACATTTGAGCCACGTTTGAAGAAAATCCTTCAAGAGGTACAGGATTAATAAAGCGGATATGATGGAGACAGACCAACCAACAGACTGACCTAACAACGTGACAAAGTGATTCCAGTATAGCCCCCTCATCATAATTAGAGGGGGATATAATAAGTTACATCTGTCAGCACTACTTTGATATACAACAAGCAAATTGTTGAGCTGATATCCCCTGCTGTACTATACAAAATCACTTAATTGAAGCTTATTAATATTATGTACCTAAGAATATCATTATGATACATAGCAGTGTGAAGCAAATGAACATTATTTTGAGATTTAATATCAAAATATTATCATGACATTATGTAATGCCATTTGGACATTCATTTAAAACATTTCCATAGATATAAGAGCAGAGAAAGTATGCATATTTATGCTGAAATATGTAACAGTTACATATAGTTTTATAGACATTGCTTGTCCAAGAAAGATTGAAAATCAGATAGACTACAGGAAAGACAGCCAGACAGACACACTGTGCAACACTTTTATCCCCCCAAACTTTGGCAGGGTTACAAAAATGTGTATGTTGTAGGGTTTCTTAATCGGACAAAAATCATAATCGATCATCGAAAATAATCGAACAACCTTTTTCGATCAATCATCGATTATATAATCGAAATATTTATCATTATGATAACAAAGTAAATATGTACAATGCACATACCATGCTTTAATATTTATAAGAATTCCATTTATATTCTATATTTTGTGTAACTACCACTTAATCAACTGAAATAAACTAGTTACTCATGCTTATGTTCATCTTTGAGTAAAATATTTTAATCAAATAAATTCATTATATCTATGAAATTATTATGTCTCAATTCCAATAAAGGAATGAATAAGCTATGTATGGGAACAAGAGAAGTTGGTCATTAATAAAAATGCCAGGTTTTTTTAATGTCACTACATGTATATACTTATATTGTAACCATCTTTAGTTTAGTGTGTAGAATAATTTTATACATATCTTCTTTGTTTGAAGTCAAAACATGTTTATTTCATATTTACAAATAGACTGTGTAGCAATTTTCTAATTTCAAATTTGAGCATAGTATGTCTGTAAACTAGAATGCCTCACTGTCAACAATTACCCTCATGGTCACCAGTATGCTTTCTCATTCATTTTAATGAAAATTATTGGGTAAACCAAAGCTGGCTTTAATTTAAAGATTTGTTATAATACAGTGAGTCACTTAAGTAACAGCAAGAAGATAAATAACCGATGATCGATTATTGAACTTTATATTCGATCATCGCTAATCGGTCCTATAAACGATCAATTTTCGATTATACTCGATCATCGTTAAATCCCTAGTATGTTGAAAATCAATGTAATAATAAATACAGGTATAAGAAGCATTTGTTTAAGAAAATATAAAAACTTAATAGTAGAGCTTATGAGAGTTCACCTAACTTGAAATACAATATCAAAAATCATAAAAAAGTAAAACAGTAAACAGTAATCCTACATTGCTGCTAGTATTTGACAGACAAAAAAATCCAATTGATTCAGGTAAAATGGTGCATTAAATTTGCAGGTTAGGCATTTTTAAATTATAAATTGATGATAAAGTGTATATTTGTTTATTTGCATAAATACCACCTGCATCACATCTTAAACAAATATCATATGTAATACCCTTTCAAATTTTTTAATCAGTCAAGAAAAATAGACAATCTGAATCATATTGTCAGTTGTTTTGATGGGTTGGGGAAATGCAACATTTGGGAAGTAAAGCTTTTAAATGTAAACTAAGACTACATTATCTAGTCTATGTGCACATTTAGCGGGTAGATTTTTTCAAAATCAGTAAAAAAATTCTTGTTTTTCATGCTAATACTTACTTTAGCCTACGTTTCTGTGAAAGATTCATTGTCATGGCCTTTATATCATCATCTTCAATTTCAGCAGCATCGGGATTATCGTGTACAGCTCGAATGAAATCTTCTGATGCATCTCTTCCTGTAGGTATATGCATGTTAGCATGGAACGATTTCCTTTTAGTGGACTTTTTCCTGATAGATGAGCCATGTGCAATCTCACTCGCCATTTTTTCTGTAATAGAATGGTATCAAAATAAGAAGAAATGCTCAATTGTATTGATATGAAGTATAAAATATAGCAACACTGTAAATTGTCACTCCACAATTTTCAAAAGATTAAGGGTCAGTAACAATATTACTAAATACTTATCAATAGTCCATTGCTATAATGCAATAAAGCTAAAATTAGTTATTTATTAAAAATATTCAAGTGTTTATAAAGTTTTATTACATCAAGCTATTTAAGATACTCTTTTTGGTACAGCCTGAGAGAACAACAATATGACAATGATTAATGTGTAAGTTCATAACAATTTTCTACAGATTTGTTACAACATATTATTTCTTCACATCAACAGATGAGAAATCGCAAATTTTTACTGACCTAACTGTTTGCTAGGAAGACTTTCTAACAAGATTGCAGTATCTCTTGGGCCTTCTTCTTTTGCCCATTGTGACCTTCTATGAACTCCTATACCATGTTCTGAGGTAAAACTTGAGGCATCAGATGGTCGCCGGTCAAGTGGAATAGCAGGACCATGTTCACTAAATGCTGCACGAGGATAATCGGGCACTATCTCATCCTGATAACCTGGATTAACTGAAATATAATTATTTTAGTCTAAATAAATCAATAGTTTATCATTTAATATAGTCTTATGAATTTTATGTCAGACTGGCTTGTCTTGTCTTAGTTCCCAACAGATTTAGTATATAGAATTCACAGCTAGTTAACATACTAACTATTCTCCTGCTTAGAAAGCCGGATAATGAGGTCTATAGAATCATGGCATAGCAAACTCACATTTCTTAAAAAAAAATATCACAGTACAAAATTGATTAAAACAGGTAATGAATCAATGAGCAATGTGCATATATTGTACTTAAGATCATGTTTGAGATTATTATGGGAATCTGGTGACTGTAACAGAGGCAACCTGCAGATGGTTTTTTGGTTTTTGTCTTGGTAAAAAATAAAACCTGAAGTAATGATGGTCCCCAGACAATATAGCAATACATAGGAAATGTTGTCACAAACCCTTTAACTCAAATTAGTGCTAGATCACCATAAAAACTACCAGAGACATTAGAGGTGATTATGTTTTCACTTATCAGAGATGGTTATGGTTCATTGTCTTTTGATCAAAAGAAATAGCAAATTATCAATATTTAACATGGCCTTATGATATTCTGTGACTGTTTGAATTTATGTCAATGTAATTAGGCTCAGATTTATAAATACAGATTCAAGGTTTCAAGACCTTTTAATATGATAACAGAGAAATGTTTAACAATATTTGATTAGTTTGACCTCATAAATATAATAAACAAGGTCAGCTGAAAAGAAAAACAAGGTGTGATGTTATTTTATCATTAAAAGAAATATTTCAAATTGAAAAATATAAAACAGAATTTTTCTGAGGAACTTTTGACAGAAGGTCATAACATTTAACTCAAATCAAGGTTATGTCATATAATAAAAGGTACTCTATAAACTGTTAAACTGAACTAAACTCTATAAACAAGCATACTGCAATGCCAGATATCCGATTGCCATCACTGAAAATAAATGATAATTTAAAAAAAAAATGAAACAGAAGAATATAACAAGGATATCTTACTATTTGACAGTGGAATTTGTTCCCTGCTACTTCTGTATGGATCTTGCCTCCGATATCCATCCATTACTTTTTACACCACTCTATAAAATCAAAAATCATAAACTCATAACCTTTAAAGTTTATTTAACTTCAACAATAATATTCTACCAACCTACAAAGCATTTAAAGTGTTGAGCAGATTTATTTTGAGGACTATAAAGTTTCTCTTCATTTAACAGGTAGAACATATTACATGAGGTCATCCGTGATTATATATGACGATCATGTAGGAATTTTGTTATTGTTGGTATTTAATGGCAATATTATAAATTTATATTGTCTTTTCTGTAGTGGCAATTTTCTGAAAATCATCTCAGAATCTGCTGAAGAAGTCATCAGTCACCTGATTATAAATGTTGTGATTTCATGTATAGGCCACTTGAATGACTGCCTAGTAATCATGGGGTCTGGGATTCAATCCCCAGTATGTGTAGGAGGACTTTTCATGTTCATATTAATGTCTACAAAGTTAAAAACACAATGCCCATGCTTCTAGTGAGTTATTTGCGCCAAAACAACAGCTTGGTTTTAGGATATTTGTGGCTAAATAAAGACATATGATCATCAGCTGTCTTCCGCTAAACTGAGCCCAGTTGATTGAAGAGTGCATTCATTATTCATTAATTAATTAATTGAACCTGCATGGTAAACTTTTTAAGTTTTGAATGCAAGAAAAGTAGCATAACATGCAAGACGGGTAGTATTTATCAGTCGCAAACATCTTGCAGGAGGAATGGCTCTGAATTTAATGTTTTTGATCCCTGAATGGAATGGTTCCTCAGTTAATGAAAGAATATTTGAAAGAGATGCATTTTACGCTTGATAAACAGTAGAACTTCGGTAAGATGAAGTTGAAGGGACTTGCTTAAATACTTTGACTCACCAGGACTTCAACTCATGAATTGGTCTCAAATTACAGACAAATTTCCAGCTCTTGACATTTACAAGCAAGTTACAAAAGGCGTAACAAAAGGAAAGGGCAATATCTAACTAAACCAGCTTATAGTAAATATATTCCGAGTGATTATCAGGCTACATCCGGTCACGAAGTTTACTGTTTACTTTTAAATACCACTGAATGGTAACAATTGAAGCATTTTATTACACATTCAAACACATTCAATACACAGCTATGTAATTAAGTTATTAACACCTGTCACACAAGTTTATCAGAAATCATATTCTTTACCAGAAAAGGTGTGAAAATGTTTTGAGATCAAAGGTGTCAAAATAATTGAAGTACTTCAACTTATTTGTGGTAAATTGTACTTGATTTATTCTTCTTGAACCACAAAGTATTCAAAAATTTTGACACATAAAATTTCAACTCATAAGTTCGGAAAATCCGGACTTTCACTTTATTTTGACACATTGAGAAAATCGACTTATCAGAATTTGACTCATATAAGTTCTACTGTAATTTAATTCTCTCTAGAAATATCAACAGCCTGAACAGGAGTAGATGAAGAGCCACACCCATGATATAAAATTGGGGAAATCTAAAAAAACTGCTTGAAGTTATAAACATTTGTAGAGAAAAAAAGAACTGAATTCAACAAGTAATAAAGGAAACAGCTGGATCAATATCAACTAAATTATGTCATACAGTATTAAGTAACTTGTGTTAAGTGTCAGGATATTTGGTAGATCTAATTAATTTTTCTGTTACCTGTCCTGTGTTCTTGATAACTGGTTATTTTCAAAGGAATGATTTCTGGCAGGAGCCAATAAAAAAAAAGATCAATCACATTGTACAGTTTACATGTCACAAATAATTATATCTATATAACATTACAAATTTATATGTATTTTCTCTGTAAAAGCTACAAAATTTAGATTACTTCCTATTTGATATTTGTTTTGGTCTATATCATGCGGACGCTTTTTTTGTGTTTTTTTGGCACAAGCGTCCATTATTTTGACTTCCGGCAACAAGTCCAAACTAAACAACACAATTGAAAGAAAGATTATTTGTTTACTGTTCGTATCTTGAAGGTATTTATATTAATTAGTAATTTTATATGATATTTTCTTTTTAAACTGCCCTATTGAAACCTTTTCAAATGGTTAATAAATACGCTAAGAGATTGATCATATGTGAAAGGATTTCGGACATGGACTATTTTGGATGGTATTTATTTATTAAGTTTTGTGAAACGTAAAAAACAACAACAACAGAATTTGTTGTAAAATGAATAACCTTGTGTATGCTTTTTTACTGGTTTTCCGCACAACAGAATGTAGATCTAATATAAATCTAGAATGACTAAAATATGCAACACAGATATTTTGGATGCAGCCAAGTTAAAAAAATTTAATTTTGCAAGAATTTTAAGAGTTTGTTTAAGTAAATGTCGAAGGTTTACATTGGTCATAAATATAGAAATTCATCAAAAAGTAAAATTAATTTATATAATTTAATAAACCTTGTTTTGCTGTAATTTTGTTATTATCTCTGTTGCACCTAGTCCAATATATCAGATGTTACAGACTTGTTATAGTTTATTTCAGTCAAGCCTGTTGCTTTGCCTTGAAGCAAAAATATCTCAAAGCGACGTCATATTTATACGACTATGTTGGGCCAACTGAATCATATATATAAAACTCAAACTAAAGCTTATAAACAAATTTTTAATGAATGAAAATGTTGTAAGAGCAATGACACATACAAATAAAAATCAAGAAGTGATGCAAATAACTGGAAGCGTCTAAATACTAATAACTATGATCAATAAAAAATGAGATTTCACTATCCAATAAGATTAATTGTTAATAAAGAGAAAGAAGAAATTACTGACAAATGAAGAACTGAGAAACTGTAGTCAATAATTAAATATTTAAAATAATATATTAAAACTAACTTTCATTATGTTACTATATTAAATGTATATTATAATAAATTTTTGTTTGATAACTGTTATTTATAAACATTCATTGTGCCCTTTATACAAAACAATCTCTGTTGTGCTGAGAATATGTCCATTTCGCAAGCATGTATAACCTTCCAAAACATATAAATTGAAATTTTCCTATTAAAATCTACAATAAACTTTTATGTTGATACTACATTTGATATATAGAGGATATTGAATGAGTGTAGGTTTAATACTAAATTTATTGAACGAGTTGAATAAAATCATATTATCCGAGTCTCTGGCGAGCATAATATTGGTTTATTCAACAAGTTCAATAAATTAAGTATTGAATTTACACGAATATAATATTCTATTTATCACATATATATAAAATAAGAACAGTTTACTGTAAAAAAGAGTCATTTTTCATTGACGCGCCTATAGTATAACGCTAACATTAGCGCTTTAACACTATGTTTATTTGCAACATAAATGACGTCATGTCAAAGTGTTATTACACTAGTGCAATATCGTTTTTAGCTCGACTATTCGATAAGAATAAGTAGAGCTATTGCAGTCACCCGAGCGTCGGCGTCGGCGTAACCACTTATGTTAAAGTTTTTGTAATAGTTCAAATATTTTCAAAGTCCATTGACATATGGCTTTGAAACTTTGCACACTTGTTCACCATCATGACCCCAACCTGTAGACAGGAGGAGGTAACTCTATCAAGCATTTTGACAGAATTATGCCCCTTTTTCGACTTAGAATTTACGTTAAAGTTTTTGTAATAGTTCAAATATTTTCAAAGTCCATTGACATATGGCTTTGAAACTTTGCACACTTGTTCACCATCATGACCCCAACCTGTAGACAGGAGGAGGTAACTCTATCAAGCATTTTGACAGAATTATGCCCCTTTTTCGACTTAGAATTTACGTTAAAGTTTTTGTAATAGTTCAAATTTTTTCAAAGTCCATTGACATATGGCTTTGAAACTTTGCACACTTGTTCACCATCATGACCCCAACCTGTAGACAGGAGGAGGTAACTCTATCAAGCATTTTGACAGAATTATGCCCTTTTTCGACTTAGAATTTACGTTAAAGTTTTTGTAATAGTTCAAATATTTTCAAAGTCCATTGACATATGGCTTTGAAACTTTGCACACTTGTTCAACATCATGACCCCAATCTGTAGACAGGAGGAGGTAACTCTATCAAGCATTTTGACAGAATTATGCCCCTTTTTCAACTTAGAATTTACGTTAAAGTTTTTGTAATAGTTCAAATATTTTCAAAGTCCATTGACATATGGCTTTGAAACTTTGCACACTTGTTCACCATCATGACCCCAACCTGTAGACAGGAGGAGGTAACTCTATCAAGCATTTTGACAGAATTATGCCCCTTTTTCGACTTAGAATTTACGTTAAAGTTTTTGTAATAGTTCAAATATTTTCAAAGTCCATTGACATATGGCTTTGAAACTTTGCACACTTGTTCACCATCATGACCCCAACCTGTAAACAGGAGGAGGTAACTGTATCAAGCATTTTTTTTTACTATCAAGCACTAAGAATAGTCGAGCGTTGCTGTCCTACCGACAGCTCTTGTTATTAAATGGCTTTATTACACTCCTGCACCGCAGTTTATGTGATAAATATTATATATATAATTTGTTTAAGTTTAATGAAAATTATTTATAATCATAAATTGTTCCCTTTTTAAGAAAATATCTCTGTTACACCATGAATATGTCCATGTTTTCAGTTTTGGCCATTTTGCTGGCATAAATTCCTTCAAAACAACCTATTACAACTGTTGTGATAATTAAAAAAAAATAACATACTTTTTTCACTCAGTTAATCTGTGTTATTACTTAAATGTTAATTATTTTCATAAATAAGCATATGTTGTGCCTGTTTTGCTAATTGTGCCTGTTGCACAATAAAAAAAACTCTGTTGTGTCATACTCATATAAATCTTTTATTTTACTTTAGTTTCTAGAAACATGCCACTTTTTCCATTTGGTGATAAATTTTCTCCAAAGAAAACACCCCCTAGAAGAGCCCAATCACTATCAAACCTTCACCTTGATGCAGATAAAACTCGGGAAGAATTTGGTCCAGATGTAGGCCCTGTCAAACTAAAACTTGGCGGTCAGGAAGTGGCTTTTGAAAATGGAATGTGGGTACAAGGTATGATTTATGTATAAAATATAAAGAAAATAGAAATCTTGTCAAATTGTGTATTTTATATGTTAAACAGAACAACTGGAATTGCCTTGATAGTTTATACATTTACATCAAAGATTAAATTAATATATAACCTTTGTGTATGATTATACTTTTTATAATATAGGTAAGATTATTACCATTTTATACAAGCTGGTTGTTGTAAATGTTATACCTATTAGTTTATTATTTATCTTTTAAATTTATTAGTGATTTTTTGTATTTACATTTGTTAAAGTGATGTATTATAGATGAACATGTATCTTTTAGACACTAGTAAATAGTATAACCTGTAAATGAATTGTAATAAATGTGAATATACGGATTACCGCATATTAAGCTGATGACGTTTAAGATGAATGAAATATATGTTTTATTATTATCAGAGACTGGTCCCAGTGCTGCAAGTCATAAAGAAGTGATGAAACTACGACGTGATAACCAAAATCTGTCAGAGGAAAATAATCTACTTAAATTAAAGATAGACATATTATTGGACATGGTAGGCATTACATTGTTTAAATATTCAATTTGTGTTTTCCATTTGAATAATTTTTGGCCTAGTAATGGCCCTTGAATAAAAAGGTAGTTTTGGCCAGTTAATTATTTTTTACTTGTTCTACAAGGTAGCTACAACATGCTACAATGCTCTTGTATTTTAACATTTTTTTTAGAAACTGTAATATACACTAGAAGACATTGTGATTCTTGTTTGAGAAGAAAAAAGTCTACTGATTACTTCAAATATTTTACTCATTAAATTTTATTTATTTTTTTAAAATAAAAATTACACAAAAAAGAAGAAAGAGGAACCAATGTCAACACCGAGTCAAGTTTTAACTGTATTTATTATTCTACTAGTTTTGATTGAATAACAACCTTCATCAGGAATAAGAAATTAAACTGTTAACAATTTCCATTCTTTTCTTATTTCAGTTAGCAGAAACTTCAGCGATTTCTCACTACCACGAAAATGAGCTAAAACAGTTAAAATCTGGCAAGAAAAAATAGTGGTCAATTAAGTTATTATAAGCCATTGTGATAAAGACTTGGGACCTTAATTAAACATTTAGAAAAAAATTATCAATGAAAATGCATTAAATGTACGGAAAAGGGTTGGAAGCAAGTGGGAATTTCATGAACATCCTCTAGAAAAGTTTATCATTACAGTTGGCATGATATGTAGAAATTATTGCTGGGTTTTGCTCTTAATACGCAATCACATCATTCTTGTAGATCTATGGACTGTTCTTTACTAGTATATCAACTTTATAATCAGTAATTATGATTCAAAGATTATTGAATGAGATATTGTGTTCCAGTTTCTTGAATTAACAGGCAAAAAATGATTAATTTATAAGGTATGATATATTTTTTACAATCTATATGTTTCTATTAAAATTGTTCAGACTTTGTACTGAGTATTTTAAGAACATGTATATAAAGAATATTTTAACATTCCATATGGGTACAATTGTTTTAAATCTAATTTTTTACTTACTTTCAGTAAATGTATAAATTCTTTTAAAGTCTGTTACCTCATGATTAATTTGCTTTAAAGGAATGTCAATTCTTTTTACTTCTATGTTACCATGATAACAATATGTATTACATATCATTTTTGAAAGTTGTCCGTCCATTTTATCTTTTTTACAAGTTTATATATTTGAGGATCAGAAGCTCATAATTTTCATATATCTGTAGAATTTTTAATTCTCTGAATAAACTGACTAAAAGCAACTTTGCAGAGGTAATTTATAGTACATAGTTTTTTATTACTTTGACTTGAAAATTTACTTTTTGTGTTACTTTTTAGCTCGACTATTCAATAAGAATAAGTAGAGCTATTGCAGTCACCCGAGCGTCGGCGTCGGCGTAACCACTTATGTTAAAGTTTTTGTAATAGTTCAAATATTTTCAAAGTCCATAGACATATGGCTTTGAAACTTTGCACACTTGTTCACCATCATGACCCCAACCTGTAGACAGGAGGAGGTAACTCTATCAAGCATTTTGACAGAATTATGCCCCTTTTTCGACTTAGAATTTACGTTAAAGTTTTTGTAATAGTTCAAATATTTTCAAAGTCCATTGACATATGGCTTTAAAACTTTGCACACTTGTTCACCATCATGACCCCAACCTGTAGACAAGAGGAGGTAACTGTATCAAGCATTTTGACAGAATTATGCCCCTTTTTCGACTTAGAATTTACGTTAAAGTTTTTGTAATAGTTCAAATATTTTCAAAGTCCATTGACATATGGCTTTGAAACTTTGCACACTTGTTCAACATCATGACCCCAACCTGTAAACAGGAGGAGGTAACTCTATCAAGCATTTTGACAGAATTATGCCCCTTTTTCGACTTAGAATTTACGTTAAAGTTTTTGTAATAGTTCAAATATTTTCAAAGTCCATTAACATATGGCTTTGAAACTTTGCACATTTGTTCAACATCATGACCCCAACCTGTAAACAGGAGGAGGTAACTCTATCAAGCATTTTGACAGAATTATGCCCCTTGCCCCTTTTCGACTTAGAATTTACGTTAAAGTTTTTAGCTCGACTATTCGATAAGAATAAGTAGAGCTATTGCAGTCACCCGAGCGTCGGCGTTGGCGTAACCACTTATGTTAAAGTTTTTGTAATAGTTCAAATATTTTCAAAGTCCATTGACATATGGCTTTGAAACTTTGCACACTTGTTCACCATCATGACCCCAACCTGTAGACAGGAGGAGGTAACTCTATCAAGCATTTTGACAGAATTATGCCCCTTTTTCGACTTAGAATTTACGTTAAAGTTTTTGTAATAGTTCAAATATTTTCAAAGTCCATTGACATATGGCTTTGAAACTTTGCACACTTGTTCACCATCATGACCCCAACCTGTAAACAGGAGGAGGTAACTCTATCAAGCATTTTGACAGAATTATGCCCCTTTTTCGACTTAGAATTTACGTTAAAGTTTTTGTAATAGTTCAAATATTTTCAAAGTCCATTGACATATGGCTTTGAAACTTTGCACACTTGTTCACCATCATGACCCCAACCTGTAGACAGGAGGAGGTAACTCTATCAAGTATTTTGACAGAATTATGCCCCTTTTTCGACTTAGAATTTACGTTAAAGTTTTTGTAATAGTTCAAATATTTTCAAAGTCCATTGACATATGGCTTTGAAACTTTGCACACTTGTTCACCATCATGACCCCAACCTGTAGACAGGAGGAGGTAACTGTATCAAGCATTTTGACAGAATTATGCCCCTTTTTCGACTTAGAATTTACGTTCAAGTTTTTGTAATAGTTCAAATATTTTCAAAGTCCATTGACATATGGCTTTGAAACTTTGCACACTTGTTCAACATCATGACCCCAACCTGTAGACAGCAGGAGGTAACTCTGTTAAGCATTTTGACAGAATTATGCCCCTTTTTCGACTTAGAATTTACGTTAAAGTTTTTGTAATAGTTCAAATATTTTCAAAGTCCATTGACATATGGCTTTGAAACTTTGCACGCTTGTTCAACATCATGACCCCAACCTGTAAACAGGAGGAGGTAACTCTATCAAGCATTTTGACAGAATTATGCCCCTTTTTCGACTTAGAATTTACGTTAAAGTTTTTGTAATAGTTCAAATATTTTCAAAGTCCATTGACATATGGCTTTGAAACTTTGCACACTTGTTCACCATCATGACCCCAACCTGTAAACAGGAGGAGGTAACTGTATCAGGCATTTTTTTTACTATCAAGCACTAAGAATAGTCGAGCATGCTGTCCTACCGACAGCTCTTGTTGTAATAGTTCAAATATTTTCAAAGTCCATTGACATATGGCTTTGAAACTTTGCACACTTGTTCACCATCATGACCCCAACCTGTAAACAGGAGGAGGTAACTGTATCAAGCATTTTTTTTACTATCAAGCACTAAGAATAGTCGAGCGTTGCTGTCCTACCGACAGCTCTTGTATTGTTTTATATTGTTTTATGTTAGGGTTATTTTTGAGGGCAGCATATTGAAGTTACATGTAACTTCACATATTGTTAACAATAGCAAACATAATGACAGTCAATTCTTCTGAAATTATGTTTAGTGCGGATTCCTATATGTTCAAAAAGAATTTGAATTAAATTGAAATGTTTGTTGTTTACTGTGGCTGTGAAATATAGAGACAGGTGTAAGGCATTTGTACAGTGTACACATAGATATTATTTTAAATTGTAAAATAGCAGTTTTTATTAGAAGTTGTAAATACTAGTAGTATTTATATTTAGATATACATGTATAATAAATGTCAAAATGCACAATAAATTAAATAAAATTCATAACAGAGATTATTTGTTTTCAAATCCTCAAAAATTGCAAATGTTTCTGTATTGGCAAGGACATGCCATGCACAAGTGTTCCAGAAGAGCTATCCTACTTAACCTGGTGTTAGCACAACATTTGGTTTAAAATTTTACTTACAACTTCATATCACAGATGACCATATTCCTTTGAAACTTCACATAATTGTCATGTCTTTGTCAACTATTTGATGGCTTGTGCAATTTTCAGCAATAGTATATTTAAGGAGTATAAATTACAATGATTTATCACCATTACTTAAATAAAGATATTACGTGACTTAAGATATGTATATGCCTCATAAGTCGGGTAATATCTTAATTTAAGTAACAGATCAGTAAATTGAAAGGCCCTGGGTCCTAGGTAAAATTCTATATTATATTCAATGAGCAGGATAATCATAATAGTTTTTAGCTCACCTTTACTCACAAAGTACACAGATGTGAGCTTTTGTGATGGCAGTGTGTCTGTCATCCATCATAATTTCTACTGGTCTTACACATGCTTATGTGAACAATTTTACTTAACAAGGGTTATGCATTGTTGGTGGTGGACAAAGTAAACAAATGTGTTATTCTCTTATTAACAAAGCAATGTACTGTCAGTTTTTAACCACTGTAAAAGCTGTGTATGCTATGTAGCTTTCACGCCCTTCAAAAAAAGCCACAAGCTACGTTTAATGATAGCCTTGAAAACTATTATCTCATTGTTTCTGGGAATAAATCATTTAGAATTGATAAAATTCATGATTACAGGTAATAATAATTAGAATATATTGAGAAGACAACATGGTCATTTTGTTCAAACAGTAAACAATATCTTAAATGTTTAAGATTAAGAATGAACATTGAAATGAAAATCTTTAAATGTGTAAATGTGGGAGCCTTACCCCTGGGGTCAAAATTGGTGGTGCTGTAGAGGTCAACAACTTTATAAAGTTTTATTAGCTCACCTTGCACAAAGTGCAGGTGAGCTTTTAGGATGGCCAACCAAATGGCGTCCGTCGTCTGTCGTCCGTCCACATTTTAAATATTCTAAGGACATCTTCTATGATACCGCAAGGCCAATGTTAATGAAACTTGGCAGGAATACTCTTTGTATGAAGCTTTATCAAGATTGTTCAAAGAATTCCATTTCATGCAGAACTCTGGTTGCCATGGCAACCGAAAGAAAAATCTTTAAATATCTTCTTTTAAAGAACCATAAGAGCTAGAGCTTAGATATTTGGCATGAAACATCTTCTAATGAGTGTCTACCAAGTTTGTACAAATAAAAGCCCTGGGGTCAAAATTGGCCCCGTCCCAGGGGGGTCATAGATTTTCCCTATATGCATATAGTAAAAACTTAAAAAATCTTCTTTTAAAGAACCCAAAGAGCTAGAGCTAAGATATTTGGCATGAAACATCTTCTAGTGAGTGTCTACCAAGTTTGTTCAAATAAATGCCCTGGGGTCAAAATTGGCCCCGGCCCGGGGGGGGGGGGGGGGGGGGTCATTGATTTTCCCTATATGCATATAGTTAAAACTTAAAAAATCTTCTTTTAAAGAACTGTAAACGCTAGAGCTTAGATATTTGGCATGAAACATCTTCTAGTGAATGTCTACCAAGTTTGTTCAAATAAAAGCCCTGGGGTCAAAATTGGTCCCGCCCCAGGGGGTCATTGATTTTCCCTGTATGCATATAGTTAAAACTTAAAAAATCTTCTTTTAAAGAACCCAAAGAGCTAGAGCTAAGATATTTAGCATGAAACATCTTCAAATGAGTGTCTACCAAGTTTGTTCAAATAAAAGCCCTGAGGTCAAAAATGGCCCTGCCCCAGGGGGTCATAGATTTTCCCTATATGAATATAGTAAAAACTTAAAAATCTTCTTTTAAAGAACCCAAAGAGCTAGAGCTAAGATATTTGACATGAAATATCTTCTAGTGAGTGTCTACCAAGTTTGTTCAAGTAAAAGCCCTGGGGTCAAAATTGGCCCCGCCCCGGGGGGTCATTGATTTTCCCTATATGCATATAGTAAAAACTTAAAAAATCTTCTTTTAAAGAACCGTAAGAGCTAGAGCTTAGATATTTGGCATGAAACATCTTCTAGTGAATGTCTACCAAGTTTGTTCAAATAAAAGCCCTGGGGTCAAAATTGGCCCCGTCCCAGGGGGGTCATAGATTTTCCCTATATGCATATAGTAAAAACTTAAAAAATCTTCTTTTAAAGAACCCAAAGAGCTAGAGCTAAGATATTTAGCATGAAACATCTTCTAATGAGTGTCTACCAAGTTTGTTCAAATAAAAGCCCTGGGGTCAAAATTGGCCCCGCCCCAGGGGGTCATTGATTTTCCCTATATGCATATAGTAAAAACTTAAAAAATCTTCTTTTAAAGAACTCAAAGAGCTAGAGCTAAGATATTTAGCATGAAACATGTTCTAATGGGTGTCTACCAAGTATGTTCAAATAAAAGCCCTGGGGTCAAAACTGGCCCCGCACCAGGGGTCATTGATTTTCCTTATATGTGTATAGCAAAAACTTAAAAAATCTTCTTTGAAAAAACCCAAATAGCTAGAGTTAAGATATTAAGCATGAAACATCTTTTAGTGAGTGTCTACAAAGTTTGTTCAAATAAAAGACCTGGGGTCAAAATTGGCCCCGCCCCGGGGGTCATTGATTTTCTTTATATGTGTATAGCAAAAACTTAAAATCTTCTTTGAAAAAACCCAAATAGCTAGAGTTTAGATATTAAGCATGAAACATCTTCTAGTAAGTGTCTACAAAGTTTGTTCAAATAAAAGCCCTTGGGTCAAAACTGTCCCGGCCCCAGGGGGTCATTGTTTTTAACTATATGTGTATAGTAAAAACTTTAAAAAAATCTTCTTTTTACAAGCCCAATGAGCTAGAGCTAAGATATTTAGCATGAAACATGTTCTAATGGGTGTCTACCAAGTTTGTTCAAATAAAAGCCCTGGGGTCAAAATTGGCCCCGCCCCTGGGGGTCATTGATTTTCCCTATATGCATATAGTAAAAACTTAAAAATCTTCTTTTAAAGAACTAAAAATCTTCTTTTAAAGAACTCAAAGAGCTATGGCTAAGATATTGAGCATCAAACATGTTCTAATAGGTGTCTACCAATTTTGTTCAAATAAAAGCCCTGGGGTCAAAATTGG